TTCCAAAACCGTATAACAAAGTATGATCATCATTAAAAGAATATTAATTACAGCCATTTAAAAATTACTAAATTTTGATTATCAGTACGTAGTGTAGGTGGCAGCACTAATTATATTAGATGATACGGTAGAGTTGTCAAATTATCAGTTTCTGCAAACACATATATTAAGAAATTATTGTGTATTCTTTAAAGCTCTCGGTAATTTCAATTATTATCAGTAAAATGGCCGAAAAGAAAATTTATTTGGTTGGTTTTTCATGTAGAAAATAAAGTAAACGAAAATTACCGAGTATAAGAAAAGTTTTATAATTATTTTTCTACAAGCATACAGATTCTAACCTCACAATTCGACAGTGTTTTGAAGGAAGTGATTCGTGATGTTATGAAAGTTTGGAAGCCTACTGGTATTCCCGTCCGGCAACCATATAACGCTATTACTAAAATCATGCTTAACGAGAAACGAAGAGCAAGTTAGGATAAATATCTTGAGAAATTATGTAGATAAAAAATTATTAGAAGCTATTTCTGAAAAGTTCAAAATTAAGCGATTTTTAAATGGCTGTAATTAATCTTCTTTTAAAGATAATCATACTTTGTTATACAGATTTACGCTTAAAGACTCAACATTAACAATATACATTGGTTTTCTGTAAAAAAAATATTCGGAAATTTAATTTTAGTGAAAAAAGAATTTTTCCCATGTTAATTAAATGGGAAATTAAAATAAAAATAGCCACCCATTAGAGCTGCGCTACAGGGATCATCTTTGGTGAGAATTTTTTTTATATCAAAAAGAAACATTGAGTAACAACTGAGTAAATAAGTTCATAGAAACTAGTTTCACAATTATCTTTTAAAAAATATTTTTTTAAATATATAAAAAAATTTTATCCTTACTTACTGAGCGTCAAACGGAATTAAATGTTGATTCAAATCGTACTTATTTAGGGTTATAAGATGTTACAAGATTGTATAATTCTTAACTGGGACACACTGTATAGACAAAAATCTTCGAAACCTCTTTAAACTTTAACACTCTGTAGATTAGTCAAGAGGCATTTGCGAATACATATTATGGGACAATTTTTTTTATTTCGACTTGAAAAATGCGTCCCTAATCGGAGTGTATTATTCCTAAATTGAAGTTTGTGCTTTATAGAGCAGAAAACCAATGTAATGTTTTGGTCAATTTGTACAGTACAGTCTGATTTTAGAACATTTTTGCATAATCGAACCGTAAACAAAGATATTACAATAGTGTACAATTCTTACGTGGGACACACTGTATAGACAAAAAACTAAAGATAACTCTTCAAAATTCAACACTGTGAAGGTTAGTCATGAGGGGTTTGCAAACATATTATACAGCCCTACCGGCCCTGTATTATTCCTAATTTATAACACCAAAGTTTCTGCTTTATAGAGCAGAAAACCATTAGAATGTTTTGGTCACTTTGTACAGCCTGATATTGCGACGCGAAACACGTATTTAAGACAAATTTTACAGTTATGTACATGTTTTGACTAGCCCATATTATATTATTATAAGTAGTTTTAACGTCCACGTTTCATTCCTGCAATGGAAACATTTCTGGTACATTCGTTACATAATTAAATACGTACAATTTTTAACATGTCGAATTTTCGTTAACTGCTTGAGAATGGAAGCAAATATTATTAACCAAATCGTTATTTGCACGTATCGATCACATTTTGTGTGTTAAACGAGAATATATTTTCAGTAATTTAATACTCAATGAAAACCACGAAATAATGCGACCCAATATTATGCCTATTAATATTGCAATCTAAATTACTACTGTGTTCGTACACGGAAGCTAACCTTGAGGTATACCATTTCTACGGAGGTTGGTCAAAATAAATTGCTTTTAGTTTTTCTCAGTTATTTATTTCAAGATTTTAAGTCATTTAATTCTGTTTACAAAATTGAAATAAATTTTTGTTCTTTCGGTAATTTTCAGGAACTTCAAAGGATGTATTAATTTGTTAAATTGGTCTAAATTTATTTAGAAATTTAAACATTTTTAATTCCCTTTCTAGGTTATTCATTATATTTAGACGCAGTTAATTTGGAAAGATAGAAAAAAAGTGCAAATACAAAAGTTTGTTACGCAAATGTCAGAAAAAACAAACGACGATTACAAGCTGTCAAAATGGCGGCAACGTCATTTTTAAAAAACGGAATTCTCTATATATTATTAACTTAAATCGTAGATCTTTTTTTCCTGATTTCAAAAACATATAGTTTATTGACATTTCATTTACCCGTTTTTGAGATAGTTCGGTTTAAAAAAAAAACAATAGCCATATTGTTTAAAAATGGTCAGGTCTGCCTAGCAACCATATCTATGTTTGCAATTGTTTTAACAATGTTGAACTTTTGACAAGTAATCAAAACTAAAGATCTGCAGCGTAAGTTGAATAACTTAATAAATATTTCAAGTGTGTTTTATAAGGATTCAAGTCGGGCTGAAATTGAATGATAATTATTTTTAAACTGAAATATCTCAATAAAGCATGTGTTTTTTCTAATCAGGAATAAAAGACCTACGATTTAAGGGCATATAGGGCATTTCATTAAAGAAATGATGCTGCTGTCATGTTGACAGCTTGCGATCGTCGTTTGTTTCTGCATAAGATTATAGAGCAAAAATCTAGCCACTTTTGTATTTACACCTTTTTATATCTTTCAAAATTAAACCTGTAGGTAGATGTCGAAATATAATGAATAACCCTGTACGGTTCCACACGCCTTTTACTCAGGAATTACGAACGATAGAAAAAAATATAAAATAGAATAGTTACATGGTTTCATCCCAATCCTTTAATCTTTAATTTTTAATATACAGGGTATCCCATAAGCAATGGTACATGGCGAAATAGGAAATTCAATGTGTCAAAGTTGCAATTTCATTTTTAATTTGAACGATCGAGCTTTTTGCACAAAATTTGGCAAATCGGGGTTTCTTGCCATGAGTGAATAATTTTGGGACAAATTGTAGAGGGCGCTACGTATGGTACTTTTGGTGCAATTGACAATACCTAACTTTTTTGCTCTTTAGTGTATGCCTTAAATTTCGTCCCAGTCGCCGTTTTCAAGAAATTTGACGTTAAAGTTTTCAGTCCATCATTACATAATGTTTAAAAATTTCCTTTTTTTATGCCATCAATTTTAAAATAATCTCGATAATGTATATAACTGAACTAATATGATGGTACGGAGCTGAACAGAATTTTTAATATTATTTATTTTGAGATTTTTACAACAAGAGACTCAAAAAAATTCGACGCCAATTGAAATTGTCAGAAAATTGTTTGTGGAAATACAAATTCAATTTTGAACTAAAGTAAAACAAAAACTATTCATAAAAAATAAAATAAATCTTCAAAATGTTTTCCAGTCTCTTTGATGCATTTAGACACATGTTTATTGATCTTTGATGATAATTCCTCGTTTCCCCATGATTCAGCAGCATTTTCAATTCCGTGGAATAATTCATCTCGAGTATGAACTAGTTCTTCATACACTAGTGACTTCATATACCCATACAAACACAAAAAGTATTGAAATCTGGACTCCTAGGCGACCAAGGTGTTTGACTCCCACCAATCCAACGATAAGGAAAATGATTATTTAGGTAGTCTCTTACCTGTCTCGAAAAGTGCGCCGCCATCTTGCGTGAAAATTCTTCATAACTCTAACGATAAATCATCCAGACAATGGGCGTATTGAGTTTGCAAAAAATTGTGGCAGAGCCTTAAATTAGGTGGTAGTTCGATGGGTCCTAACATGTAATTATCAATTATTCTAAAAAAAAATTATTTCTAAAGTTATACACTGCGTGTAAAAGTTACTTCATCTGCAAACAATAATTTATTAAAAAAACATTGAGTCGACGTTTTTCCAGACCCAACAAAAACGAAGTACAAAAATGTAATTCTAAAACTGACTATCTTTATAGTTTTATTCGATTAAACATTTGATTTTATAATTTAAGTGTAATATAGTGGCTGTTTAGTTTTATTAGTTGGCCATGATACCGAAGCTCAAAAAAATTTCTAAATTGAAGTGCTGCTCTACGGAACACCAGTTAGAAACTTAAAACTTATATATACAACTTATATCGCTGAAGTTATGTAAAATACATTAAGTTTTGGATTTTTGTTTATAATAATTTTTTACAAATAATAAAATTTAACAGCCATATTATAGGATTATTACAATAGAAAAACGAAAACTATAAATTTCCGGAATAGACAACCTCATACGAAATCGCTTTATTTTTAATGCCAATACGTTTTTCATAAATTAATATTTGTACTTCATTTCTGCTTACCCTGTATTAACTTACATTCAAAATATCCACTTCATATATGACAATAGACAACCTGCAACCCTGTAAACTCATCAATATTTAGATTAGTTGACCTCTGTGGAAATAAAGATGTTGGCGTGTGCGCTGGATTTCGAAGGATCATCTAGTTTTTTTACCGGTATACGTGTAAAATTTCCCTTTAGTTCAATAAAACGCCCTCGTTTCCGTTAAGGTACGGTTTGATTGCCACAATGCAATTTATTATTCATGTAAGCTTTGAAATTTACTGCCGATACATAACACAATAAAAAGAAATTTGGCTTAATGATGATGGGCAGAGGGCATCTGTGTTGGACGCGCCATCGATTGACGCGATCCCTAGCGGCCCGGTTTAAGCTACTTAATTACACGTCTCATTTAAAGATGGCGCTAAGATGATGAGTTTGAATAAATTCCTTTTGAAAATCCCCAACTTTATTATTATTATTACGGAATTGCCGTCTTCGCTACTAATTACGTTATTAATTATCAATGGAATCAATCCTTAATATCATTGTATTCTTGAAAAAAAGGTACGAATTATTTTTTTTTACATCCTTGCCAGTTTGTAGACTAACGAAAGGAAAATCTTAAAAACTTATCCAACGCACATTTATTCCAGGGAACGAGGGTATGGGTGCCGCACCCCGAACACGTCTGGCAAGGGGCGAAGCTTCTGGAAAATTACGACGCAACCAAAAAATCATTGCTAGTGGAAATCGATGAGGATGGGCAGAAGAAAACGTTGCAATTAAAATCGGAACAGGATTTACCGTTTTTAAGGAACCCTGACATACTTATTGGAGAAAACGATCTCACTGCTTTGTCATACCTCCACGAACCCGGCGTCCTCCATAACCTCCAGGTAAGTATTGCCACCCTTTTTGTTATTTTGTCCTCCATGAAGCGTTCATTATGCGTAGGGAATTTGAACTAACGTAAAAGTAGTAAGAAATATATATAATACAATAAGAAAAAATCTTAATGTAAAATTTAAGTTGCTAAAATTTATCATTATTGAACTTCTTTTGTATACGCAAAACCTTGCATTAATATAAACTAATGAGTATTTCTTCAATTTGGTTAGGCAAACAAAGGCATATTTATCAATCAAAAATGTCTGTTTCTTCAAGTAAAAATATCTTGTTTTGAAGATTGAAGATTAACGTAGCTGCGTTTCTAAGATAAAAATTAGAAATCTTTGCGCTGCATAAAAGGTTCTTCATTTTTTCTATAAACTTCAACATCCTATATCAAAAACTAAGCAACTTAGGTTAGGTTGGTTTAGTTTTGGTTAGTTAGTTTTTTTCTGTGAGAAATCTATGCTATCAAACCAATAGATATTAAGTGTTTCTCATCTTAGACTTTTATCTCCATCAAAGAATGGATATTGTTATCCTGTTTTGATTTACGTTTTCTCGTCAAACTAGAGAAATTAATTTAATCTTTGCTGTTTTAGGTTCGGTTTTGTCAAAATAAGTACATTTACACGTATTGCGGGATCGTATTGGTTGCAATCAATCCTTATGATGATCTCCCCATATATGGTAAGATTTTGGTAATGATTGTAATAGAAATAAACGTATATCGTTTTCTACTAGTTCAGAAACTAAAATATAACTATGTTCAGGGACTAAAAGAAAAGCAGTTCAAAAATTATTTTATTTTATTTATTATGCTGATTTATTATCGTATTATAAATTTTGTTTCTTGCTTTTGGATGATGTTTTTTGACGCTATTTTCGAAAAAAGTAATATATTTCTCGTGCCACCAAAACGAGTGATTTATGTTTAAATTTAAAAAAGAAAAGGCTATGGGCACTGCGAAGAAATTCTGTTCTTAATAAGAGTTCAAAGGCACATAATTTAGTATTAAGTAGATAAGTGCACTAAATTTTGCAAAACAGTATGCTACAAATTAAAAAAGTAAAAAAATGTCATAAGTAAATACAATAACATGTTTAAATTAAATAACATAAATACGTTTAACATTTTCGAAAATAAAAAGTTATTAATAATAATCCGGGACTAAACAGTATACATATAAAATGCCCACCGTTCATTTCTAAACATTTTCTTATACATTTTAAAAAATGTTGTCGAACACGAAAAAATACACCTAACCTATTTCTAATGACGGTTGCGAAGTTTATCATTTTTTGTCGTAGTTTCATATATTAAAGAATTTAATTCCCCCCACAAAAGTCCATCAGATTAAAGTCTAGGACCTATCCATCGATTTTCAAATGCCTAATTTTAATACCTTCGTACTGCCAATGTAGAATGAAGTGGAGCGCCATCTTGCGTTAACCACACGTTTTGTGTCCACCGCAAGGGTACCTCTTCCAGCAAAAGGCGTAATTCGTCTCCTATAATCCATGCCACGAATTTAAAGAAAACCGGCGCTGATGTTTTCCTTTAATTTTTCCATGTGGGTTTTCAATGTTCAATGAGTGCAATATCGTCAGTGAACAAGATGACATTTAAGAATTACTGATAATTTTGAATTTTTCTTAAAATTTGGTTACATAAAATTACTCTCAATTTCTCATCACCCTCATACAGTGCTTGAAGCCTTTGTACATGAAGGGGCAAACTGTGAAGCAAGCAATCAATGACAGTAGAAATGTTTCATGTCATCAGCATACAGTATTAGCGTCTAAAAATTAGTATACAGTGTGGTTTTTTTGTATAACAATTCTCACATTTCGTTACCAGATGAAGATACGATCCAGACTTACAGAGGGCAGGCGATGGGTGACTTGGATCCGCACATTTTCGCAGTGGCGGAGGAAGTCTATACGCAATTGGAGAGAGAACAAAAAGACCAAAGTATTATAGTGTCTGGTGAGAGCGGTGCAGGTAAAACTGTTTCGGCCAAATATGCCATGAGGTATTTCGCTGCGGTGGGGGGTAACGCGACTGAGACGCAAGTCGAGAGAAAAGTACTGGCCAGTAGCCCGATCATGGAGGTCTGTCGTATTTTTTCTGTTTACTAATTTTGCTATACCACAGGTGATGATACTAATTTCAGGCAATTGGAAACGCGAAAACCACTCGGAACGATAACAGCTCGAGATTTGGGAAATTTATCGAGTTGCAGTTCAACAAGCAATTTAATATCAGCGGCGCGTCTATGAGGACCTATCTTTTGGAAAAGTCGAGGGTGGTTTTTCAGGCCCCGGAGGAAAGAAACTACCACATCTTCTACCAGTTATGCGCTGCTAGACAAAAATTTCCACATTTTCAACTAGGTATGTGCGTTATGGTCTTCCCTGTACTGCTATTGGAAACGGTGACACACAAAAATTAATTAATCATCAATCAATTAACAAATTGGGTATCACAAAGGCATAATAATTTATTATAAAATACATATTATTATTAAATAATGATAGATAACACTCTACAATTACAAGATGTTATTTAAAAGTCATTTAAAAAGTGGTCAATTAACCAGCCCCAACACTACTAGTATACTTCGACCAGAATTATAGTGCTTTTACAACCGACCAGGTGATTAACTTTGCCTACTGTTTATTACTCCAAAACCGCAGCCCCTTATAGAACACTCTGCCGAGCAGACGCTTACCCGTAACCATTCCACGACCGTCGTAATAAGAGGAATATATATATTTTTTAAATTGTATACATTCAAAACAATTTGTTTAGCATCCGAAAACAAATGGTTCGTTTGCCATGTCTTCTTCTAGCAGGGGAACATCAGCTTCATTCCACGGTCTAAACATTTTAAAAAGTTTGAAAACAGGAACCTTCAAAAAATAGTTAATTGTAAGATTGTAATAAATATTTATCTGTATCTGTAAATATTTATCTGTTTCGATATAATCGAAAAAAGACTGTTGTTGTTTACAAATCGGAGAACTATGTAGAAGACACAAACATACAAGGATAAGAATGTTGTTAATCGATAGGAACAGAAGACAAGAATGATTATTATCAAACTTACCTGTAAGATAAATAAAGCACAGGTACTTACCCTTGCCCTTTGAACTATCTAGTGAAAACAGCCTTGCATGGCCAAAGCTTGAGATTCCGGTACATAAATGCGTACTTACCGCAATGATCACGGTTACGGTCCATCTCAGGCAAGACCTACGTAATGCAGAATAAACATCTGTTGGGATGTTTTTTACCACGGTTCTGCGAAGGTCTGCGGTTAAGGTATTGTAAAATACTTTAAATGTCAAAGCAATAAATGCACTATATTTTTGATCGTACTATAATAACATTTCTTCGCGTTGGCCAATACGATAAATTGAGAAGTTTGTTTTATAGCAACCGCAAATAATATTGTGTACAAAACAATACATGCACTATATTTTTGGTTGTACAATAACCATTTGCCAAGCCATATGAATATAATTTACGGCGTAAAAGAGATCTATAGAACATAGACATTTGAGTGAATATATTACTCTTTGATCCATTGACTGAAGTTTCAAACTTATGTTAAGTGGCTGTGCCGGACAATTTTCCTTATCTTCATGTTCAATTCTTCATCCCATTCATGTAACTCAGTTGTAAAGATCTCTGATGTTATCCAAGTTTTACTGTTTGCTTTATACATTATGAGCAAAATTTTGTTTTTAAAAGATCTTGGATTAGTAGATTTTCCTATCCCCAACAATTTTGTTTTTTCTGTTCCAGACGTGTTTGGCCGCCATTAGAATTGTAATCATTTGCCTCCGGGACATTATTCGCCAAGAAATGTCAGTGTTGTATTGGGTGTTATTTTATAAAATAGGCCTGCATTAAAAATATCGTGGTAACCGTAATTTTCTCGAAGGGTAGGCCATACATTGTTCAACCGATCGTACACGGAATTCATTTCCACTCCATTCCTGATTTTGTGCTTCTTTTTGAAACGTTCTAGAATTGTCAAATTCTGTTTTTTCAATCCTAGTTCCCAATTCACTTGCCTTTTCTTGTAAATACACTGTGACTTATAGGAACGTTTTCTTCCCTCCCTTGAGTAAACCAATTTAGAAGTGCTTTCTCAACTTCTTGATGCTTAGATTTTCTTAAACATTTGTTTCGTCATAGGGCGATAAAACCTCAAGTCTTTGTCGATATCATTGCCGTTTTGATTTTAAATTCTTGCAACTGTCACTCTGTTTCACTCCACCTTGTATTTTTTTTCCTTAAAGGCAATAAAAATTGCGATTTCACGAACATTACTTATTACACTCAAAAAATTAAAATAAGTGCCCTTGGCAAAGACTCTTTTACACATTCATATTCTTGTTCAGACCTTTATGGGAAAAATATCAAAGATACGCTTAGCCAGTTCAGTAATTTCTAAATATGTAGATTATGTTCGGTTGAAAAAGGGTTCATTATAAAAGGAATTCAAAATTTTGTGAAAAAATCATTAGTGTTATGGATCGATCTCGTTGTTGATAAATATTTATTTATTCGCACACAAAATAGATGACTCAAGGTTGCCTCAATCAAATTTGGCAATATATTTCAATGCGAAAGTAAAGCCAGATAATGGCATAGCCTGTCTCAATCTTCATCGTCTATTGTTATTGGGTAAAGCCATTAACAAAAAAATTATTCTTACTTGAGTGATAAGGCAGGGATGGGCCGGGAATATTTCGTTCTTTCTGATATATTCATTGAGTGTTGACCATATATGGCAGTGTTGAATAATCGTTGTTACTGTGCATTTGGAAAAAGTTATTTTACGAAAATATAACAATGTCGCTTGATGCAAGACAGGTTGTGAAAAATGTGTACGAAACTTTAATCAGAAGCTCTAAAAGAAACCTGTCGATCGTCGATAAGGTAGTTTTTTTTTAAATATTCATAGGTATATAAAAAGTATATTTATTAATATTAAGAAAGTAATTAAAGGAAAAATAAGTAGGTATTATTATATATACTATGTAAAATAAATAATAATCATTATTGTGTAATTTTTTATACGAAACTGATATCTACTAGCAAAAATTACACATTAATGATTATTATTTATTTTACATACATTAGGGATGTTATTAGTAGTGGAGAATTGAAGAAAATGAATGAACGGTAGTGATCAGGACATAAGAAGGAAAATATATTGTCTTTATCAAAACGAAGTTGTTCCTACCTTGGATAAATTAAAAAAGAAGCTAGAAGAAGATGAAAGCAATATAAATATTATCCGAAGATAGGAAAATATTTTAGTTATATGTAAAATGGGATTTAAGTACCGCAAAATAGACAAAAAGCAAATAGTAATGATTACGCAAAACTGTCTGGCGAAAGCAACTTCAAACAAAAGAAAACACATCACCATAATACACAGAAAAGGATTTGTCCCAAAATGCTTGCTATTGTCTGCAAAGGATATTAAGGATTCTAGCTTGGATTATCATGAGGATGCAAGTGCCGAATTTTTTGAAAATTGGTTTCAAAACAATGTTTTAAAAAATATTTCCAAAAAAAGTGTTATTGTCATGGATAATGCAAGCTATCACAGCCGTCTGCTACTCAAAGCTTCGTCAGGTTCAAAAACTGATATCCAGGAATATTTGTTAGAAAATGATATATATTTTTAATTCAGTTACAAAAAAGTGAAACTTTTGGAAGTCTTAAATTCATATGCAATTAAAAAATAGTATGTATCATTTGGCTCAACAGGATGAGCATACTGTTTTATGTCTTCCTTCATATCATTGCATGCTTAACCCCATAGAGCATTTGTAGAACCAAGTAAAATCAAAGGTTAGATCAGAAAATGTTACCCCTACTTTAAGTTCCAGTGTTATAAATTTGATAAAAAATTCAGTACAGCACATTATAAAAATTGAAGACTCTTACATTTCTATACAAAACATAAGAGTTGGCACTTGTGACATTTATAATTTATGCCGAACTGTCAAAAAAATAAATCGGTATTGAAATATACTTAGTACATTTGAAAATTTTATATCACGTACATTTTCCATACTGAAAATCGTAATTTTGAAAGTGACCTAAGTCCACTTTTTAAAGTGCGGCCCAAAATATTGAAAGCAGTAATGAGGGTAATTTAAATTACGTTTTGATATTAAATTGAAGTTTAAAAAAATAATATTTAATTTTTCTTCAACAGAGGAAGAGAAAGTAATTGAGAATGGGAATTTACAAACCAGAACCTTTAAAGAAGGATTCAGAGAACACAGAAGTGGTACTTACGAGTAAATTCAGAAAATTCGTAAAATTAAACGGAATTAAGGGAAAAGATACGATACTCAATTAGGAAAAAATATTCCTGCTAAAGTTTTTCAAAATGAAGATTGACGAAAGACTGCTTGAAAAATTTAAACGATACAGAAAGAAAACGTATTTTCGAAATCTTTTGGAACTTTAGATAAGCGAAGGGCTATTGAAACGTATATTAAAATCTAAAAACGTTTTCAACGATTTACGTGGACGTTTGCCTGGATCGTCGTCGAGAAAAATGTGATGAAGCAAATATGATTGTTCAAAACCTTATCAACAGTTTCCCGAAATTTGAATCCCATTATACTAGGGACCATAATCCGACAGAAAATATCTTCATTCTGAACTGACTAAAAAAAATGTTTAATTTTTATGAGCTTCACTGTGAAGGAAATAATTTAAAAGCAGTTAATGACAGAAATCAGTCTTGTGCCACAAGATTATTATAATATCAATAAAAAAATGTAAAAATACTTTCATACTAAATGAAATAAAAAAAGATGATTTTATATCAACAAGACTCTTGGAAGAAGCAGTTTATAAAAGATCCAAAAATACCAACGGAGAAAATATAAACTGGCTTCAAATATGCTGGATGCGATTTTTAAGAAATTAACCATATAAAATTTTATGCAAAACAGCCATGGACGAGAACGCAGAATTTAAAATTCTGGATTTATTGCCACGTCCGGGTAGACCTAAAAAATTTGGGAATATTGTATTGCCATCGTTATATAAAAGTATAAGAAGAATCACATCACTAAAATACCGATAGATGATGGACTTATTGCGGTATATACTTCCGGAACACTATACTACTTATATACAAAATATAATTTAAATGTTTTTTTTCCATTTTTTAAGCTATATGTAACGGACTTAAGCTCTTTCACTTTTTGTAACAAAACAAATTTTTATTTTAAAAGTGACCTAAGTCCTTTTAAGGTAAGCAAGGTCATAATATACACTTAATAATATCGACTTTTTAATAGGATGTATAAAATTAAATCCCTTAAATGCGATTTAACATTGCAAGTCAACTATATATCTTCCCTATATTTTTAATTTTGTAAAAACGCATAACGTTTAAGTATTTCAAATTAAAGATAAATGGACTTAAGTCACTTTCAAAATGAACGGCTCACAAATCCTATTATAATGACGACTCTGATAGTGAAACAAAATTAGATTTAGACATTTAGAATAAAAATGTAATTATGTATAGATATTCCTAGCTATGAATTTATTGTAATTTAATGTCATTCTTTTATTTTTGTGTAATTTAATAAGATTATACCCACCTAAATAAACATTATATAAACATTATATTATTACCAAAACCTTTGAGAGTCCGTCCGTACTGTTCTGCCCTTTAATACGTACCGAACCCGAGTTTTGTTGCCGTCGGCAGGTAACTTCTATAATTGTAATACGTTCGTTAAATTTTAAGAAACCGGTTTTGTTTAAATATATTAAACATTTTTTTTATTCGAGTTACGATGACAAAGATTTCAAATAGTTTTGCCAAAGATATGTACTCTACTTTTGTTATTTACTTTGAATATAAATATCTTGTTTCTATTTTAAACGAAAAAAAAATCATTTTGATATACAATTAATTTAGTTATAAAAAGATAATAATAAAGAAAATGATAAAATTGACCACCATGTAAGAAGGCGTTTTTTTAGACATTTATATTTATAAAATATAAATATCTATGTAAAATACTAAATATTTTAATATCTTTATATGATTTTTTAAATTTCTTTTAATGGCAAATCTCCAGCTGAACGTTGGCACGTTTTTTTTGCAACACCGTGTATAACAAAGAACTAAACAAAATTAGGAACGGTATTAGTTGTAGAATGAAAAATAAAGATACGGCAATGCAGCATTTTTTATGACTCTTGCAGGTCATCCGGATGAATTTTTCTACCTTAACCAAGGCTCGAGCCCTACTGTACCGGGCGTACACGATTTAACCCAATTCGAAGAAACAGTCCAAGCGCTAGCCACGCTCGGCTTTTCCGAAACCGACCAGGAAAACGTTTTCAAAATCCTCGCTGGCGTGCTACACCTGGGCAACATACAATTTAAAGATTGCGTCGTCAAAATAGAAAATGAACAAGGTCAAGAGGGATGTATGATACCGGTAAAGTGCGTCTCAAAGTATATAATCCTGAATTTTACTACCTGATTATATATTGTTTGAGGGGGGCGGACCTAAGGGAAAAAGTTAATATTTTCTCTAACTTAGCGCTTAGCGGGAAATTTTGCTGAATATACACCATCATAGACTAACTTAAAAGCTCATTGGCAATACACCACGCACTCCTCTCTTTTAAATTTCCCTAGGTCGTGTAATCCTCCATATACCTTGGAGGATGCCTGTTTCTGGAAGATTGTAGAGTGTCACGACTTCCAGAATCTTGCACTGGCTAAAGGTCCATCAACAGCTAATGAAAGTGTAGCGGGCCCTGGGAAGTTTGAGGTTGTTGGGTTGTTTAAAGACTAAGGAGTCTGATTTTGATGTTTATCTTGAGACTGTGACATTTAAATAATTTAGCTATTTGCTTTGTCTATTCCAATTTTAAATTCCTGTGAGTGATTCAAACCCTCATTAATTATGGTTTCTATATGTGTGTTGTTAATCATAATGTCGCACCTATTTCTTTACTAATTACCATTAGCTAACTACAATTTCAAATTACATGTTTCCAAGAAGCGGTAAATATTTCTATTTACAAATTCAAGCCGGGTTAGATGGAACAGAATATTGTCAATATGAAGAGGAGAAGAAAAATTTCCGTTACTAACTAAACCGTATTAAACTTGCCATAATGGACAATCAAATAACACATGAGTCAGATCAGAATTAACACCTCCATATGCGACCTAAGTATAGTTCGCGCAACGATATACCGTAAATTTTTATGAAGGTCTAACCGCAGGACTTGGGTTTCTCTTAATAAATAGATTCGCAATTCCACATCGACTTTCCAGAACCGTACTTCGGTACTTCGTACAAATAATAACATAATAATACAAAATAATCACTATCGTTACTGGGCTCGTCGCCCACATTAATTAATAATTCTGGCACTGGTCGACTTCTGCAAACATTTTCTTCTTCGATGTTCTACACATTTTTTCCAATGAGAAGCAGATATTTTTTCTACTTCATTTCCAATTAATTCTATTTCCCAAGAACTAACTTTCGGCGAGATATTGTTTCTTCTTAAACTGGAATTCGGCTGCCCCCATATCAATTCCACCGTATTAAAGTTGCAGCAATTATCTACTTAAGGTTTTATATTGCTTTAGTAGGAAAATATCTTAGTCATTATGTTAAAATGTTAAAGTTGGTATTCAGTTTAAGCTTTCTAATGTGTTTTTAATACAGGAGATCAACCTATCTAATATGCAAATTCAACTTGAAATCGAGGTACTTCAAGTAGGGACTATTTTAGGAAGACTTATAAAAAGCACACTAATGTGAATTAGTGCAACAGTTTAATCAAAGAAAATTTCCCTACCCTTAAAATGCAACAGCCCGCACGGCACAGTTCTTGTCGATTAACATCTTAAATACGGCCCTGGCTTGTGGAACACGTTCTGAAAAGAATGGGCCCTTCCGCTTTGCAACAAGCGGGTGTTGTAAAAACGGTATATCGTTAGGCGAACTTTAGGCAGGGGAGCAGCAATGGTTACTTCTTAAACGGTTTAGAGCTTACTTATGAAACCAAGTTGCTTTTGTCAATATTAGTTTTTGTTTTTTTTTCTTTACTCTTTTTGTATTTTCAGCATCCTGTTCAGATGTTTTGAGTTAGTTTAATTTTGTTTTAAGATTTACTTCTCAACCTGATTTACATCTTGGAATTTTCTTTAAGTGTCATCTGGCCTGTTGGGAAATATTGCTATTATTATTGTTAATTGGCCTCAAAAGTCAAGATGATATAGTTTGAGACATAGTGCAACAATTCCTCAAATAAAGTAGTAGCCAACTAGCCGGGTACTTTTTCAGAAATCCGATAGACATTTGAAAATATTCTCCGACCTTCTCGAGGTCGATGAAGACGAAGTTAAGCAATGGTTGGTGACCAGAAAACTGGTGTCCATGCGAGACGTCTACCTCAAACCTATGACCAGTGAAGAAGCTGCGTTCTCGAGGGACGCTCTGGCGAAACACATCTACGCGGAGCTTTTCAACTGGATAGTGTTGATGATCAACAAAGAACTCGAATCGAACGCTCCCCGATATAAATTTATCGGCGTTTTAGACATTTACGGTTTCGAAACGTTCGAGACTAACTCGTTCGAGCAATTCTGTATCAACTACGCAAACGAAAAATTGCAGCAACAGTTCAATCAACACGTGTTCAAACTCGAGCAGGCAGAATACATCAGGGAGGGTATCGAGTGGAAGATGATCGACTTTTACGATAACCAGCCGTGTATTGACTTGATCGAGGCCAAATTGGGCGTTTTGGATCTGCTCGATGAAGAGTGCAAGGTAGGAAAACACTTTTCCATTTCCTTTTAGCCATTCCAAAGCCCAGGGTGCTATTTTCGTGTATGTTTTTTTGTCTCCACCAAATTGCGAGAAATTTGCCATATATTTTTAAATTACCCTGCGGTATGATCGGATGAAATTAGCCATACAATGCTCTTCCAAAGGTTCAACATGAACCTTACCGGAGTCTGTCGAATATTCAAATGACGGGTTAGCTAGCATTAAAATGATTCGTCGGTACTCGATGTAAGTTTAAAACTATTTTCTCCGAATGTAAATTAAACATCCACCAAGTTAACAGGAGTGAGGGGGAAGACTTTTGGTGGTGTCGTTATTTTTGCAACTCATAATGTTTAAATGATTTTTCTTGATGAAGAGCGTTGAACACATTCAAGTAACTTACTAGTACTAATTTTGAATAGCAAGGCACAGGTAGGTGCAGTTTGGTGCCTTCATAAAGCCCTCTTGATGTAAGGCCCCTATTCTCGTCCTGTCAAATTGAGAAATCGAGTTAGCTAGCATTAAAATGATTCGTCAGTACTCTATATCAGTTTAAAACTGTTTTAGATCATACAATTTTTTCCGAATGTAAATTAAACAACCACCAAGTTAACAGGGGAGGGGAGGGAAGACTTTTGGTGGTGTGGTTATTTTTGCAGCTCAGAATGTTTAAATGGGTTTTCGTGGTGAAGAGCTTTGAACACAATTAGGTAACCAATTAGTACTAATTTTGAAAAGCAAGGCACAGGAAGGTGCAGTTTGGTGCCTTCCTAAAGCCCTCTTGGTGTAAGACCCCAATTCTCGCCCAATCAAATTGAGAAATCGGGTTAGTTAGCATTAAAATAATTCGTCAGTACTCGATATCGATATATAAATGTAAATTAAACAACCACCAAGTTAATAGGGGTGAGGGGGGAAGACTTTTGGTGGTGTGGTTATTTTTGCAACTCAGCATGTTTAAATGAGTTTTCGTGGAAAACACCTTTGAATACGAGCAAGTAACTAACTAGTACTAATTTTGAATAGCAAAGTACAGGTAGGTGCAGTTTGGGGCCTTCATAAAGACCTCTTTATGTAAGGCCCCTGTTCTCGTCCAGTAAAATTGAGAAATCGGGTTGGTTAGCATTAAAATGATTCACATTTTCACGAAATTGTCTATTTTTACATGACAATTGTTTCGACAACACCGTGTCTTTATTTTTTTTTTGACAAAACCACGTGTAATTCCAGATGCCGAGGGGGACGGACGCATCCTGGACCGAAAAACTTTACTCAAAATGCGCGAAATACTCTCACTTCGCCAAAACGCGTTTCGGAACCTCCGGCTTCACCATCAACCACTTCGCCGACCGGGTGGAATACGAAAGCTCCGGTTTCCTCGAAAAAAACCGCGACACAGTCATCGAGGAGCAAATCAATGCGGTCAAGGCGAGCAGGAACAAACTGCTGAGACGTTTGTTCGGCAGCGACGCCCACAAATTGCAAATACCTAACGCCAAACTCAAGATAGTCTCTTCGAAAGCCGAATCGGGAGCGAAGAAAACCCACAAAAAATCGGTGGGATCGCAGTTCAGGGAATCGCTCAATCTTCTAATGACTACCTTGAGCGCGACCACGCCCCATTACGTGCGTTGCATCAAACCGAACGACACTAAAGGTGCGTTTAACTTTAACGCGAAACGAGCGGTGCAGCAGCTGCGCGCCTGCGGGGTCCTCGAAACGGTGAGGATCTCGGCCGCAGGATTTCCGAGCCGGTGGAGCTACCTGGAGTTCTTTTATCGGTACCGCGTGCTCATCAAATTCAAGGACATCGACAGGAGTAAAATGGCAAAAACCTGCGAGATTATCCTGACGCAGTACATCAAGAACTCGGACATGTATCAGTTCGGAAAGACGAAGATATTTTTCCGGGCGGGTCAAGTGGCTTATCTAGAGAAACTCCGTGCGGAACGGTTGAGGACGTGTTGCGTCATCATGCAGAAAACAGTCAGGGCGTTCCTGTGTCGCAGGAAGTATCTCAAGATCCGGAAATCGGCGTTGCTTTGTCAGAAGTACGCCAGAGGGCTGCTGGCGAGGAGGTAAGTTTGGCAACGGTGGCTTGACATGTTCACATTATGCTTGTTACTTTCGAAAAATCGATGAAATCGAATTTTTCGAAAGTATACGCGCTTGGCAACGAAACTTATATCTCGACATCGGTAGGTCCTAGGGGACCGCCATTGGTACAGTGTCGAAAAAAAAAATTTTTTTTTCTGTTCTCCGTTATCCGTTCTCCGTTTCTCTGTAGACCTAGCATTAATTGGCTATATCTTTTGAACGGTTTGCAGCGCGATCTTCAAATGTGGCTCCTTTTAAGCCGTGCACGAGTTACACAAACCAGAAAAAAATGGGTCTGATCAAACCAAGGCATCCATCTTTTTTTTTCGATTTTCATCTGTTTTTGGAACTTCGCTATGAAACACGATAAGTGTCCGAAATTTGAAGCCATCCACTTGAAATTTGACACATATATAGAGTTTACCTCCGTAACGAAGCCTATTGAAACTGGGGAGGCTGGGGGGTCGAGAAGTATTTTTTAAGAATTAAAAACCCCACTTGCAGGTTATCGAGAAAAAAATCATTTACCAAATTCATTAACCAAACGACGCGAAAGATCCGGATCAAAAACCTTTATTCTTGATGATTTTTTAAAAATGTACAGGGTGCGTCGGTAATTTGCAAAAAACTAAAAATTGGTCTCCCTTTGACCATAACAAGAAGGCTGTGATTCTGTTGCCAGTTTTTTTTACATAGCTATATAGCTATATTCCGTACTATATTTAAATTTGGCAAGGAAGTAAAAGTCCATACCCACATCTAAGCAGTAGAATTTGGGCGTAATTAAGTATCACCAAATATATTTTTTTAAAATTTGAAAACTTTTCTTTGAATATTTTGGCTTCCAGAAAAACATTATGTTCTCAAAAACTATTCAACCGATCAGAAAAATTTTAGAACCATAAAATGCGGGAGATCGAGGGCTATGACTTTTATTTCAGACATTTTTTCGATTGTATACAGGGTGTTTCAGTTATGGACAAAAGTCTAAAAGACCATGAAAATCGTTCTTTTCGCTATAAAATTATTAGCCGTAAATCAAAATTCGTGAAAAATATGGCCAATTGGTTTAAACAGTGTAATAAGCCACATCGAGAGCTATAATTTTTGTATTTATTTACATTTTAGTCTATCGTATACGCTGTTCGAGATATTTGAAAAAATCCAAATGAAAATCACAATTTCTCGCCTTCAATCTTGAACCAGGAAACGTTTGAGATCTAGGGCTAAAACCTCTATTTGCTTCATTTTTTCAATTATGTACAGGGTGTGTCGATTATGGACAAAAAATCAAAAAGACCCTGAACATTGCCGTTTTCATGGTATATTATTGGCCGTTAATAAAAAGCTATAAAAAAGGAATAATTTGAAAGAGTTCCAGGTTTCGTCTATCATACAGGGAGATATTAAAAAAAAAAACATTACAAATATCTGTTATTTGTACAAATTACAATATTACATTACAAACAATCTTGTTTTGTTTTCAGGAAAGCAAATCAGATCAGAAGGCAGAGGGCGGCGCTTACCATACAGAGGTATACTCGCGGTTGGTTGCAGAAGAGAAAGTATGACTCACTGCGCAGATGCGTTCTCGTTATACAAGCCCACGCTAGAGGTTACCTGGCGAGACTTAGGTTTATGGATTTGAAATATAACGCCATGGTAAGTTTGTTTTCGTGGTTTGAACTTTCGAAATGCGTTGGATCATTCGAAGTATTTATGGCAGGTTTATCGAAATGATTACAAATTATTTAGTGAGGTTTACGGAACCCACCATTCCATATCTTAATAAAAACTAGCAAATATAATTGGGAATTTTAAAAACGCCCGCAGTGACGTCACAGAACAGCTTATAAACTTCAAACCGCTAAGTTTCCAACAAGTGGTAGCATTCAGTTGTTATTTATTATTTTTTACTGCAATTTTTTCTCATAAAATGGGTTGTAAATGGTGTCTGGTACCAGCGTACACAAATACGATAATACGGACACTGCAAAAAATATTTGTAAGTGTTCCCAAAACGCAGGAATTTCAGTGTTTTCTTTCTGAGAAGATCACTTCAAAATAAGTAAACGGTTTATTATTATATTGTTATTATTATTATTATTATTATTATTATTATTCAAATTGAATGTACGAGGTGTGTTCAAAAAACTTTTAAGTTTTTTAATTGTTAATTGTTTTGTAATGTTGTCCTCTTCAAGGCAATTCCCTCCCAGATATAATACACTTGTGCCAACGTTTTTGAAAATCCTCGAAAACACTTCTGGGAAGCACTTTCTAATATAGCCTTGAGTTCTTCCAAGCGATTTTTTTTATCTCCACAATCGTTCCAAGCCCTCTTTCTTCCAAGAGTTTCTTGAATTTTGGGATCAGGGGGGCATATCCGGTGACTATGGTCCCTGAGGCATGATTGTGGTTTTGTTTTTGGCCAAAAAGTTAGACACAAGCAATGATTAATTAGCAAGTGCTTTAACGTGGTGCAAAATCCATGAATTGATTTCCCACAATTCCGATCGTTTTCTTCGCATTGCTTCTCGCAAATGGCGCAATTTTACGTGCTGTTTTCGGTCTTGGTTATTCTGAGTTCTTCCATTGGTTCGACTGGGCTTTGGTTTCAACGTCATAACCATATACCCATGTTTCGTCACGAGTTATGATATTTTTGATTAATTTAAAGCTGTAGCTTTAGTTGAAGCAGCTTTCTATGACATTAGAACAACTTTTCAAACCACATTGCTTTTTTTGCCCCTCTCTAGGATGCCTATAGTGGATTTTTAGGTAATAATAATAAAACAAAATTTCAATTTTTGGACTTTGAACTTTTTGTGATGTTTCAAGGTCATGATGTGCAGCACAAAAATAAGCTTTCTTCAAATTGGAGCAATACTTTATTTGACTTTAAGGATCTTCTGCACAGTCTTGGCACCCATAATTACGACAACGATCCAGTTGTACTTTCGTACTGGATTCGAGTTGCATTTTCTATTAATACGAACGTATTAAGATCCAATTTCTTACCCAGTGACTTCAGTATTTTATTCACATCATTCTGTATATCTTCAATTGCCGGAATAAAGAAATGATGAAGAGAAAACTACCAAACTTCGCTGTGTGTAAACTCGTGTTGATATGTCAATAGTTCATAGTTCGATATTTTTCTCTTCTTTCGCTCTTCTAAAAACTCTTGAAGGATTCCGGTGTTGGTACTGGCCTGTTGAACTCTTTTGCTACATAATTGCTTTACAGTGATATATTTTAATGTGCTTCAACTCTGGATAGTGTAGGTTTCTTCCAGTGGCACTTAACCTCCTCACTTCGCCCATGCGTCCACATCAAAAGGGCTTTGCTTACAAACACCTGCGGAAGCTGCGCAGTACAAATATTAAGAGCTCACAATTTTTAGAAATATTATCGGCCACGCACAGCCTTAGCTACATCGCAACCACTAGTTCTCGCATTTTTATGAATAGGTATAACCTTTTTATTTATTTTTATACTTCGCTATTACCATGCTCAACAGCGTAAAAATCGGGATTATTTTCTAAAAACACTCCCACGAAATTAACAAAAATGAGTCGATACGATTGTTGTTACAGTTGTAAACACCCCAATAATGAAATGGAAGCGAATGCGAATGAAATGTGACGTCATTGGACATTTAGCAAATCAGGACCTGTTTCGATCACGTGACGGCAGCTTTAAAACGAATTTCTTGTAACTTATAATCTATGAGAACGTAAAAAAATATTTTTAACACTGTCGAATAGCCTACTGTGATTAATAATACGCACTGTCTGTTTGTCGTGTCAACGTTTGATACCTTCTCAACAATTTCAGGCAACAATTATACAAAAACACGTGCGCGGCTGGTTGGCAAGGAAAGAATACCAGAGACGGAAGCGGCAGATCGTCGTTTGTCAAGCGGCGATTAGAAGGTACCTCGCCAAACGTCAATACAAGAAGTTGAGGATCGAGGCCCGATCCATCGAGCATGTCAAGTCGCTCAACAAAGGACTCGAGAACAAAATCATCAGTCTGCAGCAGAAATTCGACGAAGTCAACAAAACAAATAACGAACTGCTTGGTTTCAAAAACGAAGTCATCGAATTAAAGTGAGCGAAAACCGTCTGTTTTGCACCTCTTATTTAATTTCTGCTTTTTCTAACCTAATCTTTTTGAAGTTAATTCGAATTCAACTTTTTGCAATTATAATAATGACCTGAAAATTCCATTGTTTATAAATCAAAATTTGGATGTTCAGAGTTTAACTGATCATTCATCTCTGTACCTGCTTATATATTGTTTGAAAGGGGCGGAGCTAAAGGACTGATTCCCATATATTCCAATATAACAATTTCAGTTAACATCTGCAGAGTAGGAACACATTTTATTTGACTAAAATGAAGACAATAAATAAAATAATTATTAAAAATCTGATGTAAAATTTATTTGTATGAAAATTTATAAAATATTGCATTGTAGATAGTTTTTAGATGATATATTTAAAGCTCAGAAACTTTAGATTTATTATCTTATCTTTAAATAATCGAGCAAAACTTAATTAATATACAGAGTTTCCGAAACTGGATGCTCTATTAGAGGTATATAGAGAAAGAATAATTGGATTGCTGCCATTGGAGACTGATCTCTATTTTTATTTATTTTTTGAAACGCTAACCACACCCTAACTTCATTTTTTAAATAAGACGTCCTATATATTGCTACATTTAAATATTCTATGAAAAATCCAAAAACTATTTATGTCACATACATTATTGCCTTTTTGAGCAGTTTTGAGATAAACACTATTTTTTTAGAGAACATGTATCAAGAATCTTTCAACCATTTTAGATAAAAATCAAAAATTTGGTTTATGGCTTTTCAACAAGCATCTGTATCATTTATTAAATTTTAATTAAATTAAATTTATGTACATTGTGCTAAATATATACACGTAAACTAATGGTGCTATGGTCATATCTGTAACTTATTGCAAATAAAAGAACGAATCATTACATACTAGAAACAGAAAATTTATTAAGACATTTTATGTTATCTTTTATATATTTAGGTGACTTTCTTCTGTTGAATATTTATTTTTATTTTTAATTTGCATTGCAAATAATTATTTTTAAAAATTTTGGTTAGTTTTGTACTGTGAAACTATCTCGCCTACTAAATGATTCAAAATAATGATGGTATATTATAACAGTTTATATCAAGAGTGAATAATTTATTCCCGCAATAAAATACAGGAAGTTTCATTTAAAAATCAGATATTGGATTTCACACACGTCCATAATATTTTTTCTTCGGCATTTTTTTCAGTAAATAAAAAATATACAAGGTGGGTCAAAAAGTATATATCGTTACCAAGTTTTTTTTTTACTAGAGGACCATTTTTTTAAATCAATTTTCGAATTCTACGTCAAATTTCACGCATGTCGTGTAGCAAAAAAAAATCAAAAATAGAAATTTAATTTTGATATGAACAAGTGGCTAGTACCAGTACAGTTTTTGAATTGTTACAATTATATTTCTGTTAGTAAAGAAAGTGAATATGATTTTAAAATATCTACGTTTATCCGAAAATATTGAAATTTGTATCGAAGTTAGAGGTGAATGGGGTCCATTCCCAAATACTATATAATAAGCATCCACCGATTCGCTATAATTAGTTAATATTCTCAAATAATAATTATAAAATTCATGGATATTATGAAACTCCTCAAAAATTCTCGTTTTCATTTTTTTAAAATACCTGCGATGCTTCGAAAAGTTTGAACTTCTTGCTGGACATTAAGGTCAATCAGGCCTATAAATAAAAATTATAAAGTCCTATCTAGCTCCCACCATTTAATTGTAAATAATAATTAATATAATTTTCAAAAAATTGCAGTCTTCCACGGAAACCGTCCCCGACAAAAAACCATACAACTTGTATTAGATCTTTTGGTATCCTTAGATAGAGGAAAGGATGCAGTATATAAGGTATAAATTTCAAATACTTAAAATTATAAATAACGGAAATATGAAACATTTTATCCAAAAAATATGTTTTTTTTTGCGAATATTTTGTACCCCGGAAGGACTAAGGAATTTATAATTAAACAACCGACTATTTTTTTAATAATCCGCCGACCCCCTATCTTCGAGGCAAATTCCTAGTCAAAATCGGCTTTTTCGAGTTTTATTTTACCGAAATCTACCTTAGAAAAGCAATTATTTACTTAAAACCTCCTTTTCTGGGACAAATAATTGGTTTTCGCATTTTGATTTTGAGCAGATTATAGTCAAAACCTGCATTTTCATAACCTACCAGACTGAAATATACATATTTTTAATTTTTTTTTATCTGCGGATAGACCTTCGGGAAGATATAAAAAAAAGTAGGTTGTTTAATTCTAAGTTTCGGGAGACAAAATATTGGTCAAAAAAACGTCAATTTTTTCAAAAAATTCTCTATAGTTTATAGACGTTTTCAAGAAATAATTACAAATTCGAATTTATCGTCCTCGAAAACAGAATTTTATCCACATTTGAGAAATAACCCCAAAATACGATTTTGGGTTGGTTAAAATTAACCACCGAAAATCGGTGGTTAATTTTTTTAAAGTTTTATATCTCGCTTATTTATAACTTTTATATACTTTGGTCCTTTCTCTAACTGACAATACCAAAAAGTCTTATCTTATGAAACTCAGAGAATTGCAATTTTAATTTTTATTGGCTATGAAGACAAAATGAAAACCAAACTCGAGAAGAATTTTGTACGTCGTTTAACGCAAAATATCCTTAAAGACCTATTACAAGATTAGTGAGTAAAGTTGAGAAAAATATTATTGAAACAGGGCATCTGAAAAAAATTATTTTATTAGGTGTTGAAAATATGCACCATTAACTTATTGAGACAACACTAATCGGTTTAAAATACATTCCAAAGGTTACTCATGATATTTTCATTAATTTGGATTATTTAAAATATTATTAAATGATCTAAGTTTTGTGATTTTTCCTTACACACTAGATTTTAAATATACCGTATTTAATTATTCACGCACCCTTCTGTTGAAATCAGATCTGTCTGTGTGGCATATCAGGCTGATATTTAAGAAAGAAACTGAGAAAAAATGAAAAAAAAAATTTAAGTTGCACATTTCCATCATAGTTTCACAAAACTGTAGTGATATAATTATCATAATAATCATGATACCTTCCATCTTTCCATACACGCATAGCTGTTCGTTATTTGAAGCTACTTTAGAAGATGCACCATGGGGATTATCCTTAACTACTAAAAAAATATTTAATCTTGTATTTTTTACTAAACACTTGCTTGTTCGTTTTAAATTTAAATTTGTTTTTTATTCTTTTGTTCATAAAAAATAAGAAATTGGTATAGGTTAAATGAATTTGTTCAATATTTTATCCGCTCACTGAATTTATAGCTGTTAATAGATTTTGTTTACCTGTAATGGAAAAAAATACTTCAGGTTTCAGATTTTTTCATAGAATCCAAAAATAGAGCAATCCATAATGAAAAATGAACTTGTTTCATGGTTCGAGTAGATGTGGCAACGCTGCCTTGTTTATAAGCATGCGCAGTGCTTCTGTAAAGTCCAGTTAGAACACTTCTGCAATTACGTCATAGCATGACACCTTTATCTAGTTCATTATTGCATGTCGTAAATTGAGACAGGAATTTTATTTGTATAGCTAAGACACACGGACAATTTTTGATTACGTTACTATACGTCACAACTGCTCTGACTAGTGTATGACATATTCTATATAGCTACGGTAGTGGTTATCGAAACTGATAATTTCAGGAGTAAAATGGTGACGTTCAGGGCGTTGGAAATCGAAATTAAAAACTTGAACGCTCTGGTGATCGAGAAGAACAAGAAGATTACGAAATTAGAGGAAGATTTGAAGATCGAGAGGGAGGAAAAAGTGGACCTGATCAACGAGCACGAAAGGTATAGGAAAGAGGCGGAGACGCAACGGGAATACTGGGCTCAGGAAACGGCCAAGTTACGAGCCGAAATCGAAACAATCAACGAAATAGTGAAAACGAACGAGAAGGGCGTCGAGGAAAACCTCAAGTTACGCATGGAGGAAGAGAAAAATCTTCTGTTGAACGAGTCGGACAAAGACAGACAGGCGTACCAGAAACTATTGCAGGAATACAATCGGCTCGAGCAGCACTGCGAGGAGATGGAAAAGCAGTTGAATCGGCAGGGACACCACAGACGGAACGTGAGCGATATCAGTACGATTTCCACTCTAGACTTGAGCGAGTTGCCCGAGGATCACGGTTACGGATCGGTGAGATCTACCACCAGCACCAGAGAAAAACTTGAAAATATCGATTGGAAAACGGATGGTAAGTCCAGTTAAAAAATGTATACAGTGTATATTACGGTGCTTCATTTTTAGGCGATATTTTTTTCTCTGCGCTACCTGAAAATCTGATACTTTATAGAAAATAAAAAATTATGCCGCCGGGTAAAACGCTTTAAGTGCATAGCGGCTTAGCCCATTTAAAAATTCATTTTCCTATTTAAATAAAAAAAAATTGTTTCGGTTTTCACTTGATTTTTCGACGTGAAGAAAAATTTTTTGGGAAAAACGCGTGCTACAAAAAGTTCCTATGCGTACATTCTCCCCGATCAACAGCTTTTAAGTGATAGAGCTGTGAAAACAAATGTTCATTATAATTGATGTCAAATCATTTCTAAATTAGGATTTATTATTTTTCATTAAATAGCAATTCATTATAAACAAAAGAACTCTTTATTTGAGTTGTTATATGATTTAAGTTTCTAATTTCCAAAATTATTTTGGAATCAAATATAAATAAAATATTTAAAAAATTATGCAAAAAAATGAGTCTACAGAAACTCCAGAATAAAATAAAAAATTACACTTCTACATATTTTGTTAATTAAAATTTATATTCGTTCACTAACTTTTAGAGTGTTCACTGGATTACAAACATGACTAGTTTCTAAATGTCTATAATTAATTGTCATTTAATTATAATTCATATTTTTTGAATAATTTTCTCTATTTGATTCCAAAATAATTTTGGGAATTGGGAACTTGAATCATATAACAACTCAATGTAAAGCGTTCTTTTATTTATAATTAATTGCTATTTAATGTAAAAATAATAAATCCTAATTTAGAAATGATTTGATATCATTTAAAATGAACTTAAAAGTTGTTGGTTGGGGAGAGTGTACGCATAGGAACTTTTTGTAGCAAATTTTAGGCTCTACAAAAGCTATACACCCGTTTTTCCAAAAAAAAATTCTTCAAGTCGAAAAATCAAGTGAAAACCGAAAAAAAAAATTGTTTCTATATTATTTAAATAGGAAAAAGAATTTTTAAATGAGCTAACCCGCTATTGCCTTTTACGCGGCGGCACAATTTTTTATTTTCTATAAAAAAAAATAAATCAGGTTTTCAGGTAGCACAGAGAAAAAAAAATATCGCCTAAAAATGAAGCACCCTAGTGTACATACAATGTACCTTTGTACCTAGGTTTTTTTTTTTAATGGTGAGAGACGGGTCATGTGATACCTCTTTTTAAAGGTTCGATTCCCATAGCAATTTTAAAAACATGTGATTCGTCAGTTCTTGCCAGACAGTCAAATAAATGCTGGCAAATGTTTCATCATTTTTTATCAACGACTTTATTTAAATGTTCGAATTTAGCCCCTTGTGCATTTTGACAATAATTGAGTCTGTCAATAAACTCGTCCCTAACATTATGCAAAGTTTCTGGGGGAATTACACAGCAAACTTTTCGAATTCTGGCTGTGAGAACTTGAATTTTGTTTTGTAACATGAACAAACAACCTAAGCAAAAAAGGCCGGGGTGTTAAGTCTGGCGACAAAGGTGGCCACTCAATGGGCCCTCGTCTTCCAATCCCCCTGTTTGGTTGTTCATAGTACTGCATCCGTCTCTCTGGAGTGTTTTCTGATAGCTGATGTACTAAACTTCATTTGTAGGGATAAACATTTTGTTTTCTGTTTCTATTAATTGAATATGTTGAGAGATGTTTGGACAAGTGGTAAATCTGGTTTTGACCTTAAATTTGTTGTACATATATAGAATACAAGTGAATATCAGGAAAAAATTCAAGATATTCTTACGGACGGATCTTAGATTGAACTTAAAATAGTTCCTACGTGAATCCGTATAAAAATCTGTAACCTCTCATGACTCTAAAATTCCTCGCCTCTACAGACTCTCCAAGATTCACAAACCGGGATTATCCCTATTGTCAGCACCATTCGTTCTCTTTAGCAAAATATGTAGCTTCTATATTAATGAATTTTCGTCAATGTGGCCGTTTCTTCTAAAGATGCTTGCTTGCTGGCACTATAACTTCTTTAGTCTCGATAGAATGTTTTCTACATTTGGGCGGGAGCATCTCCTGAGATACACTAGACTCGCACATATTTTGGATAATTCGCACACGATTCAACACACGCTGTATTACACACGAAATAAGAATGATTACTAATAAACTTAAACTAAGTAGTATGCCAAACCAGAGAATGTTAAACACAGGTATTTATAAAATTATTTTCTATTACCAACCACAATTTTACCTGAATTTAAATTCCGAAACTTTAGGTAATAATCTTGTTGCATTGTATGTTAATGACCACCCTTGGATAATCCCATTCAAAAGCAATTGCTCACTTTCTTATATCTATGAACAGGCCATACATTTCAATAGTTTGGGCTCTCCCTGGCCCACAGTGCGGCAGCAAAATCTACGTAACCATATCCTTTAGCGATTTCTGTTCCTTTTCAGGCGCTAGCGAAAGTCAAACTCCAAGTTCTTCCGACGTAACCTCGAAATCCGAATCGGATAACCACGTGGACGTCGGTCTAGTGCTGAAGCTGCAACACAGGCTGGCCGACGTCGAACGGGAAAAGGCGAGACTGGAAAAAAGACTGGACGAGCTGTATATGTCGCCACGTATCGAAAGGGCCGAAAACGCGGCCAGGGACGCGATAAAAATATCGGAAATGGAACTGCGCAATTCCAATTTGAAGACCCAACTGCTGGAATTGCAAAATAGCATTAACGAGGGTACCGGGGTCGCCATGTTACGCGAACACCTTCGTCAGATGCAGACCGAGCTGGATCGTAGAAGCGAGGAGGTTGTGCAACTGAAGAGCGTGCTCGCCAATCAGACCGATAACATGAAAACGATCGTCAACTCCAACAATCGAATGGGTGAGGAATATACAGGGCGTCCGCCGAGATGATATCTCTTTAATTTTGTCTGTTCTCCGTTCTCCGTTTTCTGTTCTCTGTCGACGCTTCATAAAAACGCGAATAACGTCGGAACCGTTGGAGCTGAGATGCTGAAATTTATCTCCTTTTAAACAGGCCACGAGACACATTAGCCTCTAGGAAATAGCCGCGATCCATATTTTTTTCGCGATTTTTTCGTACAGCAATCGACTTCAAATTTGGTCCCATTGACGACTGGGGGGTCGGCAAGTATTTATAGAAATTTAAAAATACGAGTTTGCAGGGTTTCATGAAAAAATCATTTCTCAGAAACGGTACACACGATCAAACAAATTATTGAACCGTAAGAAGCGCGAGATCCTAGTTAAAAACTGTTATTCTTGATAATTTTTCAAACATGTACAGGGTACAGAATGCTGATTTCACTATACCTACATAAATACCGATTTAAACTTAAACGCACTTCAGAAAAAACTCTATGAGAGCTATTTTAATTGACAAATTTTAATAAATAAATAATCCGATATGCAAATGCGCAAGCCTCGACTTTCTGGACGACAGTCAACCATTTTTGTAGGTACTCTTGCTATAAGATTATTTTTTGTTTATATGTTTTTTTTATTTTTTTTTTTTAATTTTACGCCATGACGTAGAATGTTGATTTCACTATTGCAGGTGCCTACATAAACGAAGATGGCGAACTAGCTCTCGCGTACGAAACCCAGAAAACCATCAACAATCAACTGGAACTGGAGCTGCAAGACGAGAAGGCCAAATTCAAGGCGCACGAACGAGAGTACAAACTCGAAATCGAGAAACTTCGAGAAGACAACGAACGGCAACAACGTTTATTATCCTCGAACCTGACTTCGACTCCGCAGACCCAAGGCGAAGCCTTCTTGCAGCACGAGGTGACGAGACTGACGAACGAGAACTTGGCGTTGCTCGACCAGAACGATTCGTTGAACGAAACCGTCAGAAAGTTGAAGAAGCACGTCAAAGTGCTTACGAAGAAGCTGAAGGAGTCGTGTTTCGATTTGGACGAACCGCTATTGGCTGCGGGTTCTAAAAAACAGCTTCCCGTGCCGCCGACAAGATCCCAGCCGACCATCAGAAAGAAAGACAGGCAATACTTGGGGATGTTCGCCTATAAGAGCGGGCACGAGAATTTGATCATGAAGCACTTGGTTATAGGTATAAAAAATAATTTCGTACGATTTTTCCCCCATCAACCTCCTTCCCTTAAGTTTCTTGCTTCTTGTATGTTATCCGGTGTCTCTTTTCTTTATTTCCAGAGGAACTCAATTCCAGATTTCCTTTGGCCATCAATTCGCTGGAGATGTCCATACCATAGTGTATCCAGAATGAAGCTAGTTATACCCATTTGCTTATATCTTACGTGCTCCATCCTTGAAGTTCAGTTACTCCTTCTCAAGTAATCAATTGCTGGAACCAACAATTGTTCCTTGTTTCATTTTGTTAACTCAAAGATTGACTTCTATATTATTTTTGTAGTCCTTTTCGTAATTCGGTTACTCCAAAGCCTTATAGCTCTTTTTCCTTGCCCCATTTTGCTTGAAATATCTTCCGGTTTTGGAGAGCGTCACTCTGATTGTTGTCACCAATAGCCCCATACTCAGTTTTCTTCGGTTCCTGCTATCAAAATTAGATTGTCAACAAACAACAGAGTGTGCATCATCTGATCTTCACTTCTACCAAGCCTTTAGTGACTGGAAATTCTTCCCATTGATGTTTCTTATTTTATGCATATAGGCTTGACTGATAGAGTTTTATTTCATTGCTGATAGTAGCTTATTCAGTGAGCCTTTGGAAGATTACATGTGCTTCTCTACCTCATTAAGTTCTTTAGTATAAAACTCCATCATCCTAGTGTTGTAGTGACTGTCTTTTTCTATTCGATGAGAGGATCTTCTCCATGGCGTGATTTTTTGAAGATTTCTTCAATTCTGGTGGCAGTTACTGATTTTATGACCTCTTACACAGTGAAATTCGTGATCCAGTCTATTTAATTTTTTACAGACTTTTTCTAAAGAGATGTTTCGTCGTGACACCGTTCATTAAATGGCGTTTTTGGCAACAAATTTTAGTGTCAGTATTCCGTATATTGCCCATACTTTTTATGTTACTAATTTTAATTCTTTTTGAACATAAAATAAACGGCAGAATGTCACACTTTGGCGTTTACCGTCCTTGGGCCTTACTTATGCCGATCACACAGACGCTTTTGTACTGTATTGTATGCACGCGAGCGTAATTAAAATGTGACGCGATTGTTGCTGCAATTTGTTGCATGAGTATTTGCAACCTCTAAATATAACTTGCATATTAACTAGGTACAAATACTACCGACCTATATTCTTAGTTGGCAACAGCAAAAAATGTACCTCGAAAATTACCAATTTGGTCAGCTTCTCTCAAGAACAAGCCAAATTGCTGCTATTTGCTGCTATATCTACTTGCTGCACTTTTCTAATTGGTCGAATTTGTTGCATGAGTATTTAGACGCCGACATTCTAGATTCTAGACAAATAAAAACAGGGTTGTAGTGTCTAACTAAAACTAAAAAATTACTATGCAAGTTACCCGAAAAATGATCAAATTCCACTGTGTATTAAGATATTGATCATCTTCCACGCATGCCTTTAAATTTCATCACTAACCTGCATTAACTGTGCCATTTTCCTCCATACATAGATCTGGCTATATTTTAGGAAAAATGCTACATATAAACAGAAGCCTGTCTAATTGAGATCTTATTATGTTAAATGTTCTATCTCAATACGCTAGTAGCTACATGGGTGTATCAAAACAAGATTTCGCATATATAAATGGTGTAAACCACTCAATCTAACTTGGCAACGCTGTAATAGAAAAGCGAAACAAATTTGACAAGAGGAGAAAATAATGTTGTCTTTTCTGTTGTCTTCTCTTTTTTGATCAAAAAATAGTAGTATGTATTTTTTCAGGAGCCATTTTTTATACCCAATATCGTTTTGACACACCAAATGCTATAGAAGTTATTGGTCGGCGCCTCTCCCAGGCGACCACGCAGAACAAATCGATTAGACCATTTACTTGATTTCAGATCTAAAACCAAGGACTGCGGTAACTCTGTTGCCCGGTCTTCCAGCTTATATAATGTTTATGTGTATCCGACATACCGATTACAAAAACGACGAGGACAAGTTGAAGGCTCTATTTTTGGCTTTCACGAAAGCCGTAAAGAAGGTCGTTAAAAAGAATCACGGCGACTTCGAGGTTGCCAGCCTGTGGCTCTCGAACACTTCAAGATTGGTTCACTGCATGAAGCAGTACAGTGGCGAGAAGCCGTTTCAGATGCAGAACACGCCCAGCCAGAACGAGCAATGTCTTAAAAATTTCGATTTGTCGGAATATAGGGTCCTCATTTCCGATATTGCCGTGGGCATATACCAAGGTACGTATGCGTCGACATTCTTTTTTTATCAGCTGTAACAGTATATATGTCTGTTTTTCGTACATCGCTATGAAACACGATAAGTTGTAGTCATCTATTTCGAAATTGGTATAAATATAGAGCTTAGTCCTTTGACGGAACCTATTGAAATTTTGGGGGGGGGGGGGGGGTCGGGAAGTATTTTTAATAATTTAAAACCGCATTTGCAGGGTCTCGAAAAAAAATCATTTCTCAAAAACGATATATACCATCGAAAAAATTCTCGGACCAAATGACGCGCGAGAACAGGATTAAAAACTTTTATTCTTGATGATTTTTTAAAAATGTAGAAGGTGCGTCGTTAATTTACAAAAAACTGAAAATTGGGTTCCCCTTATAAAGATAATTGACCATAACTAGAAGGCTGTGATTCAGTTGTCTGTTTTTTTTTTACATGGTTTTATAGCCCATGTGGACGGTTAAAACTTCTGTATTTACGGTTTTCACCTATTGCACAGGGTATTCAAGATATTCCGTGCTATATTAAGAAATGTAACAAGTGTCTCAAATTTGCAGCTATCCACATTTAAATTGTTGAAACTGAAGTATGGCAAAGTATTTTTCTTTTAATTTTCGCATTTTTTTTTTTTGGGTTATGTTGGTTTCCAGGAAAAAATAATTTTCTTCAAAACTCTTACCCCGATCGGCCAAATTCTTTAACCAACAGGCGCTGACGACCCAGTGCTATGACATTTATTTCATACCTTTTTTAGATTATATACACGGTTTTTCTATTATGGACAAAAATCTAAAGGACTCTGAAAAATTGTCCTTTTCGCTGTTAAGTTATTAGCCGCAAATCAAAATTCGTGAAAAATATGGCTAATTGGTTTAGACCGTATTATAAATCACATCGAGAGCTATAATTTTTGTGTTCACGGTTTTCGTCTTTCACATACACTACAATAGACTCAATCTAGAAACGATGACGTCATTTGCTATTACGGTGTACTGCATGGTTTCAGAAAACAAGTATTTTCTTGAAAACTATTTATCCTACTGGCATTTTTATTCGTTGGTAAAAACATGGCATCTTTTGAAATTGGTATTATTTGTGCAAATTATTACATTCATCAAAGTTTGCCGTGACTTCGAAGTTCGGCGAGACGTGAAAGTTACTTTATACAGGGTGCATGCACATTAAAATTACATCGATTTTGCGAAAGTTCCGTAGTGGTCCGCAAACCATGCGTCCGTCTAGGGCATGAAACCGTGAAGCTGCTTCTTTTTGAAACACAAAGTAGCTTCGCGCTACATGCTACAATAGCCCAGTCATATTAGGTAAAAAAAGGGGTCAACCTTGGAATGAAAGATAATAACCTGTAAATTAGTATGAACCTTTGTTTTGTCATGCTAAATGTTGTCTCAAAAGTCACAAACGCTATCGTGTCCGCGTCTTAAGATATTCAAGGTCAAAGGTCACAAAAATCGGTTTTTCGCGAATATCTGGCTTCCTATTGCTTAAATGAGATTTTTTTCTTATTATAAAAGTTGTAGGCTATAAAATTCTCCACAACTTTTGTTTAAACTTTTTTTTCATACGACCAACCGTTTTTGGGGTAGAGCGCGAAGAGTGCGCAGCGTACAGTCATATACGGCCTAATGCAATGATGTGACTGAGTACGTCCAATTAAAATAACGAGCAAATCAATATCTTCTCCTATGCTGTAAACTCTTCGCGCTCTACCCCAAAAACGGTTGGTCGTATGAAAAAAAAGTTTAAACAAAAAAGATATTCGCGAATATCTTAAGACGCGCACACGATAGCGTTTGTGACTTTTAAGTCAACATTTAGAATGACAAAACAAAGGGTCATACCAATTTATAGCTTATTATCTTTCATGCCGAGGTGAAACCCCTGGGCTACAAACTTGCCTTGCCCAGTGACGATTTTTCGAAAGCAAACTTGTTGATAATTTCACATATAAGAAGTTTCTTTTAAAATTTAAGGTTAAGGTTTTTGTGTAGTTTTCTAGTAAATTCACACATATAAAAGCATAACCTGCAAATATCACTTGATGTAGTTAAAGGATTGAATTAATTGAATCGATTAATGCTTCATTCCCGGTGGATTTAACTAGTCACATAGAAAGTCAATGACGTGTTAATCATATCTAAAAAGCAAAAAATAAGAAAGGGTGTTGTGCCCGTATTGAAATGTATGAGTGATAGCAAATGTGGCGATCAATATTCTTATTACAGACTTAATAAAAACGTTCGAAGGACAAATCCAACCGTTGGTGGTTCCTGCAATTCTTGAACACGAAGAGGTGCCTGGTATAAGCGGAAAACCGAACAGCTCTCGCAGCAGGGTCGGAAGCGTATCCAGTCCGGTCTCCGGTGTCCCTAATCAAGAACCCATCAAGGCGCTCATCCAGGAACTGACTAATCACCACAAGGTTTCTAAAACAACCGCTCGAACCAACTAAACGCGATTCCATCATAATTGTTCTTTCGCAGATGCTGGTGTTTTACGGTGTAGATCAGCATATTATTTCGAGAATTTTCAAGCAAATCTTCTATTTCATTTGCGCTTCGAGCCTGAACAACCTATTGTTGCGCAAGGAGCTCTGCCATTGGTCGAAAGGGTTTCAAATCCGCCATAATCTGTCTCATTTCGAGATGTGGACTCGCGACAGAAACTTGGAGGTAAGTATGTTTATTATCTAAAGTTCTGTTTGTTTCTCTACTATATCCGCGTAACCTAACCTAAATGTTCTTCGTGTTTGTGGTAGGAGGGTCCGATACAAGCGATGCTGCAGCCTATCATACAGGCCGCCCAATTGCTTCAGGCCAGAAAAACCGAAGAGGACGTCGATAAAGTGTGCGAGATGTGCAGCGAGCTGACGCCCTCGCAGATTTGCAAAATACTCAATTTGTATACTCCCGTCGACGAGTTCGAGCAACGCGTGCCGTTTTCGTTTATCAGGAAAGTGCAAGAGAAGCTGCAGGAACGGCCGGAAGCAGAAAAACAACAGGTAAACTCCAGGCGGTATGCAGTTACGTCACGTATGGTGACGTAATCAAGAATGATCCAATTTTAATTCATTCATTAGTTTAAAGTATGTAATCCTAAAACCTAAATTAAAATCCTATTTTTATTTTGGAAAAGTATAACATTTTGTCGAAAAATCAGACAGAAAAGACAGAACTAAATTAGTCTCTAACATAAACAAATGTATAGACAAAAAAGCATTCTGCACAATTGACCAGAAACCACTTATTATTACATTATTATTACAAAGTTACTTAAATAATCGGAAACGATGTGTTCAAATTTAAAATGTTGGGAGGAAATCCCAATTGATAAAATTTGGAGTGCCTCGAGGAACCGTACTTGGCCCTATACTCTTTAATGTCTATATTCTGGTGATACCGTAGCTACTTATAGTGCAGTAACAGGAACAGGACTTTAAAACTGTATTGAGTTGGTTTGATAGTATGTTGTTGTTTGTAATTGTAAAAAAAACATTTTTCTTAGCCTTTACATCATATTGTCAAAATTGTCCAAATAAAGTTTTTTTCTTCGATCTTAAACGAGACATTGCTCTATCATGTACTTGTTGAAACCCATATTATCGATTAGAAAAAAAAATCAAAAATGGATCATAAAAGTAATTTACAAAAAAACAGTGCTCTTCCCAACACAAGGATTATATGATTGGCAAAAGTTCTCGATCCGCGTCAAATATTCTGCTACAATCTGCTAATACACAAAAATAAACACACCCTCAACAAATATAAGTTGCCAGTTCTTGAGAAGACTATAGCATCGAGATGCTCCGAAATTGTGTAACTTGCCTAGCTGAAGATATAAAAAAAAATTTTTTTCAATTTATTTTTAAAAAACGTAAACTTTGAATAACTGAAAAACCACGTAAACTTGTGCATGATTTCATAGATTCTCGAAATATGTATTTATTAGTCAGTATATAAAAAAAATAATAAAATAATAGGTATAAAATTGCAGTTAATTTATTCTTTCTTGTTCTTTAAATAGTTTTTTTTAATAATTCATTTAACTGGTGAGTATCTTATTGACTCAATTATTATATCATACCAATAATCCTATCGTTGATTGTTGGTGGTGCTATTTATTGTATTACAAGTTCGGGAAAAATATTGATAACGTTTCCCACGCCCAAGAGATTTTTTTAATGGGTTTGTATCGTATTATATTTCTCATATTATGAAAAAGTAGAATGACTGTATATTATTTAATGTTTTGGTAAGTATATTATTATTTTGTAAGGGATTTTACAACAAATGGTAGAAGCTACTAGAAACTCGGTGATAAAACCATGCAATTTACTTGGGTAAACAAAATAAAACGCATCATATATATGGGAGAAAACAAATATCATTTAGATAGGTTTACTTTTGAAAAACTCCCAATGCTTCAACAATGAAAACCCGTAACGCAAAGAACAAAGAAGAGGAACAAAAACAAATTCAAAAAAATCAAATATCTTCCTCTGTATCTAATTCATGCATATCAATAACAACTGTAAGAATATTTGATGCAATTATCAACAAACTGAAACAAAGTGTTTTGAATACTCCATGAAATGTTTGAGCAAGTGTTTCAGTCCATAACTGTAGTACAGCACCAGATGTTAAGGATTCGATGGCAATGGCAATTTTCCAATGCTAACTGGTTCATTCTTAAAAGATTATATTATGAAATAATTTTTATTCAAAGAAAAACAACATACGCAGTTTTTCTGTGAAGTGTTGCTACACTAACATCCATAGCTCGTCTTTCATTAAACTTGGCGGAAATGGAATATTACTTTTTTTGCAACCACTCAGTGCAGGCTCAGTAAGTCCTGCATTGTCCGTTATTATTTCACTAAGATTTTAAAGTAAAAGTAAAGTAAAAAAAAATACATAAGTTAGTTTTTCCCCGAAGCAAGTATTGAGAAAATGAATGTTTCCGTGGATACAGAACTAAAACTTTTATCTTCGTTCATAGGTTAGAAAAGGTCTAGTTTTCCCATAAAAAAGAAATATAAATCACCTTTCAAAAATTTCAGTGTTCATTGAATCACAGTAGTACCCCGATTTAAAGATAAGGCTGGCTTACTCCACAAAGCCATTTTTTTGAGCCAGCATATAAAATTATACAGCGAACTATTTCACCATATTTTTTCTCGCTTCAAAATTATGGATTTAATGAAAAGGTATCGTGATTTCCCATGTATTTTTATGATATAAAGGCTTGCTCTTTTTCACCAAGTTCAAATTAAAAAATTTTGATCTTTTGACTGAAAACTGATAAACAAAATTCCCGTCAATTTACATCTAGTAATGAACTAGATAAAGATGTCATGCTATCACGTAAATGCACAATTGCTCTGACTAATTGAATATTTTGACGGTAATTTCGGAAGCTCCATCAAGTTTTTGGCTCTATAACTTTGATGTCAACATAAACAATTTCCCAATAATGCGTGCATTTTACGCAATTTGCGCAAATCCTGCAAAACAGAGGTCATTTTTCAAATAAAAATCACCTTTTTAATTATATTTAATTATATTCTTTCAATTTTGCATAACCAATTCGAAATTTTGCGCACCGTGTGGGGAAAGTCGTGGCTATCCAAATTAATACTGTTCTACTAGTAGAATCCATTAAATCCATTATAATCTCACTTTCCACTTTCCATAAGAATTTTTGAATGTAATCAACATAAATTATTGCAAAATATTTCAGATATAACTATAGATAACGATATATAGCTAGGTGCCAGATTTTCTCGCACCTTCGTATGATTCGGAGGCAGTGTATTCACGACAGATTTTTCCATTTTCGCGTTTAGAAGAGGCCTCGCCATCTCGCAGAAATTCTAATGGTAGAAGAAAGTCTTAATTTGGCAGTGGTCAGGGGAAATGTTGAAATTTTAAAAAGTCCCCAGGAAATTTTTCTATTAGTTGCGGGGTGGGGGACAATTTTTTTTTTCCAACATCAATAAGATATTTTATTTAGAAAATGTGCGCGTTATTTGGATATTGTTTATGAGGACTATCTGGGCAAAAAACTTGACTTAGCCGATTTTGAAATTTAATCATTAGGTCTGTAAGTTAACTATGGTCCGTGATGATACGATTTTTAACAGTTCGAAGTGACGTTGAATCTGTATATATAATTTTTATAACAAAATGATGGTTTTATACTATTTAGTATTCCGGTAACGTATTTTGCCATTGACATTAATATTAAGGAGACAAACAACAGTTCACGGTGGCATTTAGTGACTTGACACTTGACAATTTACTCTTCTTTATAGAGCATTCTTTATAGAAAATTCTTTTTCAGTTGTATGCGCTCGATTTTAGGGTTATACATTTAAAACCTTGATTTTTTGAATGCGTTATTTGATTTCGCTAGTTCGTTAGTAGAACGTATCCATGTACTTACATAGGCAGACATTCCAACTGAAGAAGTGAATAATAAGCGTCATCAGGAAGGACTATGAAATGTCAAAAAAGTCAACTGTTAGAAAAAAAGTCCTTTATCATGTATTTTTTGAACTTAGGATTTTTGTCGAAATGTCCAATTTTTTTTCTAGGCACTCCTGGAGAACGTGAAGCACCTTTTCCCGATAGAGTTTAAATACAACCCGTCGGCAATATGCCTGGAAGACATTGATGTACCTGAAGTGTTAAATCTGCCACTGCTGGAAAAGGTCTAAGGGACTCGCACATCACAAAATGACTTTTCTTCTTTGATAATTTCGTACACGTCTAAGGCAAGTAATCTCCAATTTATTATGAAGGACTCCCAAGCCTTCGATGCTTATTGATAGACCATTGCCTGTTAAGCCACTATATAGAGTGTACGGGTTAAACTGCATTATTTTTTATCTTCATATAAGTGCTCAGTTAAATTAGACAAGGCAGTTAATTCCAGAGTTTCACATAACAAATGTGGAGGCGCATAGCGTTCAACGATATTAAAATTTATCGTAACAATTACGAAAGCCTCCTCCATTGAAATAATTTTCAAGGTTCCTTCGACATTCTCCTTGTTTAAAAGTACATGAATATTTTTGTATTTATTCTCGTTTTTTTTTTCTGTAAATAAAATCCTATAAAGTTGTTATTATTGTATGTATTTTATAGATTGTAAATTATTTATTACTGTTGGATATAAAAGTGAATGCACATAGCTATATAGAAAACGTGTCCTAGTGTATTACAGTTACCTAAAAAAAAACTTGTTGTTTTATTTAAAAACTTAAATCCTTGATAAACTGTTGTTCAAAGTTTACTGGATGGGGTTAAATTGGAGAATACAAGCAATAATAAAACGATATTTAGTATGGCCATATAGCTACTAGACATATAGAGGCCTTGCCTATGCTGACGGTACAGGAACTCATGAAGCAACTATGTTTTTTTTTTTTGAGAGGGTCAATTCAACGCGCGCATGCGCTAGATTTGAAATTTCATTTTTAAACGATGGCAGCTCCAATGGCAAATTCTGACGTTGGACCCAAACAACATGGTCGCTGACAGATCGTCGATGTTTAGATGCGGTATTTTTACGGCAATATTTTTTCAAAATATGTCGAAACCTATTATATTTTCCGGCAAAAAAGGGGTTAAGGTGTGGATAAGCAATGCAGAATTGCTGCACCCACGTCGACGTCAGAATAATTCTGTAATTAATTTGGCGTTTTCGTTCTTCAAGCCCTGGCCATACGAGCAATTTCATGTAAGCTATTTTTTTTTTGTAAATCGGCTTAAGGCGTTAGTTTCATAGGTTTAACCCATTGCATTCGTATGTCGCCGTATAGGCGGCACACCGTGGCTTATCTTTCTGTCTTATCATTTCTAAATTGCGTTGAGGACATATTTACGTAAAAATAAAAGATTGATATTTATTTTATTGATGCCATTGTAAGCTGTTTATTTTATATCTATCAAACTCTTGACTGGAACCTTCGGCACTGCACTAACACACAATAACGCGTTTTACCACAAACCGAAACTCAATTTTACGTACTGGACGCGCGTTTCGCCAACCAAGTTGGCATCTTCAGGAGAAGATTAAAACTCCATAAAAAGGTGTAAAAACGGTATATCGTTTGGAGAACTCTAACTATACTCTCTTGCGCTAGAGTTATGAACTGTAAAACTTAGTAGTCTTAGTTCTATACTACTGATGTTTTTGAAGACTTCTTCCAGCTGCCACTGAAGAAAATCCGAAAAAATTACATAATTCTTAAATAAGAAGCAATTTCAGAAAAATATGTCGAAAAAGAAGCTACCGAAGATTGTAAATCTTCAAAAAGAAATATATAACGATAGTTCGCGTTCCGAAATACCACTGCGAATTATACCCCATGAATCAGTATGGGCGCAAATAAAAGGGTTTGTTGCAAGGGATAACACCTGTTGTAAGAGGGAATAAAGCTCAGTATGTTGGATTTTTGCCTGGTCAGCCTCAAAACGATTAAGACTAAGCTGAAAAAAACGATTGTCGCCTGGGGTTGAAACACTCCTTAGTGGTGGCGAATTCACCAAAAAGTCGCAATGTGAGTTTATAAAAATCAAAAAAGAAAACAAGTATATGAAGAACTAGCGAGAAATAGAAGCCAATTCAAATCGCGTATACCAAAAAAATAATTTGAAATAAAAAAATTCATCCAAAAACCAGCATTTTTCCGATAGTTTTTATTACTATAGTATGTTATGCAACAAGTGCGGTCAACGGCATTTGACTCACGAGTTTATTTGACACGAGCGGAGCGAGTGTTTAATAAACGAGTGAGTTAAAAAGTTTACCGAACGTGTTGCATACTATACTTTTTCTACGACCGTTAGTTTTTGGGTACATTATGGCAAAACAACACGAATACATTCACTGACATGACCGTTAGAATTGACCAACGTCAAAATTCAAAGCGTGGGAAATATCTCCGAAAACATCCGATTACTCCTAAACCTGTGCAGTAAAATTCCGGAAATGTCCGAAGTTGCTTCGATTCGTCTGAAACGAAACTGACGTGGTAAAGTGACGCTTCCCGCACGCTAGATCGGTGTATAATTAGGTATTTTACAGACGGCATTAGAAAAAAATGTAAATTATGTAATAAAGACAAATAATAACATGTCTTTATTCAGCTAAGAGAACAGTCACGGGAACAATATATCTGAGTTTAAAAAAAAAAAACAACCGAACGAAAATTTTAGATGGTCAAATATTGCCTCCCCTGCGAACATTTTATAGCGAAGTTTTAATATAACTTTTGGAAGGAGCCGGTATGTTTAACTCATGTGCCGAGTTTGAATAAATTTTAATAGGTCAATCTTCAGTTATCGAATGTTAGAATTGCAAAAGGTGAATACAACACACACTAGCGAATGTTTTTCATGATGCTATTTGCAAAACTTGCTAGGCTATAACATATTAAGTAAAGGTTGGTTTACAATAAAGACATGCACATTTGGTTTCACACATTTCACTGAATTGTCGAGTTATTTGACTAATGACAAAAAACTTATTACATGTATTCTTTTTTTAGAAATTATTTTTTTTTTTTTGCGATTGCCAGAAAAATCCATCTGATGGCAAGGTAAGCACTATTGTTAGCCTACGAAGTGCTCTTTTTAATATGCGTTAATCCTTTTTGGAGAAATGGAAGAAAATATCTGAACACCTCGAATTCGTTCCAGCTTTAAAATAGTTAAAATTTTAACTAACACAAAAGTTTTTGTAGAGACCGAGTTTCAAAACCCAAAATAACAATAATTTCCATAATTTTTTTTGGTCGATTTACTTGAAAATTTTTGTTTCAAATTTACTTTTACTAATGTACCGGAACACCCTATATATAAAAATTAATAAAAATATCGAAGCTGATTTATTGTTAACTGTTTATTAATATAAACACATTGTGCATAACAAAATTCACATGTTTAAAAAAATGTTTTTCGTTTCTTGTTTTTTTTCTGTTCTGGTTTGGTCTTTACAGACACTTTTTGTTTGCTTTTATGCTTGCCCACTTCGCGTTTACTAAATTTTTCTGCATTTTTCTTCTGTTTCTTTACAATATTTACGTTTACACTCTTTAAATTTTCCTTCTCTTTTTTCCTTTGCTGCTTGGTCTGAAACCAGGGCCTCTTCATTTCCTTCTTTTTTCCCTCTATCATTTTCTCCGCCTTTTTAACTTGCATCTCGGCCTTCGCAATCAACCTTTCTTCTTCCTCTTCTTTAAAAATTTGTTCAATCTGAGGTTCCAGTTTTGATAACCTTTGTCTATACTTATTGATTATCTCTGGTGGTATCACTCTTACTTTCACTGGATTCTTACTCTTTTTTATAATTTCCTTAACATTTTTCCTTTCTTGCTCATTTGCCAAACTAACCGATACTCCTGCACGACCTGCTCTTGCTGTTCGTCCAACTCTGTGAATATACTGTTCTACTGTATAGGGCATCATGTAGTTTATTACACTTTGAACATCGGGAATATCCAAACCTCTAGCCGCAACGTCTGTTGCTATTAATATATGAACCTCCCTATTCCTGAATTTTTCTAAAGCTTCTATGCGCTGGGGTTGAGTCAAATTTCCATGCAGCTCTGCCACCTTTAAACCTAACAGTCCGAGCAATATATGAATTCTATGAGCTTGTTTTTTGGTTCTCACAAAAATTATACAGTTCTCTTTGAACGTCCGACACACCAGTGCACATAAAATTGCTTCCCTATCGTCTTCCTTGTTCTCTCTAATCCTGATAAATTCCTGGCGAAGATTAAAGGCTACACTTTTATTGTCATCAACAAAAATCTTCACAGGCTCAACAAGAGATAAAGAAGCTAAATTTTCCACTTCACTTGTCATAGTAGCAGAGAAAAGCATTGTCTGCCTTTTTGTTGAACACTGCTTAATAATTTCTTTCATCTGCTCTGCGAAAAATTCATCCAGCATGCGATCAGCTTCATCCAGAATTAGTACTTCAATAAAATTCAGACAAAATGTGGGGGTACTTTTTAAATGGTCTATCAAACGACCAGGAGTCGCAATAACTATATCGGGATTCTTCCGCAAAACATTCTCCTGAGTTTTCAAGTCCAAGCCACCAACCGCTAAACCCAAATGAATCTCTGTATACTGACAAAGTTGTTTGGTCACCTGGTACACTTGCACACCCAACTCTCTTGTAGGCACAAGAACTAAGACCCTGGTAATACTTGACCCTTCGGCAGGTTTGTACAAAAGTCTTTCCAAAGTTGGTAACATGTATGCTGCAGTTTTTCCAGTTCCTGTAGTAGCACAGCCGCAAATATCCCTTCCTGCTAGTGCTACTGGAATAGTTGAACGCTGAATTTGTGTAGGGTAAACAAATTTTAAATCCGATAATGATTTTAACAAAGGTCTTGATAATCCCATTTGATAAAAATTTACGCCTTCATCTTCGTTAGTTACATTTTCACTAAGTTCTTCCTTCGATTGGTTTTTGAGAGTTTTTAACCTTATTTTATCATGCTGTAACTCATCATCTTCAATCGTTATTTCCGTATCTGAGTCGATGCTTGGTTTGACATTGTTATCGTTGTTGGCGGATTCCCGCACCTTCTTGATTTTGTCATCCGTTTTTGATTTGGCTTTTCTCTTAATATATTTCCTAACATCATTCCAAACATCCTGATTGTATTCTTTCACCGAACTTACGAAACTAAAGTGAGAATCAAAATCTACACTGGCGCTTTTCTTTTTTTTACTGGGTTGGAAGTCTAAATCGATATCGGATTCCTCGGAAAAATTTTCTACTTCCTCGTTATCACTAGAAATGCGAACTAAGTCCTTCAATTTAGTTGCCATTGAACTGTTGAACGCGATTTATTTGGCGCCTTTTGTATTCAATCAGACATTTACCGTATAACAGATTAGATAGTCAATTCCAAATTTGCACGTAAATATTGTTTTCTTTCCACTGGTACTGACCACGACCGAAATATGGTTTTTTTTTTAATTACGCTTTATTTGGCCACTGCTGCTGACCGAAATATGGTTAGTTACTATTTCTTCCAATTCATAATGTGCCTAAATGGGAATAAACAATTTAATGCAATGTAATTCAATATATTCCTGCATATATTTCTCCCAGATAAGATAAGAATTTTTTTTTTTTAATAAAATAAGTTTGATTTTTAGCGAAAATTTCTTTTTAAAGGTGTTTTTTTTTAAATAATAAACAATAATTTTTAGTGTTAAACACAAGAGAAATAGCAAGAGTTTTTTTTTTATTACAGATTTGAATATAAACTTGGTATGGTTTTATTGTCCAATATACTTCTTTTAATGCTCGTAGATGCAAGCAAAAATCGTGATTGCGACTATCTTTAAACCCGTATGGTTATTAAAATAAAGCGTTTTCGCCGATTTACAATCACAAATTCTGGAAAAAACATGTGATAGTTTCATTTGGCCATTTTCTTTCGATTTGGTAGTATTTACACGAAAAAAATCAGGTAGAAATTAGTATCAACTGGGATTAAAATAAGTGATGCTAAGTTGATAAATACATTTGGTAGCATGATCTTAGGGAAGTTCCCACGGCAATAATGAAAAGAATTGTAGCTAGTGATGGAATAATTCGAACTAAAAATGTTCGAAATTCTGATTCCAAAGTTGCATTAAAGCTAAACTAGGATCATGAGCAGACACCTAAACCTATAATAAGTTTCATTCTTGTCGGCAATATTCAGGCAGAATCTCTTGGCGAAGTCATTTTCGTCCGTTGCGTTAACGATTTATATTTGTTACAACCAAGGTCATCCCAAATTATAAAGTTCTCTAAAACCAACCAAACGAACCAAATGCTATCCCCCACGTTCTGTGAACTTCCTAACCCTCCATTTTTGAGAAGCACGCGCAAATACGACCGCATTTTTAAGAAGTTGGCGTCCCCTCTCGTTTCTAGAAGTATATTTAGATTACTTCTTGGTGTTTATTTACAGTGTCGAGATTTTTAAGCAGTGAAAAGTTGTAAGTATTACCATTTCATTCCTGGGGATATGTATTATTAAGTATTACCTTAATTTTGTGAGTCGGTCATTTATGGCGAACCACGTTGGGCCGGTTTTTTCGTTTACCGATTTGAGCTTTGTTGCTTGTCGAGGTGATACTTTTTCTGATCGCATACGTTAGAATTCTTTGTTGGTTTCTCGTGCCGGCGTTTGGTCAGTAAATTTGAAAAAAAATTGCAGATGTAAATATTTTTGCATGTTTCTTCCATTTCTGATCTAATTTAATATTCCAGACATATTTGGGAAGTGATGGCTGATGCAAGTGCAAAAAATCTCAAAAGGAAAGGTCCAAATAATAAATTTCCTTCAAAGAAAACAAAACTTGAAAATGGTGGGTTGTCTCCCGCCAACAAAAAGGGTCCCGCGCAAAACAAAAATAGTTCGGCGCAGAACAAAAATAGTAATCAGAATAAGAAAAATGCTTCTCCTAAAAAGGTGAAACCTTTTATTGGTACAGGCCCTATTAAAAGCAAACCAAAGCAAGAAAAAAATAACGATAAAGAAGGAAAGAAAAAACGAAGGTCAATGTATGCCGATCTGAAACTGGCAGCTAACAAAGCCGCTGGTAAAAATGACTCAGAGGTATTGAAAGAAATTAAAGTAAGGATCGAGACCATAAGCTCAAGGGGCGAACTTTCGAAATCGGCAAAGAAGAAGCTTGCAATACTCAAAACATTGCAGTCAATAGTTGAAGGTACCAAAGTAGCCAAGGTAAATCAGAACCCAAAGCAAAAAAATATAAAACCAGAGGCGAAAAACAAAAGCGGTGCTCAAAAAGGGATATCAAAGGGTGGTCAGAAAGGAATATCAAAGGATGCTCAAAAAGGGATAGCAAAGTCCCAACCAGAAGAGGAAGAGCCAGACAATGATGATGATTCAGCCGAAGAGGAAGAATCTGATGAAGAAGGTGCCGCCGATTCAGGTATATGCAATTGGATACACAAATGTGTAATGAAGGGTAAACATTTTTTCTTTGTAATATAGGTGAAGACAGCGTGGCTGACGAGGATGATTCAGATGCAGAAGAGGAGGATGATGACGAAAATGACAATGACGAGGATGATGAAGGTGATGATGACGAAGAATCTGAAGAAGAACAACAGCCTCCCCCAAAGGTCAGTAAACAAAAGGCAAAACCTAACAAAAAGAAGTAAAAATTGTTATAATACAAAACTATCTCCATTAATGGAATTTATATATAGATGGTTATAACATGTATTATATTTTTCACTATTAAATTTTTATGTTAGAGGTACATGTTTGTTTGAATTTTTTTTAGAGTAGGATATCCACACTTATTTTAATGATGGGGTAATTTTTTAATTTTTCTGTACATTTAAAGAAGAAAAACTGCTGAAAATAAGAAATTTTTTTCCAGAAAAATTGTGAGATATTTCAACTGAAAATATTTTATTAATTGCAATCCATTCCTTGTTTCCCTTTTATCCTCGCCCTAACAAAAAAGAAGTAGTTTTGTAAAATAAAATTTAAAAGATATAACCTTGTATCAGAAAATATAAACACTCTGTTTTGTACAATTCGGTTTTGAGTAATTCAAACATTCTCGAGTAGGATGAGCAAAAATCGCAAACGAATAATAGTAACGTCAAAAAATCCATACCCCACTTCAAGGGAGACCCTGAACAAATCGACCAAGCGAAAAAGAAGAATTCAAGATTTGTGTTGTTTGTGGGAAATGTTCCGTACGACGCTACCAAGCAAGATTTACACGCGCATTTTAGCAAAGCTGGTGAAATTGTGCACATTCGTATTCCTTTAGGCAAAGAAACTAAAAAACCTAGGGGATTTTGTTATGTTGAAGTTAAAGATGAACATGCGTACCAGGTAGGTTATTTATATTCTTATTTTCTCTTAATCTAACGTATGTGGGGTTCTTGGTTTGTTAATTCCGACTGTTTGACCTTAGCAATGCTTGTCAATGCATCATACTCAACTCAAGGGAAGGCGAATTAATGTGTTGTATACGCAAGGCGGCAAGAAAAACTCCGAATCGAAAAAGAAAAACATTAAAGTGAAAAATATGAAACTTCATGCCTTGAGGAAACAGGGTAAATTGGTTGGCAGCGTGAAACAAAATCAGAAACGATCATTCAGGAGAAACAAAAGCAAGGCTGTTAAGGTTGAAAAGGAATAATCTTTTATTATATATTATATGTTATTAACGTTATGTTATGCTATATACACGTAAACTGTGTGGTTAGACGTTATCTGTATAATATGCACCAAATTCTAATGTTCGGTGAGAACTGCAATATTTTGGTTTGTCAATCAAACTGTTAAATCTGATTTCAATTATTTATAAACCGTGGTGTTTTAGGAATAAAAATATGACTTTTAAATTTGTTAATTCTTTTAAAATACCCCCACTTGCAAACATTTTGTACTTTACCTTCAATGTTCATTTTTGTTTTTTTGAAGGGCATCTTAACGTGTGCTTGAAATACTTTCTTTTAGCACCGCTTCGGCGTAGAGCTTTCAAACCTTATCGCTATTAGATAAACCGAGTGTCAAAAAAGTCATGGATAAAATTTAGACAAAATTTAAATGGAAAGAAAATTCTTTAATGGGTTATATATTGAAATAATTGTCACAGGAGATATATCATCCTGTGCGTAGTGTAACGATTGTCACTTATTAAGTAGAAATTACTTCAATTTTTTTTAATATATTTTTTTTTTAAATAACAGCAAAATAATTCAACTAATATAAAGCAAACTTATGTGGTATGGCCTTTTGTCAACTAAAGTTTTTTGCAGAACAAAAAATATCAAGAAAAAAATAAATGTTTCGAAATCTCATTCTGATAATGTTGAAACAAAAACTTTTATTAAATATAATGGTAAAATTAATATTTTTAAGAAATTAAATTAATCAAAGTGTAGTTAACAGAAGACATACCAGACATTTTTTAAAAATAATTGTTCAACTAACCGAAATTATTTTGCTGCAACGTTTAGTCACACATCAAAGTTGTAGTTTAAAAAAAATAAATATTGAAAAAACGGCAGTGGCAGCCATTGCATTTCATACAGAATGCGATACTCTCTGTGACAACTTTTCAATATGAAATTTTCAAAAAACGTATTGCCTACAAAAATAGAAATACTGCAAAATTGGCGGTAATGTGAAAACAGTCAAAAATCGGACATGTGTTTATACATCCGCTATAGAGGCTACCTAAAAAAGAAACAGAACAAAGCTTATCAAATTTTTAAAAAATTGTTAAATGAAATTGAAATGAAAATTATCCATATTATGTATTGCTGGTATGTTTCGATGAAATTATCAAAGGATAATTTTGTCCTTTGGTAATCAGGGTACCAATGAAGTCCCCATGAGGTCAGCCTTGATTGAGCCTCCTTCTTCCGTGCTTGGCAGGATTACTTCGTATGGGAGGTTGGAGCTACATATGTAGCTCGCCTTGTCTTCGCCTCCAGATATATATGCAAGGGTGGTAGCTCCAGTAGGCTCCATGACCGCTGTAGATGTAGTTGGCTGTGTGCTGAGGGTACTAATAATCAGATACCATACGCAATCACAGCCAGTTTATCTGCTGCTCCAGTTCAGCGTTTTATCTAGGACGACTCCTAGATATTTATCCAAGATTTCTTCGAGGGTAGTAGAAATCCTCTTTTCTCAATAACCACGTACAAACCGGTTTCATTACACACTTTTTTCAGTTTTGAGGCCATCATGTGATTGTCATGCAAATTTCATTGTTTTACAAAATAAAGGAAGCCTTAAAATGGCTCCACGTCGCGCAGTTTTAGTGTAAGCAAAATAACTGTTTCTTGCATTAATAAAAGGTGGAGATAAGAAACGTTTAAAAGGAAAAGGATATCTGATATACAGCAGTTAGTTCGCAGGTGCTCCTTCGGACTCAAAGACTGAAGAATTCTGTCGGAGTACGGCACTCACTCCCGAACAGAAGCAAGTACGGCTTATTTTCACTCTTAATTATCAAGCGCAAAAACAGCAGTTTTGGGAGACATATTTTCCGACAAAAAGATCTTCCACTCTTCTAAAACGTGTAATATCAAAGTCTACGAACCAGACAACCAGCAGCGTTTCAACCCTCGATTTGTCCACAGGTATAGAGGTGCCGGCTATATCAGTGTAAATGTTTGTCAATGGATTTCATCTATACGAATGGGAGTCGATTGAGGGAAGATTTGTTTGAACGTTATAATGCGCAGTATAGAAACAAAACGGAATTTTCAGGCTGTATCAGTTTTTTAGGAAACTAGTTGTACTTTGACGACCACGTCTTCAAATGCAACTAGAATCACCTCCTCCCATAATGAGAGGACAGCCAGCTCATCTTCCAACAGCGTCCATAGAAGGGGGATAGCTCCGATTTGTGGAGAATCCCTGGCGATCCTTATGGATGTCGTGCGTATGCATTTAGATGGTTTCCAAAGACTGGTACCAATGAAGTTCCCATGAGGTCAGCCTCAGATTGAGCCTCCTCTTCAAAATTCATAATCAAAGCTTAAATCAAAAAAATTCTATACCTTTCTCTGAAAAACTCAAAAATGATAGGTGTATATTAAGAGAGCTAAATTGGAGTCGAAAATCCTCTAATGATGAGACTGCACACAATAACTACAAAATATTGAAAAATCTTGTAAATAAACAAGATAAATCTCGCAGAAAATAAATCTAAAAAAATGTGGGAACCGGTCATTAGATAAAAAAATAAATAGGAATATTATTAAACTAAATGTTATTTTTTACAGAGATAAAGTAATAGCAGACGAATTCGGAAAATTTTTTGCTACTCACGTGCAATTCAAAGTGGATTCGATGTTCACAAATAATAGGCCTACTAGGGAAGCGTTAAGAAACTCGAAAGTGATTCCGGTTTTCAAAAAAGGGGACTGCACATTAAGCGATAATTGTAGACCTATAACAGTAGCAAGTTGCTTATCTAAAATATTAGAGAAGGCAGTGTACAACCGAATTCGGCATTTCTTGAAACAAGAAAAAATAACGGGTACAATCGAAATAAATAAGAACTAAAAGTTCAGATTTTCACGAAATTATATATTTTGACATGACAATTGTTTGGACAACACCGTGTCTTTATCAAATGTAATATTTACAAATTACCTGCTACTATATATACCGAAAAATGACCTCAAAACCTTAATTAATGTTGTGAGAATTTAAGTTTAATAAAGGAGAGGTATTTAAATCTAATTGATCGTTAAGCAATACATTTGAATGCCTCATTTTGTTAATCTCCATGGCTTCTAATAAATCGAATTTTCTATTTTTTGTGGCTGTATGTAAAATATCAAAATTGTCGTCAAAAATGTGGTACAATCGAGCTTGTCCAACATATTTATGATCAACTCGATGTCGGAGAGACAGTGGTAGGAGTGTTTTTCGATTTATAGCGCGCTTTCGACTCATTTGGATATAATATCGGAAAAGCTGGAATCTAAGCTCAATAGGCCTATTAATAATTGGATCATGTATATGTATCTAAGAAAAATAAGTGTAAAAAAGTTAAAATATATAATTTCGTGAAAATCTGAACTTTTAGTTCTTATTTATTTTGATAAATGGATTTTCATCAAGTAAAAGCCACCAATATTCGGATCCATATGATGTTAACTTAGATACACCTCAAGGGGGCCTTGTGAGGCCAATACTAACTAAAAGGCTAATACTAAAACTAACCAAAACTAACCAAAACGAATACTTAGGCTAATTAAATGACCATTCCTCGTATATACCTATTTAAATTACTGCTAGTTACACACAAAAATAAACATTTACATAAGAAACACATAGATAACCCTACACTCGTAACAGTGAGAAAATCTCTTAAAGAATAAACTGAATCACATATTTTGCAAAAGATCTTTAGGCTATGCAGGGCCACACTATTATAATATGCTCCCGTCGAGCTTAAAGAACCTTTCTACCCAGCAATTTAAGAATCATGTTAAGATGATTCTGACAACCAATGCTTTTTATGGTCTAAGTGAATTTGAAGCGTTTGTTCTACATAAATGTTTGTAATGTTATATTGATGTATTTGGATTGTTTGTTATATACACATCTTATATGATTGTCCTTTATGTATAACTTTATTTTAAGATATACACATTTTCTATTTAATCTATTTTAAAACATTTTAATGTTATTTTTTGTGACGAAACATTCATCTATCTATCTATCCATCTTCCCTGCTTGTAGCTCACCTTGCCTTCCCCTTCAGATATATATGGAGGGGTGATAGCCCCAGTAGGGTTTCCATTGCCGCTGTATGTGTAGTTGGCTGTGTGCTGAGGGTATCAATAATCACATACCATACGCAATCACAGCAAATTATTCTCTCGACCACGTTATCGAGTGCCAGTTCTGTTGATTTGCCTACTTTTCTATGAAATTATCAAAGGATAATAAAAGGCATTTTCACAATCGAGTGCAAAGCCCGGTGCATTCCAGTTAAATATTTATTCGAACTAGATACAAATTGTATAACAACTTTGGTACAATACATACAGTGTATGAAAGTTAACTTAAAATTACCAAAATAAGACAACACGTAGAAAATAATTATAGCTACAGTATAATTCCTCTTACTTAAGGTCAAAATACATGATTTCCACTTCGTAAAAAAGTGAAATAATTCTTAAATTAAAAACTGTTACAAGAAACGTCGAACACTCATGTGGAAACTAGTTGAATATATTTTTCACAAAACTTCTGGCTTCTTCAGCTTACTCAAACTTCAGTTTCAGTTAAGCTCTGAAGAAGCCAACAGAATGATTGGCGATACGTCAGCAAGTTTGATTCAACAAAAACCGACGGAGGAGGAATCCAGAAGTTTTGTTTTTCTTTGAAAAATTAATAGAATACAGTTAAAAACCGACTTTCAGAATTTTTTAATATAACCTTTGACAGTCTCAAACACACTGCCATATATACGTCATTGCATTAAATTAAGAAGAATTAGACTGCAGTAATAACATTAATACACTGAAAGAACGTCGACTTTTACATTGGCGCCACAAAAAAAAATATTTGTGGGATATTTTTCATCTTTTGGTAAGGTGGCAAGAGTGGAATATAACAATAAGAACTTCTCACGTTAAGTTGAAAATAGAATTTTCAACTCATGCAGAAAACTCGAAATAGCCATTAAGTTTTAACAAGCTAAACGTTGCAAATTAAAATGCGCACGTGCCACTTATATAACAATAAAACGTTATCACAGTATATTTGACATTCGTTTCAGAACATTTATTGCGATTAGAACCAAGTAATATGTTTCCAAAGGCACTACAATTCGTTAGTCTTTAATTACTATAAATACGTATAAAAACGAAGTGCTTCGATGGACACCTTGAAGGAAAAAAATGCACATTTTTTGTTTGGCAAGATCATTTGATTGTGGGTATTAAAAATACTGGTGAAAGGTGCACGGATAGAAGAACACCGTTATTATAATACTAAAACAGCAAATAAAATCCCGCTATACTACATATTTTTTTGGTTGCTATAAACTAACGCCCGTTTTTTAATAAAACACCTGTATTTTTTTTGAAAAATTCTAATACAAACTGTTTTTTTGCACGAGAATTATTATTACAGGCTAGTAAAGAATTGTCATCAAAAGTGACAACTTTAAAAAGGTCATGACTTTTTGGGGACACAAGAAAATTGAAATAACGTTAATTGTAAAAGGAAAAAATTAGTTTTGGTTGGGTTTTTTTATATATAGCACAATTAGCAAATTGGTTACGGCGACTTAATGCTGGGTATTAGTAACATAATGCGGGATACCAGTTTTCATTTGTTGAAGGTGAAATTGATCCAACCTCTCTGTAAAATAATAATAATAATAATTGCAGTTTTAAGACTTCCATATTTGATAAAACTATTATGTTTGTTCAACTTTATTTTACTTCAAATCGGGCACCTAAAATGTTTTAATTTAATTCTATAAAAAATATCTAGCTGAACGCAAAATACAAGTATCTTTTCTCGGAAAAGCACCATTTCCTTTTTTCACACTTTAGATTATTTGAAATGTTTTTTCTGAACATAGCAATAATTTTTTATGGACTCTTTATATTACTTCAAATTTAGTATCCACATAACAAACATTGATTTTTTTATGAAGAGGCTTTATTTAAATACAATTTTAAAAAAATAAACGTAAATCTGTCAGGAAAAAAAATTATACATGTTAATGTAACTATTAACAATTGGCATTAGTTAAATTTTTCTTTCTCAAAACTTAAATTAGTTGAAATTCGTGTTATAAAGTTTGTTGATTCCTTTTTTATTGCGTTGAGAAGTTTAACCATTGGATTTAATTCTGCTTCTATTCTTTGGGCACGAATTTCATCATTTAAGCCCAGTACACACGATGCAATTTCCAGATTTATTTCTACTGTATTGTTCATTGACGCTTATCATACATACGTCATATATCATATATGAGGGGGGTGGATAAGGCGAAACTTTAATTTGCAATTACTAGACCTGAAAAGAAGGAATGAGAGTTCAATCTATATGAGGTTCTGCAGTTGCTTCTTGAACATTTTTTCCACTTACATTTTTTCTCTGTGATATCTAGTATGTCATAAAGTTATATTTATACTTTCGTGATTTTAACTTTCTTTACATTTGGCGTTTTGCGCAAATTTACACGAACAAATTCTAGAAAAATAGTTGATAATTTTATCTGCCAATTTTTTTAGCTGTTGTAAGCTTTCCACTCATCTGTGTGGATAATGGAACTTTATTTTTATTCAATTATTTCGATTTAGTTGGATGCATCTCGCAAAATTGTATAAATATTGTTGTTACGTTGAAAAGTAAGAAGATCGTTAAAAAGCTGAAAATATATTTTTTGTTTAAATGAATCATTATTAATTATTTAAACAAATTAAATAAACCGTGGAGGCGAATTAAGTTTTTCCAGTTTCGGTTGCTTTTGGTAGTTTCAGTAATCTAACGTGTGGACAAAGAAAATTTCGCATTTCCGACAAAAATTTCTTGTATTTTTGCGTTCAGTTACACAATTGAATCAAAAAATTTTATGTATCGGATTTTAAATAAAAGAGAATGGAACCATTTATGTTAACAACCATGCTAACGCTATGTAAATGACCGGTGCTAACAAAAGCATGGTAATTCAGTATTTTTGAAGGTTTTTTTTTTAAGAGAGTGAAAGGTGCCTCTTATTACATTTAGATAGTCAGAAAATGGAAAGAATCTCTTGGCAGCTAAAGAAATTTACTGTTTGTTGTTGTGTACTATACACTGTGTCCCAAATTTCTTGTAATCACAGGGCTTCTCACTGTTCTCACTGAAATGTGTTTCACTGTATCGTGAAACACATTTCTTTTTTTTTTCTTTTTAAAATGGCACTTCTGATGGAGACTAATCCATAAAAATGTAAATTGGCAGTAGTAATAATAATAATAGGTATGGGTTTAGAGTCGCTTGCTTATTATATTAGGAACAACGATGAAATTCTACAATTACAGTAATAGTTTAACAGCAGATATCCCAAGCAGCATCAACGTTGCAGTAACTGCGATGGGAATTTCAACATCTTCAAGTACATAAGCATATCTAATATATATGTACGTTTAGAAAAAAAAATCACTAGTTTCTGAAACTTTTGATTCTGGAACGCTCATTGGCCACGAATGTGTATGTGTGTATCCTTGGCAACTATTTCGAAAGTAACACAGTTACAGCTGAACGATCACCTGTTGATTTGGGGTTATGTGGACTGCTTTTTCCTAGAATTTTTGTTTTTTGAGAGAAAATTGAGCACAACAAAAATGGGTAAGTGAAACATGTAACTTTACTAGTTGGTAAAATGGTAAATATAAGTCAAGATTGTTTTTTTGTGTGAAAATGTAAGTTTTTTAATAATAATAACAGTGTACACAGATTTATTGAAGAAAGGTCAAGGCAATGAGTTTATATTTCTTCCTTGAGGTTAAAAATGAACTTTTTACGAAATTATTACCTTCAAAGCGACTTTTAAGTTTGTATTACTCTCTACATATAGAGAAATTACGCAGTAATTATCACTACAAAGGGAAACTTTATAGTTTCGGTTCTTCTAAGTAGTTTCTAAAGTATTGGAACGGAATTGTTACTATCCGAAATTCCATTTAAGTCCGGCGCAGTCAGTAGGATTTGTCAGCGGATAATTCGAGTGCATCGAGCATATCGGTCCGTCATCGTTTCAACGGTTTGTGGCAAATTCGAAACCTACAACCTAGCGTTTAAGGAAGTTAATTTGCCTTCATAAACATGGACTAAGACTAATGAACATCAACCAATATTTAATCCACCAGCGATTGATGTAAACGCAGTTCATCTCAAGGCTACGGACGACATCCAGGTCAGACTGAAGAATCAGATTGAAGACCTTCAAGACTACTTTGAGGAAATCAGCTATTACGGAAGATACTAATCTAAGATCGCATTACTTGGCTGCGTTACTTGTGTTTATAACATAAAGTTTTTATTACTTTGTAGTAATGATGATGGTCAAGTCTTCTTTAAAAAATCCAAAGTAACACAAGTCTGGCGATTTCAAATAGTACAAGATACTTCAAAGTAACTTGGGCTTCCGTCATTTCGCGATGCAGCAATGTAAGAAACAACAATGTACGCTGATAATCACTTTAACAAATTATAGGTTACAGTTAGTTAAACTTAGTAGTAACATGGGGGGAACATACAGTTTTCAAATCTTTGGACTAGAAAGTCGGAATTACCTCAAAGTGAAAAAACTGTAGTAGACGTTACTACCAGTTAAAGTAGCAAATTCTTCTAGCAAGCATTTCGAAGTAAATATAACTTAGAAGTGATAATTTCATCATCTTCTTTTCTTACTTTCCGATACTTTAACAAATATTTCTCCAAAATGTCTTCTAAAAACGAACCTGAACAAAACTACGACTCATACAACTGATTTAAATAAGTTTCTTAATTTTGTGGTACTTTTAGGTGATTTTGCACTTCTTTTTTCAGCCTTCTTCAAAACTGACAATTCAATTCAATTCAATTATTTCAACTCTCAGACAAAGACAAAGCGAAGATTCCATGTAAATTCTAAATACCAGATTCTTTCGTTTGGTTGCCTTTACTCTAACTTAAAAAACAATTTACTTACTTTTTTAAGTCGTGTACAATTTTTGTATTATTATCATTAATTTTTTCAAGCTAAAAGTAAACGATGGTTATTAACTTTTTTATTTAGCCTGTAATACGTTTAATTTTATTGGCAACTTATGTTTTTGTTATAATATTCGTTTTTAAGGGTTAGTTGATATCAGAAGTGGCACGGTTCACCATTTTGTAGCGAAAAAAATGGCGATTTTTTGGCACCAGCAAATTTTATTCGATAAAACTAAAATTCTTGCATGTAATTAATTCTTCTATCAAAAAAAGTCAAAATGTCATTCCAGAAAAACGTTAAAAACGCCAGCCCTACTCTCCATACTTTTTGTGTTAGCTTTAAGATTTTAATTAAACTGTTGATTTTGCACATTGCCACTTGACTACTTTTTTAAAAGAATGATTTTACTATGAAACTAAATCAATATGATAATTACAAAAAAAAATCCTTATAATATACTTACAGAAGAAATACAAAACAAATATTTATTCATCTAAACCACGAGTTTATTCTTCTACCAATGAAAAATCCGAAAATCTACAGAAAGTTATAAGCATCCTAGCAATCTTAACCGCGACTATATAAGCAGATGCAGAGTAAAATGGGAGCCAGTTTCAGTTAACTTATGAAGAAGCCATCAGGATGATTGACTTTACGTCAGCAAGTTTGATTTATCAACAGACGCAGAAGGAATACGGAACATTTGTAAATAAATACAATGTTCCATATAAAATATTATATTTTAACCATGTATATTTGGAAACCGGTTTGTCTAAACAACACAAGATTATAAGTAAAAATATCAAATTGTTACAAAGTTGCATAATTCTGTTCGAGGCATTCAAAGTTGCATTGAAAACTGAAACACCTCGTGATTACAATCAATTTGGATACAGTGTGCATCGTCAAATAATCGTCAATCCAGTTGGAAGAAGATCGATAAATTAATTTTGGAAAAGTTTGTCATCATTATCATTATGGTATCTCAGATTTGTTGAGTTGAAATTGTGCTTCTATTTAGCTAAACCAATTTTGTGTTAAGGCATTTGCCAATTTCACTTACTGATATATTAACTTCTCGCATTTCAATCCTGGTCTTCTTCGACATTCTCCAAAAACCTCCTGATAGAGTCCCGCACGATCAAGTTGGGCGTAAAGTCCGTTCTGGCAAGAATTTCATTGGTCATCGGGCTGGTAAACTTGCCCGACATGAACCATTCTGCGATGGCTTTCTTCTCGTACGTGAAGCCGTCGGAGCAGACCACAGGCTCCCTCATTATTTCGTGGGTGATCGGGCAGAGGAACTCGTCGGGTATTTGCAAATCCAACGGATTTACGATTTGCAATTCCACCTTTTTCAACCACTTCAGTTCCGTGGCGAGTTTTTCAGTTTTCTCGTCGTCTAAACAAAGATTCGATTTGTTGGTGCATTTGAACTACTGCATGAGGGATAGTACAATTTTGTTGGTATTGTATTGAAAAATTCAAGTAGCATAGATGTGTATGGGCTAAATGTTAAGGTTATTAAATACGTGACTGGCTCTGTATTATCTGTATTGACTCTCATTTCTAATAGACGCTTTGAACACAGTGTATTTCCCATGATAGTTTGCAGACAATTTTTTTTTCCAAAATCATTGAGGCTTTGGTAAAAGAAATAATTGTATCGTATTTTGATAAAAATAAAGTTCGGGTACCTTTCGGGCAAATCAACATTGACAGCAATTGTAGCGATTCTGGAAGCTAATGATGCTAAGCTTATTTCCTGTATGACCTTGTTGGATCTTTCGAAAGTTTTAGATTGTGTCAGTCGTGAGTTTTTTGTAAAGTCTGTTCATAGATATAAGAAAGTGAGTAACTGATACGAATTAAGGAAAGACCAGGGCAAGCTCTAAGAATGAAATATGGCCGAACAGGTCCGTACTTTGCTCAGAATTTAATTATTTGGGGTTTTGTTAGGAAGGATACTAAAGAATATTTATTTATTTATGTATGTATTTATGTTTAAATCTAAAATAAAATTACAAATTATTTTTATTACCTACTTAAATTACTTAAAATTATTCACATAATATATCATCGATATCATCGCATTCTGTTGTTCTGCTTTTTCTATATGTTTAACAGAATTTGCCCAACTTTGTGGAGGGATGTTAAAAACTTCGGTTTATATAAGTTTGAGGACTTTGGAGTTAACACGGGGAAAAACAATGTTACGACGAATGGCAGATTTCAGTTAATGTTCAATGGGATTATATATGCAGTGGTAAGGTGGAAGCCTTAAAACTGTATGTCCTAGATTTTTTGCATAATTATCACAGAAGTATTCCTTTTGTAGGTTCAAGCTTTGTAGAACCTCAACTAATTGCTTTTTGGTATAATCTTCGAGAAAATAAATGTCGTTATTATACATGTAGTTTTGGATTGTTGCTTTTGTGTCACATAAGGAAGGGATTTTAGCCAACTGTCTATTGTGATAACTTGCATTGTCCAGTACAATGATGACGCTATTTGAAGGAATGTTTGGAACTAGTTTGTTTTTAAACCAACTTTCAAATAAATCAGCTGTAGTGTCTTCATGGTAATCCAGAGAAGAATCTTTAATATTTTTCGCAGACAGAGAAAGTCCATTTGGAACCAAACATTTTTAGAGCCAGCATGCAAAATAGTCATTCTTTTACCTCTTTTTGATGGCGCGTTTGTTTTACACTTATCAGTTGAGTCAACCCAACCCTTTTCCGGAGTATCATAAGTGTCAAACTAGGTTTCATCCAAGTAAATAATTGGCCTTTGTTGTTCTCTGAAAATCCTAATTTTTCCTAGATATTCCCGTCGCCATTTCCGAATTTTAAAAGGTTCCATTAAAACTTGCCTTTTGTCAATGTTTTTAAATCTAAAACCCGTGTGTTGAATACACTTCCATACGGTAGTTCTGCAACATTTAACACCGATTTCATCTCTTTCAAGCCTCCTAATTAAGATACCTAATGTAGGCACGCTTTGTTCCTTGTATAACTGGTAAATTCTACGCCGTATTATATCTAGAGCACTTTCATCTACATTCGAGAAAATGTCAACATCGTTTCTTTTTTTTTCCTCGCTGAAATGGGATTATTCACAATTTTCCATACAGTTGATGTTGGAATTTTCGTCAATATGGCCGTTTCTTCTAAAGATGCTTGCTTGCTAACACCACGTTCAATGAGTGCCAAATAAACATTGTTTATAACTTCCTTAGACTCAAGAGGATAGTGTTTCCTACATTTGGGCGGGAGCATCTCCTGAGATATATATTTTGCATAATTCGCACACAATTCAACACAGGCTGTATTACACACGAAATAAGAATGATTATTAATAAACTTAAACTAAACAAAACCAAACCAAAGAATATTAAACACAGGTAGGTATAAAATTATTTTCTATTACATACCACAATTTTACCTGAATTTAAATTCCGAAACTTTAGGTAATAATCTTGTTGCATTGTATGTTAATGACCACCCTTGGATAATTCCATTGAAAAGCAATTGGTCACTTTCTTATATCTATGAACAGACCATACCTTCATTATATCATATAGCATATTGTTGTGAGGAGACTCTTCAGAGGCAGATAGAATCTTTAAAATTCAAAAAAGATTGTTCGAACTCTGTGTTGTGCACAAAATAAGGACCACTGTAAGCCACTATGTAAAAAAAGTGAAAGTACTAACTCTCCCTTCAATTTTCATCAGTGCATGTTTATGAAAATAAAGAAATAAATTTCAATTTTCACAGGTATGATACCAGACACAGAAATCATCTGTGTGTTCCTTATCATCGTGTAAACAAAACTCGATCACCCATTAACCTCATTGGTATTAAACTGTATAACAAAATACCGGCGACTCTCAAAAACAACTGTTCCCTTGAGAATTTAAAATCACTACTAAACACATTTTAACAGAAGAACTATAAAAGATTTTTTTTTAATTCAATTAAAAGCTACATAACCTCTGAATTTTAGCTTATTTGTGTATGGGTAAACTGTATTGTATGTTTTCTTCTAAAACTAATACCAGCAACTTTAAATTTATTGTTTATACATGTTTGGGCAATATTTTATTTTTATTTCATAAAATAATAAAAAAAAAAGATTTTTGTTACCCAATTCAAGTCCCGAACATATTCGTTCTTCAGACAGCGTCAATATTTTTTCGCCGTTCAGTGACGTATTCCTAACGCTCTCCGCAATTTCCGACATATCGATCTCGTCCAACCACTTGATGACGTCACCGTTTGACCACTCGGCAACCGTTTTCGCGTGGCACCGTATCTTGTTTGCTACCGTGGTCTGGAAAACCTACATCAAAAACAATCGAAAAGTCGATTATAGGTCGTACTGTTCGCCGTTAGAAACGATTTTTGTGAGGGAGATGAAAACCTTCGGAACAAAATTAACTGCAGCTAAATAGGGGAATGTAGGAGGTTCTTAGGTAAAAAATATTGCGTTTAACGTTTTTTTTTTTTAGATTTTAAGCAGCCACAAAATCCTACTTGATTGGAGGGCGAAATTGTAAATTTTAAAGAATATAGGCGACATTCTAATCAGCCTAGGGTATTCTCACAATAATGTGGACCAAATAATGTTATCGTAGAGATTAACTAGACGGGAACTCCAACACAGGACACTAATTTTGAGAAGTCTCGTTGGTGAAATTGACCGGTCGAATTTTTTTGTGTCAATTGACCAAAATAATTTGAAAAAAATACCATGAAATTCCCGTTACGAGTATAACAGACATTTTAAGCATTTCTCATCGATTTTTTACCAAATTTGTATCGTTAGTTTTGTTTGTAAGCGTTGAATATTCAATTCTTGGATGTATTATGGAAACTACTCGTTGCGACAAATGAACACCCTCACCACCATTTATCCGCTCATAAACGAATTAGTCGTCGACCAAAGCGCCCTCATTGAAGTAGATACGTACGGTCCCGCTAGAGTGAGCCACAGGGCACCAAATAAAAGTAATAAGAGGGGGCCAGTGAAAGATAAAAAGATGGCCGTTGGCGAGCGTTAATACGTGTGACATGTTAAATTACGTTTTGATATTGGTACCCACTTTATTTGAATAGTAAATTGTTTAAATTCGGTTTCGTGTTTAATTACACTCCCGGAATAAGAGTTGCTACATTGTTATAAATACTGTATCGTTCCATTTTGTACGAGTTCAACTGTGAAAAATCCAGAAAAAAATTCCCTTAGGGTACCGGAAGATAATAGCGATGAATAAGATAGCTAAAAGCGTGCAGAAGAGGTATAGAGGGATTGTTCTACGAAGAGGACAAACATTCTCGTTTGTCAAGATCGTTTCAAATAATTAGGATTAGTTAAACTTGTTACTTTACCAGTAAACCCTAGAATACAATACATACACACTCACCTAAATATAAGAAAATATCTAGATACTAATTGTATTTAGAAATAACTAACTAACTCTCTAGTGACAGTATTAGTTAGGTACCCACACTTAATTTTGTTTCGGATTGCGGAAGATATGGATAATTATGTAAAGTTTAGACTAATGTGTGGTAAAAAATAATGAAACTTCATATATTTCCTCACGTTTTTAATTGACAGCCCGACAGAAAAAGAACAACTCACCTTGCCAGCTGTTACAGCTTTGGAAGTCCTCCCAATTTTTAATGTATGGGTAGATTGTCTGATTGTACTTTTATAAAACCCGGATCAACCATTTTCAGTCTTTAATAGAACTACCAAACACCAAACCGTGCAAAATTAAACGAAACTTAAAATCCGACGTTCTATCAATGAATATTGGTTATTTTACGTGTGATGTCAATGCCCGTATACGTACGCCTAGATCGAAATACAACGGTATGACGTCACAACCACTAGCAGCGCATTTTAAGAGCAGCTATTGTACAACTAAAATTATAGTGCATTTATTGCTTTGACAGTACCTTAAAAATCCATCCCAACAGATGTTTATTGTGCATTAAGCAGGTCTTGTCTGAGATGGACACTAACGAATATTTGTAGAAGTTTGAAAATAATCATTCTTGTTTTGGTTAGTTTATGACTTTATGACTGCTCTATACTCAATTTGCGTTATTTGCTACTTTTTTTGCGGACACGTCTTGTTTAAAACGCTGTCAATAAAAAACTATTTGACGCAAGACTTCATTTTTTTTTTCGCAGCCTACCAAGATATATATTTAAAAGGAGACAATGTTTTATCGTGATACCGAAGCTGCATCTATGTCAGACCGGGAAATTTTGGCGCTAACCTCGTATATCCCGCTTGTTAGTGTAGGTAGATAAATTCCTAAGGCGGTCCTGGAATGGTTACGGGTAAAAGTATAAAACACCCTATAAGTGGGCAAAGTTAATCACGGGGTCGGTTTTAAAAGCACTATAACTGTGGTATAAGTATAAACTTATTCAATATTTATTGTTCATGTGATTGGATTTTTTTTAATGGAAACTTGCTTTTGATAAATGATATTATTTTTTGAGCAAGTCCCCTATTCCGCGATGACGTAAGCGAAAGTGTCAATTTATTGATTACCCTGAAGCCCGTAACTATTTTCGAATCTCTTTTGGAACACGTGACATCGAAAAATATTACCCTGATGGCGCTTACCAGCTGCTGCGGCAATTTCCAAATCCATAGGGTTTTATCTAAGCAACCCGTGGCCAGTAGTGAACAATCCGCGCTGAAAGAGCAGCAAGTAACTATCGAATCGTGGTCCAGAACGTGCAAGCATTGGCCTCCGTAAACCGACCAGATTCGCGCTTGCCTGTCTGTCGCAGTCGAACACACTATTTCACCGACGGATGGTGAAAATCTGACGCTGATGACGTTGCCTCCGTGGCCTTGCAGCGAGTGCCAAATTTTAATTTCAAGGTTTTCAAAATCCAAGACCTGCACAGTCTAAAAGCGTGGATCACAGTTTAAAAAATAGTAATAGATGTTTATATTAAATTGGAGACGAATTGTAGTTTGCACGATATTACACAACATTGTATTTTTGGAATGTAATTTTGATGAAGGCAGTATAAAGGGTTGTCTTAATTGGAGTGTTTTAACAGGGAAACCCTATTTCTGAACTACATAGAGCAAAATCAACTTACATGTCAATAGTTCGATTTTTGAGACACATTTAATGGTTAAAACCGCATGGCTACCTTCTTCGGCAACCGTTTTTCAATTTTCGGCCCTTTTAAAAATTGCCCATAACTTATTTATTTATGAAAATTTTGGATTCGGATAAAAACATTATTAGGGCATTACTTTAAGGCAAATTCAGTGCCATACTTAGATTTTTTATATTTTTTTTCTTCGTTTTCTCATAAATAATAATAATAATTATTTTTATTATAATAATAATCAAATATTTACCAAAGCATTAAATAATATACAGTGAATCTGAGGCAAATATAATACAATACAAACCCACTAAAGAAATCTCTTGTAACAAAATTAATTGTTTTTAGCACCACCAACAATCAACGATAGGATTAAAATTATTACTTAACTAACAAATTCTGACTGAAGTTGCATTAGATATAAAGAATATAATAATTGAGCTAACAAGATAAAATTATCAGTTAAATGAATTATTTAAAAAAAACTATTTAAAGAATAAATTAATTCCTACCTATTATTTTATTCAGTTTTTTATGTAAATACATATTATTCAGATATCCAAAGATTACATTTTTTTAAAGTAAATTTAAAGAATTTAATTTTTTAATACCTTCAGGTAGGCAGTTATACAATTTTGGAGCAAGGTATGTGTGGCATCTCGCTATAGTCTTCTCAAGAATTGGCAGCTTACATTTGTTGAGTTTGTTACTTGTATTGTTTTCATGGTCGATTTTTTCAAGCGTGTGTTTATTTTTGTGTTGACGTGTTAACACATCGTGGCAGAATATTTGACGACGATCCGGAACTTTTGGCAAATCATATAATTCTTGTGTTGGGAAGAGCACTTTAATTACATTTAAGATCAATTTTTGATTTTTTTATAATTCATCCATTAGATAAAGATACGCACCTCCCCAGACTGTTATACTAGATTAGAGAGATTAGATTAACAGTTGGGAGACCTAGCTGTCAGCCTGTCCGTCACTGCGACCCAGAGGATCTATTGTGGCTCTTTCCATAGCTATAGGGCTTTATCCAGATTCGTCTCTCTAACCAGACTCCACAACTTTAATAATGGCTTCCTCGTATAGCTCTCTGCCTCTGGTTTGGTATCGCCCAGCAGATGGAAACGCACTCTCGCTAGGCCTTCGCAGTGGCACAGTACGTGTGTGGCTCTTTCCTCCTCTTCCTGACAGAATCTACATTCTGTGTTTTCTTCCACTTCTATCAGGCTTAGATGCCTCTTAAGCCTACAGGGGCCCGTCAGCAGACCTACCATTATTCTTACGGCTTTTCTATTGTAGCTTAGTAAGTCCGCTGTAAAATTGGCCGATGGGCCGCTTAGGGGCTGTTATACTATATCTAATATGGGTTTCAACAAGTGCATGATAGGTGCTTGATAAAAGTACCCTAATCTTTTTCACAACATATGCGATTTGAACATTCCAATTTAGGTGACAGTTTTGTGATTGATAGTAGGGATGTAGGCTAAGAAAAATGTTTTTTCACAAATGTACAAAACTTTCCCATTTTATATGGCAATCATAGGTGGCTATGGTCTTAAAAAATATCATTTTCGAGGCCTTTTCAGCGAAAGATTCAGAAAGCCAAGGCAAAATCAAAACAATTTAAATGAAGAACAGGAAATCCAGAAACTGAACATAATTGGAGAGCCATTGGAAAATCTGGGCACGGGCACCAGCTAAGACAATAAATGCTGGGAAAACTAAAGTTTTGACTACTTTAAAGAAACATAAAGTAAAGCCATATCTTACCAGAAAAGTCCACTAATTGTATGAAGGCCATGTGGGTAAAAGACAATTTTGCAGCTGGTTTATGGGAAATTGCAATGAGAACATTAATTTTCTAATTCTAGTTCTATATTTAACAAATGCAATTCTTATCGTAAAAGTACAGAAAATCCTCATGCTGTAGTGTATCAAAATTGGCAAGGTCGCAATTTCGACTCAGCAAAAACCGACCCAGGAGGAATCCAGAAGTTTTGAAAAAAAAAATCAAAAATATTAAAATTAAAATATTAAATGATCCTTGGCTTTATTTTAAATGTTGAAGTTAGAGGGCCCATTCTGTGGCCTGCGAGATTGTGTGATCTAAACTTCCATTTCGTAAATGGTCTATTGATTGCTGAACAAATTCGATCAAAAAATGAAAAAAAAAAACAAGGTATATCAAATACGCTACTTTCAGAAAATAGGGAAAAAATATTTGCATTTCCTGAAACCCTTAACCATCAAGTGATTAAAATGAATGCATTTTTGGTTTTAATTAATTTATATTATTTTTATTTATATTTTTTAAACGTTTTTTTTTTTACTAATTTTATTGCTAGTAGTTCATTAAATTTTTGTGAAACATTGGGAATATGCCTTATTTTGTTGAAACTGTTATTTAAATTTTTAAATAAATTAATCTAAACAATAACGTTTTTTATTGTCCCTTATACATATATATAATACATAGGGAAAAAATATTTACATTTCCTGAAACCCTTAACCATGGAGTGATTAAAATGAATGCATTTTTGGTTTTAATTAATTTATATTATTTTTATTTATATTTTTTAAACGTTTTTTTTTACTAATTTTATTGCTAGTAGTTCATTCAATGTTTGTGAAACATTGGGAATATGCCTTATCCCATTTGTTGAAATTGTTATTTAAATTTTTAAATAAATTAATCTAAACAATAACGTTTTTTATTGTCCCTTATACAAAAAGAAACCGAAAATTTTAGTTATTTTATTACATTTATTACGTTAGTTATTAACAAAATGTATTTTATAGGCGTGCGTCAAGTTTGCAAAAATAACTACTCCTGTGCATGTCTTTTATCTTTGGCGTCGATCGTAACAAAACTTGAAAAGTGCCGACAGGGCCAAATTTACCTTCGGTACGGTGAGTCGCCACAATTTCACCAGACTGTCATTGCCGCAAGTACCAAGCAGGTACGACTGGCTGTCTGACGTGATATTCGGAATGGGTTCCAAGTTTTCCGAAAAATCGCAACTCTGGATACCATAGTCGTGCGCATCTTCTTTGACGTAAATGCACTTGGATTGGTCTATTTGCCAAACGCGGAAGTCCGCATTGCAGGACACTGTCACCAGCGTTTGATTGTCGGGTGATATGCAGGCCGAAGTTACGGTATCTAAGTGGCCCTCCAAAACCCTGGAGGATGAAAAACAAGCTTTTTTATTAACGAATCCGCTGGGTTTATATACTGTTTATGCTTATGTTAGTTATAATACGACCAAAAATATAGTGCATTTATTGCATTTTAAGTATTTTCAGTACCTTAACCGTACGACCGTGGTAAAACCCATTCCAACAGATGTCTATTCTGCATCAAGTAGGTCTTAACTGAGATGGACCGTAACGAATATTTGTAGAAACTTGAAATTTTTATTTGAAACGTAAATGGACCATTTTAAATTTGATTAAGCATTGATGCTGCGGGTATTTTCGAATCAGTAGGAATTGAAATATGTTCGTATATAATACGAAGGTACTTGACTGTGATCCTTCCAATAAGTACGTATATATGTACCTGATTCTCGAGCATTGACAATGCGAGGCTGTTTTCACTGGAATGTCCAAAGGGTAAAGCTAAGTACCTGTACTGTATTTATCAAACAGGTAAGGTTGAAAATAATTATTTTTGTTTCATGTGCCTGTCGATTAAAAACATTCTTCTTCTTGTATATTTGTGTCTTCTAGATAGTTCTTCGATTTGTAAACAACAACAGTCTTTTTTAAGACTATCGATTATATCGATACAGATAAATATTTACAGATACAGATAAATATTTATTAGAATCATACAATTAAACATTTTTTGAGGGTTCCTGGTTTTTAACACTGTGGAGACCGTGGAAAGAAGCAGCTGTTTCCCTATTAGAAGAAGACATGGAAAACAACGCAGAATATGAAGACGAAGTGGAGATGGTAGTCGTACCTAATGACAATTTAGAAGACGAAAAACGGATCCATTCGTCTTCGAATGCTAAACAAATGGTTTTGAATGTTTACAATTTTATTAGCAGCAACAAAAACAAGTGACATGACCAAAGTTCCGAAGTCAACTGTAAGAAAAATTGTTGGAAATGGGATAGTCAAGAGGAAAGTGAGAGAAGATCCTGGTACTTTGCGAGTTTTTAAAGAGCAACACGCAGATCTAATTAGGCGTATAATTTACGACGCTTATGAAGTGAAGTATTTTAACCCTGCATAAAAAAGTACTGACATACTTAAACATTAGTTGTGCCAAAGAGTTGTTACGTACTTTTTTTTTTGAAGAAAATGAATTATCAGCTTTAAGCAATTAATAAATGTGACAACAGTACGATAGTGACGATTTTTATTTAATTATTTAATATTTTGTATATTAATAATAAGTAATAAATTGTTACTTTGTACTAATTTTTTTATGTACACGTTTCAAGAATTGTTCGGCGAAAAAGATTAAAAACATACTTATATCCCGCATGTTGGTGTACGCAGATAAATTTCTATGACGGTCCTGGAATGACTACGGGGAAGAGTCTGCTCGGCAGGGCATTTTATAAGAAGCTGCTGGAGTAAGAAACGGTAGGCAAAGTTAATCACGGGGTCGGTTGTAAAAGCACTACATTTCTGGTCGAAGTATATATATTTGCTTTATTGTTACTTCCTTTAAGAGCAAAAGCGAATAAAATTGGCCGAACTAATATATTTTATTAAGGTGCCCTATAGTTGTTGATGCGACTGATTAATAATTTTTTTTTTATAAGATTCATATCAAATGTCAAATCTATATTTATAAAACTTTTTATGCTTAAGCTAAATTTATTTTATAATTATTCGAAAATGATTTTGTTGGGAGTGCAGGATACCATAATAAAAATAAAATTTTATCTTTTGTAAGAGCTTTATAACAAGATTTTATAGTTGTTCTGGAAATTTACCTTCAATACAATTTAAGTTAAGTTAATTGAGATTTTTTGTATTTTGAATGAAAGAAATCCTAATCTTCCGACAGATCCAAGAATATTATTAAAAACTGCTAGAGAAATGACCCTACTGGATACTACTGGCATTTCGGGTTGAAAATTAATTAACTAGGATTATTAGAAAAGGTGTGCCGTTGAATTCAAAATAAATAAGAACTGAAAGTTCAGATTTTCACGAAATTCACATGACAATGGTTTCGACAACACCTTGTGTTTATCAAATGTAATATTTAAAAACTACCTGCTACTATATATACCGAAAAATGACCATAAAACCTTAATTAATGTTGTTGTGAGAATTTAAGTTTAATAAAGGAGAGGTATTTAAATCTAATTGATCGTTAAGCAATACATTCGATTTCATTTTGTTAATCTCAATAGCTTCAAATAAATTTTTTACTTTTTGTGACTGTATGTAAAATATCAAAATTGTCGTCAAAAATGTGTTTTTCTGTGTTGAAGTGTGTCGCATAATTAGAATCTAGACTATTGTTTTCAAACGCTCTTTTATGTTCGTTAATGCGTTTCTTGAAGGATGTACCTGTTTGTCCAATATAAATTTTAGGACAAGATCCGCATTTCAACCTGTAGACACCTGATTTTTGAGATTTTGTACATTTCCTTTTACTGTTATTTAAAAATTTTCCTATTGTGTTGTTAATTATGAAAGCTATTTTTAAACCACATTTTGACAAATGTTTTGAAATTTTTTCACTGGGTTCTCCTATGTATGTAATTGTTTTAAATTGTTCGTGTTCTATATTAGGATAAATAGAGTTTACTGTTGTCCGGATTTGGTTTTTATTTATAATTTTATCGATAATGGACGGATTGTAGCCATTGTTCAGTGCTATTTGTTTAATGATATAAAGTTCTTTGTTGTAATTTTCTGTTTGTGTGTATATGGGTGATTTGAGCTGTTATGTATGACTGTGTGAAGGTTTATGGTAAATGGAAAAATCAAATTTGTTCTGCGTTTACGTAATAGTTAAGTCTAAAAAATTAATAGAGTTATCCTGTTCAATCTCGAACAATGTACATAATTTGGACTGTCATAATACGCTTCCCATCATTTAGATCATTAAAATTATTACTCCAAAAAGTTCAGTCACAGCAGAAGAGCCTATTTTACGCCACATTTTGCAGAAAATGATACAACAATATCTTTACTTAAAAAGTAGCTATTTTCTGGAAAGTTGAAAAATCTATTATTGCCTGGTTGGAATGGTTATATTACAAATTTTTGATTTCATTTATTCATCAACCAGCGAGTCACTACAATGCAATACAATTTACACAACTTTTGCTGTGTGCTTTAGAAGATGCAAACATTTATGGCCACGATTATTGTATTATTCCTTTTGATCAACCTTTGTATGCAAAAATCTCGAGAAAATGTATCTGAAGTGCCTGAAAGATCTGAATTATCGAAATTCATAGTAATATTTCGAGGTTTCCATTTACTTATGTCCTTTTTTGGAGTACTTCCTCTAATTTATGCATCCAATGATTGCATAGATAAATCTAGATATTTGAAGTTTGTAAAATCTGCATGGAGCAATAACACAGTACAGTTGGCTAGGCAATGAGCTGAACCCACGAGAATGGAGTTGGAAATCAACAGAAAAACTGCTCAATACTATTTTCTGTAACTGCAAGACAGGTTGTAGTACGAATTGTGGCTGTCAAAAAGTGGGATTATTTTGTTTGCCAGTATGCAATAATTGTCAAGGCCAGAATTGCTCCAATATTGAATCAAGTACAACAGAAGAAATTATTTGATTCCAATGAAGAGAAAATCGATGCGTCCCTTTTTTATTAGAACAGATATTCTGCAAGAAGAAGAAAATGAAGATGAACAAATAATTACTGAAGTAGAAGTAAACAATTATCTATTGTAACAATATTTAGAAGAAAACATACCTATTTCACTTTGAAAATTATCAATATTATCATACTTTCAATCAATAAGATACGATCTGAACAAATTTTCTTCATTACAATAGATCGTCAAGTATACCTACTGGGGAAACCACGTTAAGAAAAATTGGCCAAGTATATTACATTATGTAAAATATTAAATTGCTAATAGTGGAAACCGCGATATCTCACGATGAGATATGTGATATGATGAGTGAGGTGAGTCGCGAGAAAAAAAATCACTGAAAAATTCTTGTAGAGAATTGTATGATCTATAACTTTTGTCTGACCTATTTTCAATATAAAACTTAGTGTTTTCGAGAAAAATGAAAAAAAAACTCAATTTTGTACGTTCATAATTGAATAAAATTTTTGTATAATGGTATATTTAACGTCTCTGCCAATTTTAAGCTCTATGCGAATTTTTGACTTATTTTTGTCTATTTTGACTGGACTATAACTCAAATTCTAAAGTCTGTTCATATATATAAGAAAGTGACTAACTGATTCGAATTAAGGAAAGACCCGGGCAAGTTGTAATAATGAAATACGGCCGAACGGGTCCGTACTTTACTTAGAATTTAATTATTTGGAGTTTTGTGAAGAAAGATATTAAACAATATTTATTTATGTATGCATGTATTTATGTTTTAATCTAAAATAAAATTACAAATTATTTTTATTACCTTACTTAAAATTATTCACATAATATATCAGTATCGCTATCGCTATCATCGCCTGTTCTAATTATTATTTGTTCTATATTATTTGCTATACGGATATACGATTATTCTGCTTTTTTTTATATGTTTAACAGAATTTGTCCAACTTTGTGGAGAGATGATAGAAACTTCGGTTTCTATAAGTTTGAGGACATTGGAGTTAACACGGGGAACAACATTGTTACGACGAATGGCAGATTTCAGTTGGTGCCAAACATGTTCAATGGAATTAAATATACAGTGGTAACGCGGAAACCTTAAAACTGTATGCCCTAGATTTTTTGCATAATTATCACAGACGTATTCGTTTTGTAGGTTCAAGCTTTTTAGAACCTCAATTAATTGCTTTTTGATATAATCTTCGTGAAAATAAATGTCGTTATTATACATGTAGTTTTGGATTGTTGCTTTTGTGTCACATGAGGAAGGGGTTTTAGTCAACTGTCTACTGTGATAACGTGCATTGTCCATTACAATGATGACGCTATTTGGAGGAATGTTTGTAACTAGTTTGTTTTTAAACCAATTTCAAATAAATCAGCGGTGGTGTCTCCATGGTAATCCAGAGAAGAATCTTTAATATTTTTCGCAGACAGAGAAAGTCCATTTGGAATCCAACCATCTTTAGAGCCAGCATGCAAAGTAGTTATTCTTTTACCTCTTTTTGATGGCGCGTTTGTTTTACACACAGTTGAGTCAACCCACCCTTTTCTGGGTTATCATAAGTGTCGAAACAGGTTTCATCCAAGTAAATAATCGGCATTTGTTGTTCTCTGTAAATCCTCATCTTTTCTAGATATTCCAGTCGCCATTTCCGAATAGTGTTTTCACATTTGGGTTTGTACATTTGGGCGCGAGCATCTCCTGAGATGCAGTAGACTCGCACATATTTTGCATAATTCGCGCACGATTGAACACACGCCGTATTACACACGACATAAGAATGATTACTAATAAACTTAAACTAAGTAGTATACCAAACCAAAGAGTATTAAAAACAGATAGGTAAAAAATAATTTTCTATTACGGACCACAATTTCACCTGAATTTAAATTCTGAAACTTTAGTTAATAATCTTGTTGCATTGTATGTTAATGACCACCCTTGGATAATCCCATTCAAAAGCAATTGGTCACTTGATTATATCTATGAACAGACCATACTTTCTGTGCCTTGCAGATTCGGGTTAGGGAAATTCAACAGTATTTTTTAAAAGTAATATCAACATAAACCATACCAGACAAACTTGCGACCATGTCAAATTTCACCTTCGAAGTAGCTTAACATATTTTCCGCTAGAGGTTTCATTGGATTTTAAAATCTCAAACACGCTAATCAGAGACGGCGTCCATTTTCACTTACGCTTGTTTCTCCAGTGTTTCGACATCCCAAACGATGGCCCTTTCGTCGTCACCCGCGGTGACCAAGAACTCCGTATTGGGGGAAAATCTACACACCTTCACCGACTGGCTGTTTTTCGGCACGGAGTAGAATTTCTCGCCAGTCTACAAAATTGAAATTTGATGACATTCTCGACCTTTTAGAGGACTACCGTACCAACGGGTCCCATATAAGCGTACACCCGTCCAGCGAAGAGGAAGCCAATTTGCTCCCGTCTTTAGAGAATTCTACGTAATTCACCGCGTAGGTGTGACCCTCCAAAGGTGAACAGCTTAATTCTTCGATATTGTTATTCTCCTCAACGACTTTAAATATCCTCACCATCTTGTCGCTAAAAAATAACGATTTAAATTACAAACAACATTGTTTTTTAGGGCACACAAAATAATTGATGTTTCACCATTGGAAGTAAGAAATTATCATCACTTAAGAAATGACATCAAACAAGAACAATGGCGTCGCATCTTCTCTTTGGAAGTTATAAATCACATGTCAAAAGAGAAATTGTGAGTCAGCAGTTGATAACTACGGACCTTCTTAAATCTACGGAGGAAAGGAACAAGCTCTATCTTAACCTTAAGAAAAAATATAACATATGTATTTTTCTCCGAACATGAAATTATTTCAAAATATAATCTATTACTGCGTTTTTTATGGACTGAAGCACATGCTTAAGTAAAATAATAATAATATTTCTGATGGAGTATTCACAACACTTTGTTTCAGGTTTCGCCCTAAAAATGGAAAAACTATTGTAAGCATACAGAGGCTTGGGAAAGGGAGAAGTTGATCGATGCATCTAATGTTCGGAAAGTGGTTATCGACATGGATGAATCAGACTCCGAGGAAAATATTTTTTTCCGATTATGACTAGTTTTTGTTCCCCTTCTCTCCTCTTCTCTTGATGTTTGTTTTCTCCCATATATTTGATGCTTTTCGTTTTGACCGTTCCTATAAATACGCCACTGAACCAAGTTGCCATAATGCCATTATTTCATTTTATTTCTAGTAGATTCTACCATGATGACTAATGTCCACTGTAGAAAAACCCTTACAAAATGGAATTTCAATTTAGCTTTTAGAATTGGATATTTCAACGTTTAAAGTAACGAATTAATAGCCAATATAGCCAAGACATATGGATCACTTTTGATTACGTCATTATACGTGACGTAACTGCACAAATACTCTGACTGGACTATATTTGTACAAATATTTACCAACATTTGCCGTGGCTTTAAAGTTTGCTGAGACGTGAAGGACACTTTTAACAGGATGCATGTACAATAAAATTGCATGAGCACCATAGAAAATAATAGCCTCTTCAAAATCAAAAAGCCAGGTATTGAAACGAAAATTTAACCACAAACTAAGGAGATGATGCACCACTCAATCAGTGTGACAGATGTGCCTCAGCTTCTACAGGGGGTCCCAAATAGGTGGTGCCGTTTTGGCGAATTTAATTAGCAAAATCTCAAGATGTCGTTGCCAACTACATTATTTATTTTATCTGCACGTGTAAATATTATATTATTTTCAGAAGCTTTGTTTGTAATGGATTTTACTAGTGACACTTGAGAAATTTCTTAGTGTTTGTTGTTATCTATTAATTGAGAGTTTATTATATTCGCTAATACATGTTTGTTTAAATTAGAATAGTTAATGTCCTTAATTGCTAATTCACAGTCGATCCCTAAACAGTCTAATTCTCTATTAATGTTCGAGTGCTGTAAGTTAATATATGGAATATAATTCTAAAAAAAACTTGGGACAACGTATAACCATTACGTCTGTGGATGAAAGCGATATTGTATTTATTATTTATATAATTATAATTATACAATACGCAATCCAACAGAACGTATTTACATATTTTGTCTTTTAATTTCATTACTACTACCCTGGACCGGTAACAGCATTATTTCAGTCATTACCATTTATCGTATATCGGCCTATATTCAGTGTATGTTTTAAATAAACGCTATTATTATTACCCCGAGCCGGTTGCCAATAGGTTGCCGTGAAAACAACAACTGTTGACTCCCGCATCGAATATGTCGTCGATTTTCTCGACCACTTTAACCTCCGAACTTTCGCTGTCGGAATTTTCCACCAGATGCGTTTCTACCACTCCATGCGTATGTACGGCTATCGGCGTGAACAGCTCAGACTCCATCGACAGATCACCGTTAAGATCCCACACAATAACCGATTTATCGTTTGAACCTGTAGAGCCTTAAAATGTACACTTGAGTTTAAACATTTTTTTTGTCTAGTTTTAATATTTTTGACACCCCATGCACGAACAATAAAATTATATACATAATGTGGCGGGTGCAGACAATCGTTACGGTGCGCCATGGGATGAAAGTGAAGAATTTTGGGCCGTAAATGTATTATATATTATGTTCCGTGATAATATTAGTGGCGCCATCTCAGAGTCGTACTGTAGACAATTAAATGGAGCTTTCCCAGAGCGTGGGATTTTATTGGGTTCCAAACAATAATACAGAAAATAGATTAAAAAAAACCGGAAAGGTTTTTTGGATTTTGGTAAAAAAAACCTTTTGGTTAAATGCACTAAAATACTAAAATATAGAACAGATAGATACATTTAAAAATCAGGTAATGGATTTCGAAAAAAATGTTGGAACACATCCATCGTAATGTAAAACAAAAAGTAGATGTCGACACCAAGGTCCTTTTCCTAAATGGAACAGAATTTCTTTAAATTCATTTTCGAAGTCTGTGTCAAATTTCACCCGTAACTATCTCTTACTTTTTACGAGCAAAGCAATGAAAACCAAATTCAATTTTGAAATGAAGTACACTATATTATTTTCCGGTTTAATTAATAAAACTTAATAACAATTAAATTAATTACAGTCGAAACTCATGTCATTTTCTTTTGAATTTTTTCAGATTGCCAATACGCATCTCGTACTTTGGCTTGTATTTTCATCATTTTTTCGAGAGGGGCATCTTCCCCATGATACATAAAAATTTTTCCTAGCAGCTTAACTTAAGCAGATCAACTTCTTCACCTTCTTCTTCCTCTTAGTGCTCTTCCTCACCCTTTCTTGCTTGTTATAATATGGCTTCCTCTGTCAAGTCTGCTGTTGTAGGCAAATCCTGATCTATCACCATAAAATCTTGCAACTCCTCACTTGTAAACGTAATTGTTGTTTGAAACTGCTTTATCCACTCGCTTTGTGGCTGATCATCTCTTCCAAGTCCTATTGGCATTCTGTTTCGGTAATGCATGACGATGGAGTGAGCTTGTTTCTGCTGTCACCTCTTTCCAAGTTTTACTAATAAAGTTGACTGCATCTGGCATATTAATGGAAAACTTGTCTCCGGACTCGTATATTTCCATTAACATATTTTTTCTGTATCGACTGTTAAGACTTTTTATTGCGCTCTGGTCCATCGGCTGTAATACACTTGTTGATTTGGCTGGAAGAAATTCGATATTCCTTAAATTTGGAATATTTAATTCTGCAACCCATTTCCATATCTCCTTTTGCGATATAATCCATGCAGACTTGTAGGACCGTTTAGAGACGCCATATTCAGTTTATTTACTGAAAGAATTGTAATTGTGACAATTTAATAACTGGACTGGTAGTAGCTACTTGTACATTTGAAAATGAAATTTCTTTTTTTTTATAATAGTAGTAAGAGATAAGTATAATATAAAAATTTGACGCAAAAAAGGAACTCGGTATCGACATCTACTCTTTGACCCACCCTGTATATTTTCTGCTTACTACTTTTAAATAAATTTCTTCCCTATTTTAGCCGTTCATTGTATTCGTATAACCTAAACTTAAAAAAAATATTCTAGTATTTTAAAGAAATAAAAATTAGTAGGTAATTATGGTGTTAATGTAAGTAATATCTCTATAGTTTTAATTTCGGTTTTAGAAACTCTATTGGAACATGATGTTATGCTACGGAATGGATAGCTTTTAACATTTCAGCAAAATTAAAAAAAAAAACAAAGTTGTGCCAAAATTAATTATTACACATTTTATCTTTTCTGTTCCTGGACATATTTTTACATTTTAACAAACATCTTCGTCCGAGGGCGAATTAGCGAAGTGATATTTTGGTAGTCCAATATTTCCTATTTCGGCCAAAATTGTTTAAATTTATCCCAATGTACGGTGTTCAAAGAAATGCACAAGTAACAAGTCAGAACGATTAACCAAAACTAAAGGATTATTATAAAACAGTAACAAACATTATTTTACTATTGTATTAATATTCTTTTTTTATTGTACTTATTCCACAGAAACAGTGTGGAGTTTGATGTTTGGCATTAAGCAAATACAACACGCACAAATTAACCAAACCAAAGCAAAATTGAAAACAATGCTAGTATGGAAAATAATTTAACAATTTCTGGTTGCTATTTTGGGGGTTATTATTTTTCCTCCTAAAAGATACATTGTTAAACTTATAGTTATAATTTTTCACAAGCTACTGTAATACTATTTACTGATTTCCTCCTGGGTCGGTTATTGTTGATTCGAACTTGCTGACGTTTCGCCAATTATCTTGTTGGCTTCTTCAGAGCTTGACTGAAACTGACTCGTACGCTACTCTGTACTTGCTTATATGTTGTTTGAAGGATGACACTGTCTCGAATGATTAATTCCCATATTGGTGACAGGTAAAGACCTGAGTCACAGTTAAGATTGTTTGCTTGCTTAAAGATTTCTATAGATTCTCGAATTCTTCGTTAGTAGAAGAAATTACATGAAAGAATGTTTGGGCAAATGGTAAAATGTTTTGACGTTATATTTTTTAACAACTTGACAAGAGTGGCAAGGTTGGGGTTGCTTTCGTTGTCTTTGGAAAGTTGTCGCGAAGCGTATTTTGTGATTAAAAAGAGAAGACGTAAGGTTTTTTACTTTAGTGTTCAGTGACTCGGGCTGAGATAGTTTTACGGCTCTGTAAACAAAAGAGTTGATAATTTTTGATTTTTGATTCGGAGGGTATTGATTGGTCTGTGTGCGTAGGTTTTCTGTAAATAAAATGACTGAATGTTATGTCTGATTTTTTATTGATAAGGATATCTAAGAATGGAAGATTACTATTATGTTATAATTCAATGGTAAAACGTATGTTAGTGTGTACATAGTTTAAATGGCTAAGAAAATCTAGTAGGGGACCATGAGGTCAAATAATAAAAGTATCATCGACGTAGCGTTCCCATAATTTGGGTTTCAGATAAAAAGTGTCCAGAGCTTTCTTTTGAAAGGCTTCCCATAGCTGTTTCCGACGTTTGTTCAAGTCCAATTTCAGCAAAAATCGAGGCAGGAGGAATCCTGAAGCTTTGTAAATAGTATAATAATAATGTAAGAGTATAATAGTATAATATTACTCCAATTTCATTTTTTAATGTTATAATTTTAACATTACTTTCTTTTCATCAAATTTGGTATGCCTCTATTAATTTTTACCAGTGGCATCCGTAAGGGAAGGGAAATCGCCGATGTATTAAAGTCAATCAGGAAAAAATGTAACAGAAATATGGAGATTCATAATAGGATATATGTTTATATTATTTGGAGTTTTTCCCGGAAGAAAGAAAGAAAGCGCAATTTTCAGGTATAACTCCAACAACCCAAAACCTAGGATAAAACTGATCTTGAGTTAAACTCTAACTTAAACACATACTTATGTTAATCAAACTACAGGCTACTATAGTACCTGATGCTATAATAGACGAATCCCTCGAAATGGCAACACAATTAACATATCTCTGGTGTCCATAGAGGGTGGAAACGCAAGCGCCGTTAGTATCCCAAACTTTCACCGATTTATCTAAACTACAAGATATGAGGTAAGATCCTACGTTGCTGTACCTGATACAGGTAACGGAGGAGTTATGCCCGTCAAGGACATCGAACGGATCGATCGACACTTCAACACTAGAGGGATTCTTGTGCTTGTGTAAAGACTTCGTCGTGATCTTCCACAGTTTTATCTCGTCGCTACATCCGCAAGTGGCCATCGTGTAATGGCGTATGAATGGATTGTCTTCTGAAATCGAGCTCATATGAGTAAACTATTTTAACTTCGGCTTGGTGATATGGTATGTTCATAGATATAAGAAAGTGACCAATTGCTTTTGAATGGGATTATCCAAAGTTTCGGAATTTAAATTCAGATAAAATTGTGGTCCGTAATAGAAAATAATTTTATACCTACCTGGTATACTACTTAGTTTAAGTTTATTAGTAATCATTCCTATTTCGTATGTAATACAGCGTGTGTTGAATCGTGTGCGAATTATGCAAAATATGTGCGAGTCTAGTGTAGAAAATACTATTCTATTGAGACTAAGGAAGTTATAAACAATGTTTATTTGACTCTCATTGAACGTGGTGCCAGCAAGCAAGCATCTTTAGAAGAAACGGCCACATTGACGAAAATTCCAATATCGACTGTATGGAAAATTGTGAATAATCCCATTTCAGCGAGGAAAAAAAGAAGCGATGCTGACTTTTTCTCGAGTGTACATGAAAGTGATCAAGATATAATACGGCGTAAAATTTACCAGTTATACCAGGAACAAAGCGTGCCTACATTAGATATCTTAATTAGGAGGCTTGAAAAAGATGAAATTGGTGTTAAATGTGGCAGAACTACCCTATGGAAGTGTAATCAACACATGGGTTTTAGATTTAAAAAAATTGACAAAAGGCAAGTTTTAATGGAATCTTTAATGGAATCTCGGAAATGGCGACTGGAATATATAGAAAAAAACCTGGTTCGATACTCATGATACCTCGGAAAAGGTTTGGGTTGACTCAACTAATAAGTGTTGGATTCCAAATGGACTTTCTCTGTCTGCGAAAAATATTAAAGATTCTTCACTGGATTACCACGAAGACACCACCGCTGATTTATTTGAAAGTTGGTTTAAAAACAAACTAGTTCCAAACATTCCTCCTAATAGCGTCATTGTAATGGACAATGAAGTTATCACAGTAGACAATTGACTTAAAACCCCTTCCTCATGTGACGCAAAAGCAACAATCCAAAACTACATGTATAATAGCGATATTTATTTTCACGAAGATTATACCAAAAAGCAATTAATTGAGGTTCTACAAAGTTTGGACCTACAAAAGGAATACGTCCGTGATAATTATGCAAAAAATCTAGGGCATACAGTTTTAAGGCCTCCACCTTATATATTATGTGAATAATTTTAAGTAATTTAAGTAGGTAATAAAAATAATTTGTACTTTTCTTTTAGATTTAAACAAATACATAAATAAATAAATAAATATTGTTTAGTATCTTTCCTCACAAAACCCCAAATAATTAAATTCTAAGCAAAGTACGGACCTGTTCGGCCATATTTCATTCTTACAGCTTGCCCGGGTCGTTCCTTAATTCGTATCAGTTAGTCACTTTCTTATATCTATGAACAGACTTTACCTTCAACGGTGATATATTTGGATACGTCGATAGAAAATATTCCCATGTCGTGGACGTTGTCCATCCTCGTGATGGGCAAACAATTATCGACGGTGGTGTCGATTAAATCTTGGACGTGCCAAACTTTGATGACCTCCAATGAGCACGCGGTTATTAAAAACTGAGAATCGGGCGTAAATGATAGGCCTTGCGTAGTGCCCTCGTGTTCGAAAAGAGTTCTAGAAAATCGCGGGGTAATTATCAATTTCTATGTAGCGTAGCAACGCAATGGGCTCATATCTTTGATTTATTTTTAATTGGTTATTTAGTTAAGGTAATTAACGATAGCAAAATTGAATTATGCGCAGATTATGGAATGTTGTATATAGTTGGTAGTGACATAGATCAGATGAAACCTAGTATTAGCAGTGATTTGTACCGAATATATGAATTGTGATGTAAACACAAACTTAATATTAACACGTCAAAGTCTAAATTTTGTATTTTTGGGAAGAAACAAAAATTGAGTACCGTTAATATAGAAAACATAAAAATTTAAGTAAATAATGTAATGTAATTATGTAATGAGAAAATTTTCACAAAAAGTAGGATTTATATGTAGAATAGGCCATGTACACCAAATATCTTTTATATAGCAGCATTGCGGCACCTCACCTCAAATTTGGCTCCACACTCTTGTATAACTTACCGAACTTTAAGATAAATAAATAAAGTTTCAAGTAATTCAAAATAGAGCAATTAAGATCGATCTTATATTGTAACAGATACACTCTTGTAAACCTAATGTCAAATGCTGTTAATGCCATGACGGTTAAACAAGGAATTATTTATAATGCAAATATTTTTATGTATAAGTTAAGAAATAAACTATTACCTGATTACATCTGTGATAAAGTAAAGTCTTTTAACAGCGTGCCTAGTTACTATACGAGAAACCGCAATGATTTTATTTTAGTAGATAAGTATTGCTCTAACCAAATGACAAATTCTATTCTGTATAAGGTTCTCTCCGAAAACAGTAAACTGCCAAATAAAAATGTCAGATGAACATATAACCGGAACACTTTTCTAACTGAGCTACAAGCATTTGAAATTTGAAAGACCATTTAAAAGAAATCCCTTTAATTTTTAATTATATTCTATTTTATTGAAGTAGTTGTTCAAAATGTTCACCCAATAGCTGTATACATAGTCTAGCTCTTCTTAGACTTGAAGGGGTAGCCCTGCTAACAGTCTCAGTTGTTCTCTGGTTTCAATACTTTCCGCGTAAACTAAAGTTTTCAGTCTTCCCCATAAAAAGCAATCTAAGGGATTAAGTGACCTTGCTGGCCAAGGAACTTCCAGCCTACCGGTTTGATTAAGAAATTCTGTTACTACCGAAAATCTATCTAGAAAATGGGATTCCCGAATTTGTAGTGGGTTTTCAAGAGCCCAACAATATGAATTCCTGGTGTTATTGCTACCGTTTCATCCGAATGAGGCTAAATAATATACTCCGGAAAATCCTTTGATTTCTCGATATCCCGCGACTAAATTCAAGTCTTGAAGCGTAGTGGGAATTTTTTAAAGTTTAAAAAGATAAGATGTAGTACGGATTCAAACCGAAATTGTGTAAAGTTCTCCATAGTCTCATCAGGCCTACGTAAACTCTATTATCTATTTTTCAGACAATAGTAGAAGCAAGTTTCTGTTGAACTGGACGTTCAGAAGTAGCTGTAGCAAACTTGCCCCTTTCTCGCAGACATCGATAGATATTGGTAAAAACAGTTCTACAAGCCACTCTACGAGTTGAAAAACGTATCGTTATCCAAATCAAAATCATTATCAACAAACAAAGTGAATGTCGGCGTATTCTTCATTCGAAAAAGTAAACATTGTATTAATTTAATTGACGTTTACAATACATAAGATTCACAGCCACCTGGACTTTTTAATAAAAATATTAACAACTGAAAGTAATACTGGAGCAACTAATTCAATAAAGGCGGCTTCTTTTTAAATGGTCTTTAAAATTTCAATTGCTTGTACCTCAGTTAGAATAACGTTCCGACTATACGATTATTTGACATTTTTAACTTGAAATCACCACAGCGACATACCACCACGTTAAGGCAGTCATGTTGTGGGACAGCCTGTATATGGAGAAAGATCAGATCAGATTCGGCGTGCTTGTTGAAACTTGTTGGAAATAAGATAAGATCTAGAACTAGAAAATCCAAAATTTTTGATTAATAATAATAAAGGACTTAATTGATAAAAAAAATAACAAGAAGGTAGATTACCTAATGATTAGCCAGGAAAAAAATCAATCCATCCTAGCTCTGTGTTCAGTTAACTTAACAAATGACCAGCCACCAACATTATGCATGTTATTAATAAAAGCGAATAACAATAAAGGAACAAATAAAGACTGATTATGTAAAGGGTAGGACGTGAATATTATAAGACATATGAATATTTTTAACCAAATCTGTATAAGAACCAGTTTAGGAATTGGGTGGGTGTATAGTGTGTCCCACTTAATGAATGTAAAATCTTTGTTTATGGTTCGATTTTGATAATTTTTGTATTCAAACTTTTTTTATTAAAACAAAATAAATAGAAAATTGTTCAAAGAAACTTTCACAGACTACTGTAATACTTTTTACACAACTTCTGGATTCATCCTACCTCGGTTTTTGCTAAGTCGAAGTTGGACTTGAACAAATGTCGGGAACAGCTGTGGGTTCTCCACTATCACCAAACATAGCGAATATATTTATGGAAGCCTTCGAAAATAAAGCTCTGGACACTTTTTATCTAAAACCAAAATTATGGGAACGCTACGTAGATGATATTTTTGTTATTTGGCCTCATGGTCAAGAAACCCTAGTAGATTTTCTTAGATATTTAAACTATATACACCCTAACATACGTTTTAACATTGAGTTGGAAACTAATAATAACCTTTCGTTCTTAAATATTCTTATCAATACAAAATCGGACTCATTGTGTTTACAGAAATCCTACGAACACAGACCGATCCCTTTATGCATGGTCACATCACCATCCGGCTCAAAAATCATTGATTATCAATTCTCTTGTTTGCAGAGCCGTAAAACTATCTCAGTCAGAGTCACTGAACCCAGAATTAAAACACCTTACCCCTCCTCTTTTCTATAAAAATTTACACATATATTAAGCCTTCCATCACAAAATACACTTCATCACAACCTCCCAATAGCAGTGGTCCTTCCTTATATTCAAAACATCACTAACCACATATCAAAAGTTCTAAAGAAATATACCATCAAAACCAGATTTACTACTTGTCGAAAAATCTCTCATCTTCGGTCCGTCAAAGATAAAATTCCATTTGAGATGCCAGGAGTTCACAGCATTCCATGCCAACCGGACACAAAATTTTATTCGATAAAACTAAAATTCTTGCATGCAATCAATTCTTCTAACAACGAATAATCCGCGGGTCGATAGAAATCTATAAACAACCTAAAGAACCTTAACCGCGACTCAGGTCTCTCTATCTGTCACCAATAGGGGAATCAGTCATCCCAGATACTAGGTTCAAAGAACATGAAAGAGCCTTGGGACTATGACAAATAAACACATCAACATTCTTGCATGTAATCAATTCTATTACCAACGAAAACTTCAAGAATCTATATAAATCTATAAGCTACCAAACAATCTTCGCCACGACCAGGTACTTACCTATCACCAATATGGGCATTAGTCATCCGAGACGGTGTTTGTGCCCCTCATTTAGCTCCGCCCCTCTCAAACAATATATAAGCAGGTACAGAGTAAAATTCGAACCAGTTTCAGTCAAGATCTGAAGAAGCCAATAGGATGATTGCCGATTGGCAGGAGGAATCCAGAAGTTTCGTAAAAAGGAAAATAAATATAAATTAACGCACATAAAATTTGCAGGAACCCTTCATTGTAGTTTTGTGTCTAATACTGAGGTTGTAGAACATCAGTCCTATAAAGATATGGTGGAAATTTTACATTATTGATTTCGTGGTACAAAGTGAATGAAATGACCTCTTATATTTCATACAGAGCTTTTTGGAGGCATTTGTTAATATAAACAATAAAAATAAAGAAAAACCTTTTACACAAATGTTCCTACCTTATGATAAAAAAATTGTATGGTTAGAAAAAAATTGTGGATGACGTCACATTCGCCTCTTACAAAGCGATTATATACAAAAGAAGCAAAAAAAAACGCAACAAATTTGCAGTTGCGTTTTTTGTTTATAAGAGATATGTGCCCAAGGCGCCGGGTTCGAATCGTCCGGTAATTACGAACCACTAACCTAATAAGGCTTCTGTGGATCAAATCCCAAATACATACGGCTCCGTTATCGCCAGCGGTAACTAATAAGGCACTATCGGGCGAGAACCTAAAAATAGACCACTATAAATAAGAACTATGGTTTTCCTTTTTGAAATTCCGAAACCTGCAAACTCTGATCGCATCTCCGTTAACTTGTGTCATGGTGTACAGTTTTGATAGGGAATGCAGGCACCATAATAAGGCTGTTCCATCCACGGAGGCTGTGGCGAGCATCGAGCCTTGCGGTGAAACTCTCACGCAGGTCACTTGATATTTGTGAGCGGAAAGAGGCGAATTGTGCCGCTCCACGTATCCCGCACCTTTCGTCCAATCCCATACTCGAACAGTTTTGTCGCTAAACATTTTAAAGGAGTTATACTTTATCGCTTATCTGTGTGACCAGATATTAGGAAGTGACATAAGAATTAGACCAATGGAATACTTGATACGTGCCAAACATTGTCAAAAATTTAATTAATCTGACAGTTTTGAAAAAACAAATTTCAGATCAGGCAAAAAAGTTAGACAAACCAACAACCTAAGTCAATAGACATCCGTCAGAAAAAATGGCTCATTATTGTTTTTCGAAGCTTTTCGCTGAAAATTATACAGGAGAAATTTCAATTTGACGCTCTGTACAGGGTGTTTTAACAGGAAAAATCTTATCAACTTAGGATTTTTGATAAACATTTAAACCGAGATTCTCAATTTTCGACCCTTTTGAAAATTGCCCAAAACTTTTTTATTTCTGAAATTTTTTGAAAAACTTCTGCAGTTCTCCGTTTTCTTATAAATTTTCATAATTGGCTATGGTCCTAAAAAAAAGCCCGTGTTCAAGAATCGTAAACCTAATAGGATTGCCCAATCCCATAAGACATACGTTCGCCAAAATTATCGATCGCACGTGGTCGCTTGTGACGTAAGCGAAGTCCTCTAACGGTTTTTGTGTATTTGAACGAGTATTAAACCGTTGTATTTTGTGTTCTTTGAACAATTCAAATAATTTAAACTAGCGAGTGAGTAGTGAGTGGCGAGAACTGAGAAAAACAGTATTTTTAACCTTAAACAATGACTTAAAAGTTTTGTGTTCGTGCTGTTTATTAGCGGTGTGGTTAGTTAGGAGGTAAGCTCAAAATGTTATACATAATAACATAGGTAAAGGTAAGAAATACATTTCTTTTACCAGTGGGATAAGTTACATCAAAAAATAGTTAGGTATGCTTGGAACGAGATGTGCCATGTATGGGTGCAATAACAACTATTTTGATGAAAAAGCAAGTTCTCGAAAACGTAGTTTTCATCGGTTTCCCAAAAGGGAAAGATCTAGTATCCCGAACTATTCGGAACGAGAAGATAGTTCGATGTAAAGGGTGTTTTTTTCGATGTATAGAACTTTAAGTTGTAATAAAACAACGATGGATTATTCGATTGACATGAATTTTATTAATCCGAAAGATAATCTTGTGACATGTAGTCCAATCTGGACGTCCAATTTTCGATAGCTTTTTCCAACATTTGTGGCCGCATATCGGCAATAACACGGCGAATGTTGTCTTCCAAATGGTCAAGCGTTTGTGGCTTATCCGCATAGACTAATGACTTTACATAGCCCCACAGAAAGTAGTCTAGCGGTGTTAAATCACAAGATCTTGGAGGCCAATTCACAGGTCCAAAACGTGAAATTAGGCGGTCACCACGAGGTGGCACGAGCTGTGTGACATGTTGCGAAGTCTTGTTGAAACCACATCTCCTGGACATCATGGTTATTCAATTCAGGAATGAAAGAGTTAGTAATCATAGCTCTATCCCGATCACCATTGACTGTAACGCTCCATCATTTTCGTTTTTGAAGAACTACGGACCAATGATTCCACCAGCCCATAAAGCGCACCAAACAGTCAGTTTTTCGGGATGTAACGGTGTTTCGACATGCACTTGAGGATTAGCTTCGCTCCAAATGCGGCAGTTTTGTTTGTTGACGTAGCTATTCAACCAGAAGTGCGCTTCATCGTTAAACAAAATTCGCTTATGAAAATCGGGAACAACAGCAATCTCGTTTTGGGCCCATTCGACAAATCTACGCCTTACTTGATGATCGTTTGGCTTCAATTCTTGCACGAGTTGGATTTTGTAAGCACCTAAACCAAGATCCTTCAGCAAAATCTTCCACAAAGTGGATGGACACAGATCCAATTCTTGTGCTCGATGGCGGATGGACTCATTCGTGTCTTCCTCAATGCTACGCTCTACAGCAGCAATATCTTCTTCTGTACGCACCGTACGGCGTCTCTGGGGATGCGAGTTATCAATAAGAGTAAACGTGGTGCGAAAACGTTCCATGGTTAATCGAATTAACTGCTGTGATGGACGATTTTGTCAACGATAAAATAGACGTAGTGCGCGATACGTATTCCGCATAAAACCATTATTTTCGAAATAAAATTGCACTATTTGCAAGCATCGTTCAGGTGTGAGTCTATTCATGATGAATTGCCAAACCAAACTGAGAATAAATCACTTGACAGCTGTTAAATCGGTCGCCATCTTGAACAGTAATGCCAACTTAAAGTTCTATACATCGAAAAAAAAACACTCATTAGAAGAGAGGACAAACTTAATGCAGATAAAAGGCATGTCTGTCGAAAAAAAAAATCTTTGCAAGATGATACCCGCAGAAAAAAAATTAGAAAGTATGGTAAAATTGTAAAATAAAGATTGAAATTGAAATAAACATTGAAGTAATATGTATTTTTTATATTATGTACATACGAAGGTACATATAAATACGTATTATTATTTACCTACCACCTATAAATAGTTGTTATGTATGCCTAATATATTTTTTGTTTTTTAATATGTTCTTTAATATATCCAAAAATAGGGATTTCTAGTTTATAAGTATTTCTTGATTTTTGTATATTTAAAATGGTAGAATGACGTAAAACAAAAAGTTTTACAAGTAAATCGTTTTGTTCGCTAATTTTATGTATTTATGTGTAACAATATTTAATTCATATATGTATTTCATGATAATGCATATAAGCCAAACTTGATTGCAATAGTATTATTTTTACCCTACCTGAGATCCTACCCTATGCTACTTCCCAATAATTATTAAATAAGTACTAAAAAGATGCTATATTAGCTACTCAAAATACTCAAAGTCAATCAAAACTCGGGTCAGTTTCAGATTATTTCCATGCATTTACATAGTAAACGCACCAATACAGGACTTCACAGCCAGCGAGAGTTTTCGTGTGCGGACAAATTTGGCAGATTAGGCAATCATATTAGGCTTACGATTCTTGCCCGCGTCAGCCAAATAATTTGTTGGTAGCTGTGATGAGACAAGGCGTAAATATAGTATTAGTAGGCCGTGCATGTCAATGTCAGTTATTGAATTTTGTGTTCTGTAACACGTATTTATTTTAGTGGGCAAATTTAAGCTTCATTCAGCAATTTAAAATGTAGCAATTTTAAAAAGTATGATACGATAAAGTATTACATTTTGTCAAAGCAAAATGCCAATGAACTGTGTTTCAGTGCATATTCAGAGCAGCACCAACCAGACATCCGAATATTTCACAAGTTCAAAAATAATTTGACCAATTACGGAGGTTTCAGAAGGCCAAGACAAACTCAAAACCACGTAAATGAAGAATTGGAGAATTATTGGAAAATCAAAGAAAATTCTCACCGACACCAGCTGATGCAATAAATAAATAAAAAAATGAAAAATAAATAAATATCTAACAGAAAACTTCATAAAAGGTTGCATTTCAATATTTCGTATTCTAATATTTATCGTGTTTTTTTCATTATTTCAATGGTCTCTATGTGACGTCTTTTTGAACGTATATGAACATACTGATAAATAAATAAAAAATGTCCTTTATTTCATCACAGATACCAACAAAATCCATATTGCTGAAAAGGGCAACGATTGCCCTAAAAAACTGAAAAATTTTAAAAATCGTTGGGGGGGCCATTTTCCATCATAAGTACTTATAAAAATATATATATAGATTAAATTTTTATGATCAAGTTGTAAATGGAGGGTCCACTTGACGTGATCTTGCTCATCTAGAACTAGAAACCTATTTAATGAACCCCTCAAACCGTGCTTACCTAGAGCCAGTCACGAGAGTGAAATTAGGGGCAAAATCGCAACTCGTCACGTCACTGGAGTGCCCTTTTATGCCCTGCAGTAGTTTCGCGTTCCTTTTGGCCAGGCCATTAACTGACATTTTTTCTGAAACAAGAAAACCGGGGTGATACGTGAAAATTGCGCAAAACGCGATAATTCAATTTTGATCGATCGCGAAATTACCATGTTAAGTTACGGGAAACGTTAATAAATAATAGGGAAAACAGTTTCTCCGGATCCTGTATTGATTTACGAGCGTTTCAGGGGGAAAAATAATCAGTAAAATGGGTTGTCGGTTGATCACTTCTTAATCGACCAGTCAAGTTCGATAAAAATATTTTAAATAACATCTTGCAATTGTAGAGTGTCATCTATCATTATTTTATATTATTTTATAATTATTAACAATTAACCTACGTCAGAAAAAATGCGGTTTAAAATGCAAAAGAAATCACCTTGTAATAAATCAATTCTTTTATACAATTTAACTAATCGAAGTATAACATTTTAGGTACGTTTGAAAATACTTTGTTATTGATTTGTTTATAAATTTTTAATTAGTCACTTTAAAACATCAACAATTTCCTTTTTTCCTATGGTTAATACATTAGGTATACACGTAATACGGTCGGTTGTTGTTCCTAAAAGATTTCTTTAACATTTTAAAAAGGAAAGAGGATCTGCTGTCACGTGACTTTTACCAGCCAATAAAACAAAGGGTTAAAGCCGCCATTAGTTTCTGCGTGCTCCTTCTCTGTAGTCCACTGGTTGTGTTGTTACTCCAACTTTTTCTTGTTGATTTTCCGATTAGTTCATTTTTTTAATTGTCGCCGATTGCTTGTGGTTCGATTTTGATGTATTTTGTGTTTTTTGCAAAACAAGAGAAGCGAATATTCGACGGTCAAATTCACTCGCTAATATATATTTTATGTATTAATAATACTGCTGTTTTAAGTTGATATTAAAAAAAAGGTCCCTTAAAAAGTATTTTTTATCATTATTTGCATAATTAAAATTTGTAACATCTTAAAATCGTATACAAAATAATAGTTATTTACAAGGTTAACAATACTTTTTTTTTAATATTAAAAACTTTGGTCATTGGTCTGGTTACTTTTAGGTAGTCCTGGACACGATTCTGTTGTCATTTTCAATTTGAAAAAATCTCTAAAAGTACTTTTCGATATTCCGCTTTAAAAAACTGTGTCAGCCATAACTTTAGTGGGTGCTATACGAAAAAACCGTTTTATTTCTCTTTACTAAGATTTATGCAGCAAAAAAGAATTATTCAAATTACCAAAAAACTTACTGCAAATTAGTATAGTTAGGTTTTATGCAGTCGTTAATAAGAATCCGTTGGCACTTTATTGTTAGAGAAATCGGACAGGTGCAAATGATATTTCGAACACCCTGTATTGAAACATTATAAAAATTTGGTATAGTTTTATTCGTTTATTTGTTGCATAATATACTATTTTCTACTCCCGTCTGTAAAATACCTAATTGCCCACCGATCTAGCGTGCGGGAAGCGTCACTTTACCACGTCAGTTTCGTCTCCCACGAATCCGAGCCACTTCGGACATTTTCGGGATTTTACCGCACGGGTTCGGCGGCGATCGGTTGTTTTCGGAGGTATTTCCCACGCATTGAATTTTGACGTTTATCAATTCTGACGGTCACGTCAGTGAATGTATTCGTCTTGTTTTGAGAGAATGTACCCAAAAACTAAAGGTTGTAGAAGAAATATTGTATGCAACACGTTCCGTAAACTTTTTAACTCATGCATTATGCACTTGTTGCATAATATACTATTTTCGCTAAAATTAAATTTACCTATAATGTTCGCGATTTTTCACAAAAAACCAATTTATATTGTTAAAGTTGAGTCTTTAAGCTTTCCAAAATCGTATAACAAAGTATGATTATGAGAATCTGTATGTTTGTAGAAAAATAATTGTAAAACTTTTCTTATACTCGGTAATTTTTATTTGATTAATTTTCTACAAGAAAAACCAACCAAATAAATTTTCTTTCCAGCCATTTTACTGATAATAATTCAAATTACTGAGCGCTTTAAAGAATGACAATACACAACAATTTCTTAATAATTATATGTGTTGAAGACACTGATACTTTGACAACTGTACCGTATGATCTAGAATTAGTGCTGCCACCTACACTACGTACTGAAAACCATTTTAAAATTTGGATACAAATTTTGAGAAAGTATGTAGATAAAAAATTATTAGAAGCTATTTCTGAAAAGTTCAAAATTTAGTAATTTTTAAATGGCTGTAATTAATCTTTTTTTAATGATATTCATACTTTGTTATACGGTTTTGGAAAGCCTAAAGACTCAACTTTAACAATATAAATTGGTTTTTTGTAAAAAATCGCGAACATTATACGTAAATTTAATTTTAGTGAAAAAAGAATGTTTCCCATGTTAATTAAATGGGAAACTAAAATAAAAATAGCGACCCCTTAGAGTTGAGCTACAGGGCTCATTTTTGGTGAGGATTTTTTTATATCAAAAAGAAACATTTCAGAGGGTAAGAGCTGAAAAAAAAATTTTTTTGAAGCGCCCTAGTGTACAGTTCTGAAATGGCACACACTGTATGTCACATATGGACGATATAAAAGTAGCTATTACAAAATAGCGCAAACAAAGAAGGGGTGAAAGATAACACTTAACATTCTTAATAATTTTCTTTAAAGTAAGGTACGTCAAGGCTATTACATATGATTGAAAAAAATCTGTTCGTTTTATTTTAAGTAAGACTGATATTATTAATTCAAAGTCGGGGAGAATTTAATTCTAATAAAAATATTATATTTTATAAGAAAACCTGTTACAAAACCAAAAAATAGGACTTTCTACTCTAAAGATAGCGTTAACAGAAAAAAAGGACTTTCCTTAAAATTCATAATGATCATTATCTGTTAATTACGAGTATAATTTGAATGGCTTCATTTTCAATGCGAATGCAGACAATACATTTTTTTAAATAAGAAAAAGTATTTTAGATTCAAGAAGACATTTTAGAATCATATAGCTTCCTGCTGATTTATTAAAAAGCATCAATGAAGCAAAATCATATTTAATTCTGATCATATCTTTAACGTTGTTTTTAAATTTTTCCATGAGTGTATATCAATCTTCAAGGAATACCTGAATACCATATTTAGCGATAACGCACAACATAAATTTCATTGTATGTTTAAATTTATTTCGCTTAATTGACGCAAAAAAAATTCCACAACCCTATATAGTTGTTGGTTAGTGTAGGGTAAAATTATACACATTGTATTTTCCGAAGCTCCCACAAACTATAGGGGGAGTGGAAAATACAATACAAAGTTCTTATAAGAATTTCTTACGCAGATCTTGAGTTGATATAACAGTTTGGATGGAAGAAGTAAAAGTAAAGACTTGAAATTGCAGTGTCACGAGATTGGTTTGCGTGCACCAGCGAGAGCCACTCAGAAAGAAATTTCTCCCTGAAGTGAATTAAATCACTTTAATAACAGACGAACAAATTAATTACGAGAATAAAATTACTGTAAATAAGCTTCTGTTGAGACAAAATTGATTATATTTTTAACTGTTTTAACCAAAATATATCGTAGATTCGTACCTAATTCCTTTCATTCCTTCCTTTACTAGAGTCCCTATTCCTGAAACTCTCAACCCTATTTTGGCCATATTAAAATCCGAGAAGCTAACCGAAAACTAACCCAATGCTAGGTCTGATTTTCTATTGATAAGAATATCAAAGAATGAGAGATTATTACTAGTTTCCAATTTAATGGTAAAACATACGTATATAAAGACATTACGTCTTCTAGGGTGTATAGAATTTATATATTGCTCTATACACACACTGAATTAGAATTGAATTAAATTAGAAATTAGAAACTAGTAATAATCTCCAATTCTTATATAATGTGAACTATAGCAAACCAGACCAAATATTGGGTCATTATGTATACAGAAAACATACGCACACAGAAAGATACCCTAATGCATTTTTACATTAGTATACGGCATGAAGTCATCAACTCTCTTGTCAGAGTCGCAAAACTATCCCAGCCCGAATCACTAAAGTAAGAATTAAAACACCTTACATCTGCTCTTCTTCCAAAGACAAAGAGTCCGAAAGCAACCCCACACTTGCCACTGTTGTCCTTTCTTATATTCAGAACTGAACGAAAATAGACAATAGTACAGCTATAGTCTGGTCATAGATACAAGAAAGTGACCAATTGCTTTTGAATGGGATTATCCAAGGGTGGTCACTAACATACAATGCAACAAGATTATTACCAAAAATTTCGGAATTTAATTATGCAAAATATGTGCGAGTCTAGTGTATCTCAGGAGATGCTTTCGCCCAAATGTAGAAAACACTGTTCTATTGAGACTAAGGAAGTTATAAACAATGTTTATTTGACTCTCATTGAACGTGGTGCCAGGAAGCAAGCATCTTTAGAAGAAACGGCCACATTGACGAAAATTCCAATATCAACTGTATGGAGAATTGTGAATTTCATTTCAGCGAGGAAAAAAAGAAGCAATGCTGACATTTTCTCGAGTGTAGATGAAAGTGATCAAGATATAAGACGACGTAAGATTTACCTGTTATACAAAGCGAGCCTACATTAGATATCTTAATTAGGAGGCTTGAAAACGATGAAACCGGTGTTAAATGTGGCAGAACTACCTTATGGAAGTGTATTCAACATATGGGTTTTAGATTTAAAAAAATTGACAAAAGGCACGTTTTAATGGAATCTTTTTGAATTCGGAAATGGCGACTGGAATATCTAGAAAAAATTAGGATTTACAGACAACAACAAAGGCCAATTATTTACTTGGATGAAACCTGGTTCGATACTTATGATACCCCGGAAAAGGGTTGGATTGACTCAACTGATAAGTGTTAAACAAACGCGCCATCAAAAAGAGGTATAAGAATAACTATTTTGCATGTTGGCTGTAAAGATGGTTGATTTCAAATGGACTTTCTCTGTCTGCGAAAAATATTAAAGATTCTTCTCTGGATTACCATGAAGACACCACCGCTGATTTATTTGAAAGTTGGTTTAAAAACAAACTAGATCCAAACATTCCTACTAATAGCATAATTGTAATGGATAACGCAAGTTATCACAGTAGACAGTTGACTAACGTTACCGCTGTATATTTAATCCCATTGAACATGTTTGGCATGAACTGAAATCTGTCATTCGTCGTAACAATGTTTTTCCCCTTGTTAACTCCAATGTCCTCCAACTTATAAAAGCCGAAGTTTTTAACATCCTTCCACAAAGTTGGGCAAATTCTGTTAAACATATAGATAAAGCGGAACAATCGTATATTCATATTGAAAATAATATAAAACAAATAATAATTAGAACAGGCGATGATAGCGATAGTGATACTGATGTGTTATGTGAATAATTTTAAGTAATTTAAGTAGGTAATCAAAATAATTTGTAATTTTATTTTAGATTTAAACATAAATACATACATAAATAAATAAATATTGTTTAGTATCTTTCATAATAAAACCCCAAATAATTAAATTCTAAGCAAGGTACGGACATGTTCGGCCATATTTCATTCTTACAGCTTGCCCAGGTCTTTCCTTAATTCCTATCAGTTAGTCACTTTCTTATATCTATGATATATAACCTAATTATTATACATGCATGACAATGACTACAATACATTTTAAAACTGCAAAGTAGGCTGTGATTATCGGTGACAGCAGGAATTCTCAAAAACAAAACAAATGAATTTATTTTTACATTAAGTTTTAAATACTTAACAGTAACGCGTCAAAAGCACAGCAACATTCAAATAATTTGTTCAAAAGATGAGTTATAGCGAAAGTAAAGGCCAAGGTAATTGTGCGAGACTTATTTTATATTTTGAAGGTTTAGAATACGAGCCAGTTTCGGTTTAGCATTGATTAACTTTACGTCAGCAAGTTTGATTTATCAACAACCGATGCAGGAGGAATCCAAAGATTAGTAAATAAATAAAAATAAATATAAAAAATTTAGCAAAAACCTTGGTTGTTAGCTGCTGAATGCACCCGAATATACCCGAATACATCCGAACATACCCGAAGATTCAAAATTTTCACGCAGCAACAAGAGTGGCTTAGAATCGGCACTACTATACTACTATCGAATAATTCTACTAGACCGATGCGCCTCTGGCATCGACATCAGAATCCGCGATATTTATTTTAATTGTACCGGCTTTGATGATAGAGAAAATCCAGAACATCCGTTTTCTGTTTGGCGTTTTCGATACTTTTATTTGATATAGTATAATAGACGCAGTAGAAGAGGACCAATTGTGGAATAAAATCACGGTAAACGTGTAACAAAATCTTATTATTTTAAGTACCTACCCAGGTTTGTGTCCGGAGAATACCGTACTTTAGTATTATTTTTAGTTTACTTACGTAATTGGACGAAATGATAGATAAGAATGTGGGTATAACGGAAAATAACAGCGGAATGATTTATTCACTGCTGGGAAATTTGGGATTTTCGTTAATATTAAAAATCGTTAGTCTAAAGCCTACCATTTTGTATACAATATTTGTAGGTATCAAATCTATAAAAACAAATGACAAAAAAAAATGTTCTCGACATACTTGAAAAGCCACCTCGTTAAGCTTTATTAAAAATAAAAAACACAATCTAATTATTGTTCAATATAAAAGTAAGTGGACAAATTTTTCAAAAACGTTTGTTTCTATCTTCTTAACTAAATTACAATTCTTTATTTATTCACCAAAACTAGGAATATACATAGTAGACTTTGTCAGTTTTAAAAGTTATGAAACAAGGTGCTGTAAAAAGTAAATTGAAGTCGCAAAATTTATTAATAATTGTTTTAGATTTAATTTTTATTTTTATCTTTGAATCTTTGGTTGATTTTTTATTATGTGCATTTTCAATTATTTTTAAATAATTTTGAATTATAACTGTGATAAAGATATATCTCCATAGAATGTTAAGACCTTTTCTGACTTAAAAGTTTCTATGCATGATTGCATTGGTTAAAAATTAATCTAATTATTGTTTTTTGAATAATAAATATTCAATCAATATCAGTTGCTTGACCCCATGATAAAACCTTGTAAGCAAGTACGTATTTGCAGAATATAGATTTATAAGACCTTCAAAAGAAACTTTGTGTTTTAAAGTTTTAATTGCAGAGCAGGTTTCCTTGAGTTCCTAACACACATTTGATCCCTCCAACACAATCTTCCGTCTAAAAAAGTAGCCAAGAACTTTTCGATCGTTATGCCGTTAAAGGTTAGATCATGAAATGGCTGTTGGTATTGTCCAGCAAATTCTATCAAGTAAATTGATTTTTTTTAACAATAACAGAAAAATATTTCCTGGACGTGGCAAAAAAAATCATAGAATAGGTGGGACAAAATGGGTTAAATATAAAGTTATTAACACGTGTCTGATATTGGAAAATTACACTGTATAGCTAATCATTACAGTCAGTTACGGTCTTAAATGCAATAATCGTCTAACCTGTCTACTAAGCGCTTCGGCTTTCCGACGACTTCGAACCAAGGTTACATGTCAACAAGTAATCCACCATAAACGGAAACTGAAGCGCGAAACGCTCGCTCAATTTCACTCAGTTCGTCGGGAAACGTCAGCGATCCCTATGACAACTAAAAGTGACCACTAGCCGGCCGAACGATATCGGAAAAATTCCTTCTCATTAACGTAGCAAAGAGGAGCGGCGGACGCGGACGACTTGCTCATTAATGATGTTTTATTCATCTAAAATACCGCAAATTGTGTTTTAAACGGTTTGTCGGAATCGCCAGAATTAATGCTGCATAACTATGCACGCTCTGTGAAATCTGACTCGGGATCATGCGCATGCAAACCCGAGTTTGTTACACATACTTACTAAACCCTCGGAAAAACTGTGCTTTTTTGACTATTTTATTGCTAAAACAAACCAAAACACCACGCACCAACATACACTAATTGTCAAATTGCCAAAAAACGTTCAGATATGTCGACTGTCAAAACAATCAGTAGTGCCAACTGATTATATTTAATGAAACCAACAAATTTGACAGCATGTACAGACTAATATTTCAATTTTAAAAACTTTGCAAATGCGCAAACAGTAGATTGAAAAATGGTTGTCTGGAACGCATTTTTCTGGGTACCGGTCAAATTTATAAACAAATGTCGAACAGAAACCATAAAACACAAACGGTACCAGGAGGAAATTTGAATAAAGGTCATAAGTTGATTGATAACCGACTCGCGTGATATTGTCATTGTTCCAACCAATTTTTATAAGACGTTTCTTCAATATCTGATAAATTTAAGGTTTTGTGGACCCTTAGGATATAGTTGAGTTTATTTAAAAAAGTTTATTTGAATTATTGCCGTATATATTTTAATCAAACCTTTATTATTTCGCAGCTCAGCAATTTTTTTCTTCTCTGCTGTGCTTTTTACGATTTTATTATTAAAACAATCCGAAACTTGATGCAACAACAGACAATAATCGTCATATTGTTAAAAAGTTGAAGAAGTGTCGACTGTCAAAACAATCAGTAGTGCCAACTGATTATATTTAATGAAACCAACAAATTTGACAGCAAGTACAAACTAATATTTGAAGTATAGAAACAATTTCAAAAACTTTGCAAATGCGCAAATAGTAGATGTACTATGGACCTTTAACAAGATATATTTATTTATAATGATGGTTATGGTTTCTGTCCGATATTTGTTCATAAATTTGACCGTTACGCAGAAAAATGTGTTCCAGGCAACCATTTTTCAATTAGGATGAGAAATGTCAAACACAAACGACAGCAGGAGGAAATTTGAATAAAGGTCATAAGTTGATTGATATATGGTCATTGTTCCAACCAATTTCCATAGGTCTATTCGGAAGGAACCTGTTAGTGATTTGAAGTTAGAAAAATTCTATAGTTATTGGGCGTAATAAGAGACTGTTCTTCAATGTCTGGTAAATTTACGGTCATGTTATAGTTGAGATTATTTAAAAAAGTTTAATGCCTTATATACTTTAATCACACATTTATTTATTCTCGGCTCAGCAATTTTTCTCTTTACTGCTGTGCTTTTTACTATTTTATTATTAAAGCAATCCGAAACTCCACAACAACAGACACTAATTGTCATATCGCCAAAAAGTTGAAGAGATGTCGACCGTCAAAAGAGTCAGTAGTGCCAACTGATTACATTTAACGAAACCAACAATTTTGATGGCAGTTATAAACCAAAATTTGAACTTTGGAAACCAGTTTGCCATACTAGAAACCTTTCAACAATTATACATATTTTTTATTTCAGATATATTAAAATCCGAGAATCTGGAATCAAACCTTCTCATCCTAATTAAAAAATGCTTTCTTTTTGAGAAGAAAACACCATCATTATCATTACTCAGTTCAGCAAGTTTTAAACAAAACATACCTTTTTTGTAATGTAGGTCTCTGAACTTATTATCATTATTATTACACTGTCACTGTAATTATATATATATATATATATATATATATATATATATATATATATATATATATATATATATATATATATATATATATATATATATACATATATATATATTATATTCAGATTTACGAACGTATCCAGCCTACTCTAAAAAGCATTTACAGCACAGTGTCATGGCCAAGTGGGCTACAAACATATACTACTTGGTTGGTAATGATGTCCGCCTGGCACGCTTTGCGCATCTCTCCGCATCTCTGCGCATTTTTTTGTGTGACCACTGAGTGTTGTTTCCCCTCTTGTTAGGAAGCATCCAGATGTAATTTTCTGGATTGGATTAAGTCTCCTCCTTGCCTCCTTGAAGGTAGTAGTTATCTTCAGTCTGGAGGAAATTCCAGTCCGGTCTTTTGTGTGCTTTATCTGCATAATTATTGAACAGAAATGATCTTCTGAACCAAATATATGAAGGTGTTTGCTTCTTTTATCATAACTGTGATGTGGATCCCTGATTTAAGATCCTTTGTTGTTTCCAATATCTTCTTGGAGGTCAACCAATTTGAGTTTTTCTTCTTTTTACTATTTCTGCGATGTTGATCTTTTATTTAAGATCCTATGTTATAATCACCCCTAGGTCTATTTTTTTTAGCCAACGAATTTGAGGATTTTTCCATAAGTATGTATTGGATTTTCGGGTTGTTGGAACCAGCATCGATCTCAAATACGCTGTGTTTCCACAATTGCTGACCTAAATACATGAAAGTCTTTTTACTATTGCTTGGAAGTGTATCTCTTATTTGAAATCGTTTGTTCTAACCACTACCAAGGTTTTTTTTGTGGTCAACCAATTTGAGGGTTTTTCTACAAAGAGTGTATTGGATTTTTGGATTTTTGGAACCAAGTGTATTGTGTTCTTTTGGTCTCAAATATACTTTATTTTGCTAATTGCTGAACAGGAATGCGCTATTGGACCAAATATATGAAGGTATTTGGCCTTTTTACTATTCCTTTGACTGGATCTCTTATTTAAGATCGTTTGTTATAACGGCCCTCAAGGCTTTTTGGGTGGTCAACTAAGTTGTTTTTCACAAAGAACAACAATTACGAGAGTTGGTGAATTATTTCTCATACGGGGAAAAAACTTACTTCGAAATGAAAATCACTATTGCTATGCGTTTATCACTGGGTGTCCGCAATTACCCAAATTTAAAATTATTTTCGTCAGCCTTCGATTGAGTTAAATCGCTAATGCACAATAATATAATAGGCCACAGGACGATAAGTGCTCTACAATGAAACAAATGCAAAAAACAAGAACCTATCCGAGACACCACTGAGTCGTAATCATTTAATCGATAAACGGCATTAGCGTGACGTGTCCTTTCGGATATTTCTAAAGGCGTGCTATAATTAGCGCCCGTAATAACGTATCCAACTTTACAAATCGTTGTTGTTTTGTGAAGGTGTAATAAAAATCGTTTCTCCCGACCAGTTGCGAAAATTCTTATAAAATCCACACTTGAAAAAATCTAGATACAGTATTAGTTAAACGGACGGTTATAGAAATAAAAATAAACAAAGTCGGCTAAAAGAAAATGCTAAGAACTCTTAGAATTGTTGTCTTCAATTTTAAAACAAACATTTCGATTGTAAATATTTTTTTTAAGCTGAGAGAATTTAAAATTTTCTTTGTTTAATGCTCTTTTCTCAGGAAAGTGATGGGAACATTTTCTTAAATATATGTGTAAATCTTTAGATACATCTTAATACACATTGAATAGTTAAAAAGGACTTGTTCTACACCCGTCTGTAAAATACCTAATTACGATCTAGCGTGCGGGAAGCGTCACTTTACCACGTCAGTTTCGTTTCTCACGGATCCGAACCACTTCGGACATTTCCGGGATTTTACCGCCCGGGTTTGGGATGTTTTCGGAGATTTTTCGCACTGTTTAAATTTTGACGTTTATCAATTTTGACGGTCTTGTCAGTGAATGTATTCGTGTTTGGCAAGAATGTACCCAAAGACTAATACACAGAAAAATGTTCTGAATATATCAGACAATTTAAATACTACGCGCTATAAGCTACAATTAAAATCTAGTGGACTAGAAGGTAAAAGAAAGTAAAGTGACAATGTAAGTCTCCCGCAGAAATTTTATATACCATTCACGTGAAATTTAGAGGTTTTTACAGTTTTTATATCTCTATCAGACTACGTAAAAAAGTCTGTCATCCCTCATGACTCAAAAATTCCTTCTCCTCCTAAAGATTTACAAAACCAGAATTACCCCTTCGACAAATTGTCATCACCACTGGTTCTCCAACACATTCGCTAGCAAAATATTTAGCTTCTTTATTAAACCCCTTAACAGGGAAAACTGATAGTTTCGTATTTTCACTTTCACTGCATTAAACAAGATACACAAGATATTCTGGTTAGTTTCGACGTAGAATCCCTCTCTACTAGAACTGAAATTCTCAACATCATTTCAGACATATTAAAATCCGAGAATCTGGAACCAAACCTTCTCATAATTGAAAAATGCTTGTCTGAAACATACTTTTCTTACAACAGTCAGATTTTGAACAAACGTCGGGAACAGCTATGGGTTCTCCACTGTCATCAGTCATAGCGAATATATTTATGAAAGCCTTTGAGAAGAAAGCTCTCAACACCTTCCACCTAAAGCCAAAATTGTGGAAACGCTACGTCGATGATACTTTTGTAATTTGACCTGATGGTCAATAATCGTTAGTAGATTTTCTTAGACATTTAAAATCTCTACACCCTAACATACGTTTTACCATTGAATTAGACACTAGTAATAACCTTCCATTCTAAGATATTCTTATTAATAGAAAATCAGACCTAACATTCTATTTACAGAAAACGGTTATCAACTCTCTTGTTCATAGCCCGAGTCGCTAATTGAAACATCCTACCTCTGCTCTTTTCTCTAATAATTTCCACATTAAAGATATCAAGCGTTACAACACCACTTCCTAATAGTCATGAGCTCGATAGCAATCCCACACCTGCCACTGTTGTCCTTCCTTACATTCAAAACACCACTGACCACATATCAAAAGTTTTAAAGAAATATAAAATCAAAACCAGATTTACCACTTGTCGAAAAATCTCTCAACGTCTTTGATCAAAGATCAAATTCCAT